CTTACCTAACACTCTTCATAATCTCTCTCTTAGTCACTACTGTTTCTTTTGCAATTCAAAAACCTCATGGGCGGTTAAAGCCACATCCAACCAAAGAACAAATGAGGAAGAATTTAACATCAAAACTCTCACTTCACATCAATGTCCAATGATGTTTTAGTCTCTACGACATTGCTGAAGTCCTCACAACAATTAAGCTCTAAAACGATCACCTCATTCTAAAAACCAATAAAATGGCCACGCAATTCATCGAAAGCAAGTAAATTTTCTAACAAATTACACAGCCGAGGAGCTTTTAGAACACCATACCTCATCAACATGTCGTTTTCCTGGTACCCACGAGGCCTGCAAATCCGAAAACCCATCAACAACCTCTTCGTTCCTCACTACCGAAATCTCATCAATTCCAGAGCCACCACTACTGGCACTACTACTCCCTCTTTCTCCAGCATAGCCACTGCTGCTAGGGCTCGAAGGCCCATCAACCTCCAGCTCCGAATTGGTCCTCGCCCACACAACACCACCGACACTACCACGTGGCAAACCCTCCCTCGACTCCTCCACTTCAGCTAAACCAGGCGCAGCCGAATTGGCCTCGACTTCTTCCTCGTCGCTCTCGATCTCCTGGTGATTGTGATTGGTCTCGCCCGCCGATCCATGAACGACGCCGTTTGCATGGCTATCGGTCTCGGACAATGCGAGGGCGGCCAATTGATCCTCGGGGGGTTTGGGGATAGGGTTAGGGTTTGGCTCGGAGGCTTCGTCGCCGGAGCTTGAAGCTCTCGATTTGGAGGACATGGAGAAACCAAGGTCAGACAATTGCAGTGAATTTTGGTACAAATGACAAATTAGGGCGTTAATCGAGTGTGCTTAGAGAGAGAGAGAGAGAGAGAGAGAGAGAGGGAGGGAGGGAGGGAAGGAGAGATAGATGTTCGTCTACCAGTCGTTGGCTCTGTTCTGTTGCGTACTCTGCTGCAATTAACGCAGCAAGTTTGAGCCTCTGACCAGTAGGTGGGTGGCTCCGAAATCCGAATTGAGCCTGGCGCGTACTGATATGGGTCGGGTTATAAAGTTCGGATCTTGTTCGTTTCCGCTACGGTCGGTTCAAGGAGCTTTTTTTAACCCAACCCAAAGCTTCCAGGCTTCATTTTAAAACTGCATATGTTCTATTCATTGTTTTTATTTTTCTCTCTTCTTTTTCATCAAAAAGTTTCTAGTCATTGTTATATGCATTAATGGTTCTCCTCAACAAAATTATGTTGCTTGTGGGAGACGAATTGCTACAAATTGTATAATGACTCACTTGTTCTCGATGTTTTATTGTCGAACTTACTCCATGTATGATATAAATGTTAACCATATATGACTCATATGATTTTCTAGCGAACATGCAACAACCATGAGGTAAACAAAATCTACTCCGTAACTCACACGTGTTGTTTCGTAATATTGTCAAGCGATGTTTTGAGATTTTAAAGTACTAAAAGTGTAAGGTTCGTTTGGTAATCTGTTCATTTTTTGCTTTAGTTTTTATTTTGTTAGAGATAGAGAGTAAATATATGGAAGTAACAAAGAATGGAGAAGGGTGATGGTGGTAGAAAAATGGAAAAGAAAAGCACGTGGAACGCTACACATGATGAAAACTAGAGGTGAAATAAATTTTAAATTGTTTCGATTCTCAAGTTTTTATTTCATTCATTATTCTTCATTTCTCGAAAAATAAAAATAAAAATAAAAATATCCTTAATTTCTTCATACCGTCCTCCCTCCATTATAATTCATCCCTCTGTCCAACATGTATTGTCCTTATATTTCTAACAAAAATACAAACGAAAAACAAAAAAGTTTACCTAAAGGACTGTTAATTTTCACATTTCAGATGAAACGTTTGTGTTCTCTTCTGTTCTAGGTGTTATGAATTTTCAATCTTATGGGCTTTTCTGTTTTACGGATTTTGTGCTGTGGGCTTCTTTACTGTTTGTAACTGGGCCTTATGTGAATGAATTGTACGATTCTCTTTCAGCCTATGATTGCCCTTTGGGCTACTTAGTGAAGACACTTTTCACTAAACAAACAAACAAACGCTTTTTATTTTATTTTTATACAAGTGATATTGAGGGAAAGGGGTGGTTTAAACAACTACCAAGGTGTTATGGGTTCGAACCTGAGATCAAACAAATGCTTTTTTTAACTAGATGTCAATTCTCTTTTATAATGGACTAGACTTCGTTGGTGCAAATAAACACTTCTCTGCATATGTGAGTTAGACTCATTAATCATGGCAATGAAGATTGAGGGTTTAATTAAACAATTTTAGTAAGAAATTTAAAATGAAGAATTATATATTCATCTAACATATTCCATTTTCTTTGTAATCTCCATCACATTAATACACTTAAAATATGTGTCGATCCATCAAATATTTTTGTTTTCTCGATCCAAAGTCCCATCAATTTTTTTTATATTTAAGGATATCCGTCAAGTTATTGATTATGAAAACTATACGTAACAGATTTAGGTTTACAAATTATTTTTTTAGACATTTCCTATTGAGAAGGGTGATAATATATTAAACTCACACACACTATACGAATGCTAAGACTCGAACTCATGACCTGGGAGAGCAATTTAGGTTTACATTTAATTTGTATGTTATTGCACAATTGTATAAGAATTTGCTTTAATCAACTCACATAAAGAGTGAAAGAGACTTTAGTTTTATTTTATTTTTAATTTGAAGAAGGAAAAAAAAATAGCGAAAGAGACTGGATGACGAGAAGGACGGAGAAACTTAAATAAAACGGTGAAGGGGCTGGTATAATGATTAAAGTATCTGTGGCCCCAAACTAACCAAATCAACGGTTAATATTTTTCTTCCAATATTTTGGTTCGGAAAGGGAACGGTTGAGCATCTTATTCATTTTTGTCAAGACAAAGTCTCTCCGTCTGACAATCCTAAAATGACAAAATGGTCCTTCCATTTAGTCGTTTTCACACAAAAGCATAATTGTTATATGACAGAACTACCCCAACTGAACGCATGGTTACGATTTTATTGACTTTTGTTTTTGTTTTTAATGTATAACCAAAAAAAATAACACCATGAAGTTGGGAAGTTTTTACAGGCTAAAAGAAATTGGAATTAGCTTGAAATAAATTTTTTTTATTTTATATTTTATTTTACAAGCATTAGTCTAAATTATAAGGGAATGAAGGTTTGCCACATGCACACCACCAAGGTCTCATAGGGGTTCAAACATGAGACTACTGGTCTGCAAATTAAGATCCTTTTCTATTGGGCTAGACTTCGTTGGCAAAAATAAAACTTAAAAAAGAAGCTATGTAAAATTTATGGTTAAGTTATATACGTCTTTAGTTTATTTTAAACCTTTCAATTTAAAGCTTAAATAACAAATCTAAAAGTTAGTGTGCATCTATCTCCTTATTAACAATATGTGCGTGAAATAAAAAATAATTATAGGTGTGATATTAGAGTATGACTACATGGTATAACTTGTTCAATTATCATAATATAAGTGGATATTTGTTAATCTTAAATCACGTGACTGTACACATGATTATAATTTCTCTAAAACCAATACGAACCAATTATCACGCATAATATTAAAGATTGGATCATTACTATCATATTGAACATCCATTTTTTTTCCAATTAAATTTACAATATCTGATATTTAGATAGTTATCCTCACTGTCCAATTAAAAAAACCCTAATCAAGTATTAATTAATTAACTGAACATTATAATGGGTATCCCTTGCAACTATCCACTAAATAACCTTATCAAAAAAGCAACTATTGCCTTATCTAAAAAGCAATATTAGAAAAATCACCACAAGAGCAGAAAAAACCACCTAATGGTGGTAGTCTGCACAATACTCGATTGATTAAAAAATAAACATCCCACCCATAAGCATATTGCAAAACTAGGGTTGCCTTTAAATTAATGTGTGCTTGCTCTACAATCTACCTAACCCCAATTATAAATTTCAATCCCACCGAATTCCCCTTCAAATCAAGAAACCTCATAAAAATTGCAAATACAAGATTTTCTTTCCAAAAGTCATCACATGAACATATAAACAATTGTCAACGGTGAAATGTGTAAACGTACAAATAAGGCGTGCTTGCTCTACAATTTACCTAACCCCAATAATAAATTTTCATCCCACCAAATTCCCCTTCAAATGAAGAAGCCACATAGAAATTTCTAATACAAGATTTTCTTTCGAGAATCATCCCATCAACATATAAACAATTGTCAACTGTGAATTGTGTGAACGTACAAATAAGCGTTGAATATTAATTGTGAGTTAAAAATTGTCAACCATTGATGTACACGCAAAACCCAATTTCACAATTGTGTTGAAGTATCAATCAGCATCGAGCAACTCATATTATAATTCATTGAAAAAGATTGATAAACCTATTTACCACAAAAACAGAAATGGATGGAATTTTAAATTCTCAAAGACGACTAGTGTGAAAGGCAAAGGAAAAAGTGGTAGATTTGACACTTTGTATTTATGTGCATTATTTTTTCAATAGAGGGTGTCGTCATCACCATCTTGCTTTTCATTTTCGTACCAACCCCACCCACATCAATCAAACACTTAAAAAACACCCACCAATCATTTACTTCCTATTTCTAAACACCAACTTGCTTCGTTTCTCCTCAAGAATTTACGAACTTCTCTGCCAAAAAAAATAAAAAATAATTTACAAACTTCAAACCCAAAATTAACCACCTCACAAAAACTTAATTAAGATTGAAATTAAGTTAAATTAACAATCCTCCAATTTGGGATTACATTACATTCGTAAAGACGATCATCATGATCACATAAATTAGAAACAAGGAAGTAAAAGAAACTGAATTCATAAAAATTAGAAAAAGGCAAAAATAAAATAAAATCTAACCAATAATTCCCGTACACCCCTTTTTCTCTGTATTTCTTGGTTTTGAAAAATAAATTCCGTTTAATCTTCGAACCCGGTTTTCTCCCAAATTGCATTTCGGACCCGGCTGAGATCCCTCCCTTTCAAGGTCCTCCCCACGCCTTCGTGCACCGAGAACGACGCGATTCTCGTTCTCGCCATCTGCCTAGCCAAGAACTCGTGAGGCGGGACCCGCACGCCGCCGTCCACGTCATCGTCGCCGTCGTCGTCGCTCTCGCTCTTCCGGTTTTCTCGGTACTCGTCCCTCAAGATCTTGGACCAGTCGGGAATGCCTACCGGCAGCGACGCCGCCGTACCGCCGGTACGGTCCGACCGGTCGGCGGCCTCGGATCGCCGGTTCTTGGACGCCGAGACGACGCGGGAGCTCGGGACCGGTTTGCAGAACTCGGGAGAGTTGGACCGGGCGAAGTTGTAGATGTCTGACTCGTCGAGTTCGAATGCGGAGTCGGGCGCTAGGGTTGGGTGGTGGTGGTCGCTGGAGAGGTATCGGTAGTTCGGCCTAGCGTAGTAGCTCTTACTCGTCGCCATTTCGGAGGTCTAAAACGCTACGTTTTGGGCTCTCTCTCTCTCGCTCTTCCTTTTTTTTTCGCTTTGCTTCTGTTCTGCGTTTTGGGTTTTGGCTCTACCAAAATGAGAGCGTTCGAATCGCTTTTATAAAGGTTGGCTTGCCGCTTGCAGTTTGGATAAGGCTGCTTCTCTCGAGTTCAATTATGGTAAAATTACGTAACTGGCCCTGCGATTTGAAGCGAAAAAGACACGTCGGATTTTCGATTTATCCATTCGAATGGGTTGAGTGCAATATCTCGGGAGGTGGGGCCGGATAGGGTGCGTCGCACGGTTCTGATGGCGGAGGTTTTCATTGGACCCACAGAAATACATGAAACAGTTCGCATATACTGTCTGTTTAGTGTTTTGATCCATTTTGTTTAGTCAGAAAAACGTAATTGATCTTTTGTAACTGTAAACTAGAAAAGGTAAAGAAAGAAAACAGAGGATATTTTGGTTTTGGATTGTTTTTTTTTGGAAACTCATGCCTCACATGTGGATGGCCAAAATTATTTGCTTTTGAAGTACGCAACATAATTAGGTAACGTTTGTTGGGTTGAACTAGGTTAAACTACTTTAATTAAATTTAACAAGTCTTATGGTTGTTCTTAAATATGTTTGAATTGGATTTATTAAATTGGACAACGCTGTCTAAGCTGAGCCATCAAACCAAACCTTAAGTTTTAGGTATGACATCTTTCAACACATTATCCGGACACAAAAATTTATGAGAATGTTCTTGATAAATAGTGGGACAATATAAGATAATTATATTATCTGAAAATTTAGTTAATAATCACCATCTACAATATGATTATTTTATATTGCAAGACTGTCTTGTAAGAGAAAACTATTGTGTAATGTATAAATTAGGTATTTTATAGAAAGTACAGTTTTTGAGAAGAAAAAAGAAGAAGGTAGATTTCATTGCAATAGAAAGTAGAAAAATTAGGCATGTTTTGCGTGACTTTGTTAAAATCTTTCTAAAAAAAACCACAAGAAAAAAAATTCTAGGTGTCAAAGAAACATATCTAAAACAAATTATAGAGCATCAATTAACAGAAAGTGCATTTTCTAAAAAAAAGAGATATTCAATCACTAAATTCATTTTCGTGAAATAAATAAACTTTGGTTTGATTTAAAAGGAAAAAGGTGAAAGAATACTAAAATATTTCCCCTTTTTATGTGAACCAAACTGACACTAGAAAGAATAAAATTCGCAAAAGGTCTCATAACTTGCCAAAGATGTCGGCGCCGTTGGTTTTCAAGCGGTTGATGGCCGCCACGCAGGGGCAGGGAATTGAAAGCGTAACGTAGAGAGTGGTGGGGGGAAGCGGACAAAAAGCTCAGAGAATAAGGGGCAAAATGGGAAATACGAATTCCGTCCCAAACAAGAACAAAACAATGCAATATGTGATCTACTCGCACTGGAAGTCACAAGTTTTGTCGCGACACTGATGAGATGGGGCTCACCTGACCTGGTTTTAGAAAAGAGGACAAAAATGGTCCTGTTTAGACGTTCGAGGACCTCGCCACGTGTCCGCTTACCTGTGTTTTTATCCACGTGGCGCAGATTGGTTTCACGCAACTGCGAGAGCATGCTGGCACGTGAAGTAGGCCCCCACTGCTCGGATCTAGCGCATCTACTGCCAGCTGGCTCCTAGCCTGCTCCTCTCAAACGCGACAATCCAAAATATCTTCGTTTTCTCGCGTTTTTTTAAACTCGCTAGTTAATACCGCGCGGACTCGTGAAGTTTTATGAATTAGTTGAACGTTGAACGCTGAACGCCAAATCAACTTCACGCTTTGCTTGTGAAAGCGATAGAATTTGCTGTACATTGAAATATAAATAGAAAGAAGGAAAACAAAAATACTCAAGTCGGTCCAGTCAAGCAGTCCTTTTTTTTCCTTTTTGACGAACGATAAGAATAGGTACGAGATACTTTTATAACGAATGAAGATAATCACAACTATGTATCCAACTTATTACAAATAAATATATATCGTTTCATTATCTATATGAATTGAACATGAGACCTTATTCAACGAACTGGAAGATACCTCTATAACGAATCAAGATATTCACGACTATGTATCAAACTCATCACAAATATATCGTTTCATTATCTATGCGAGTCGAACATGAAACCTCTTTTAACCAACTGAAAACGTACAATCATTCATTTTGTATCTAGCTTATTTAGCTACCCAATTCATTTTAATACAAGTTGGGTTTAAATGCGGTCAATTTTTGGCAAAGGAGGCATAAATTTGATTCCAGCAAATGAGTTCAAAAACACAATAACCAATGGCAACATTATGGTTCTTCTAGCTGGCTTCCATGAAGAATATTATTATTAGTGGCTAATCTAAATCATCAGATTAACTATGAACTTTAAAGGGCTTCACAGAATAGGTATGACAACATTCAAGTTGATAGAGCACTCCAAATTATTGATTGATATTCTCCTTGACATGTCCCTTTGTGGGCTATCCTCCGCTGTCATAATATTTGTCATATTATCTATCACATAATTGTAAGAAAGCTAATTTTGTAGCAGATGTAGTAGTAACTTTCACGGATATATTCCATCCATGTTATATTATGAGTACATTTATTGAATTGTAAATATAAATCCATCGGTGACTCGTGTTATAACAAATAAAATAGCTTCTCTTTTGACTTTATTATTAGGCTATTATTGACTTTAACATATTATGTTTCGAGACTGTGAATTTGAGTTTCTTTTATAATTTTGTGATAAAAAGTCACAATATGATAATATTAAGTTTGTTCATATATGTGAAACGCATGGTTTGCATGGAGCAACATAAACAATTATCAAATACAACATTGTGAGTGCCATAGTAATTAATTGTTAATTTCGTTCCTTAATTTAATTGGGTGAACTTTGAACAAAGAGAAGTACTTTTGCGACTTTTCCTCCACCAATAATATATCGTGGTTAATCGTCTTGGTGATGACGTCTTGGTTTAATTATGGGATGCTTTGGGTATTATATTCAACCCTAATATAATAATTACACTCCAATAATGGTGACCTTAAAGTGTTCTTTATTTGGGTAACAATCTGATGATGCATCATCAACTCATATTGTACAAGACTCATAATCGGCTATCCCTATCTTATGAACACTAACTGTGGATTAAAAAAAAACATTAAAAAAAAAGAAGAAGAAAAAAGTGGAAATCATTTCCTGCATTAATTAAACATCACTTAGCAATACCAGCCAATAACAAATTGATTCAAGCATCTTAAGCCACTTGTCCTAAAGAAAAAGTAAATGCAATTTCATAAAAGAGGTACTTTTGTTTAAGTACCTGTGCTCTGCTTTTGCTTTTGTTTAGAATAAAACTCATTGCAAAAATTAACAAGGAACTAACCTAGAACAAGTACCTTCTTGTTTTTCTTTTAGTTTTTTAGTTTTTTCCACTCCTTTTGTGTTGTACTCTAAATGTTCGTTTGAGAGTGATTCTAGATAAGCCAAAAATCACTTATATTGAGAATCACTTCTCCAAATAATCATTTTAAGTGGTTTTATGTGATTTTATAGAGAAGCACCTCCCATGTGCTTTTGCTAAGAATCACTTAAAATCACTTAAAGTGTTTATATAGAGAAACACGTGGGAGCTGGTTCTCCACAAAAGTGATTCTAGCATATCCAGAATCACTCATAAACGAACCCTTAAATCTAACATGTAGCTCACTTACACATCCGTGACACCTGATTGAAAAGTTTTATAACTAACAACACTTGGAGATTTGCTTGTTTTTCGGCTTTTGCGTAAGCTAGAAAAACATACAAGCGTGACGTATGAATAAAATTCTAACACGCATAACAATAATTTAGATCAACAGTTTATTAACATAAAATGACAAATTATTAGTGAAAATAACTCTTTTTTTCTTCCTCGTCTAATCAAACTATAGTTTATAAAAAAATATGAGGGGATCAATAGGAGAATTTAATTAATCAAACATCACTTAGACTTATCCTTAATTATTGCACCTATAAATTTTATTTTTACAAAAGAATTGTTAAAGCCACCTAGCTCCTAGCCATATATACAAATCATGAGGGACAACAATAATGTGGCCTTTTGGGTAGTGGGTATTGGATTACCTTATCGAGGACTAAAATGGCATCAAAATTGGATCTTGGAAGAAAAAAAATATTCCAAACCAGATTATCCCATCAACATCTAAAAGGCATTATTAGTTCAACTTTGAGATTCAAAGTTGCACTTGCACCCCCAATATCTGATATATTCACCCAGCAACTACAATTATTGGTTTAAAAAAATTCAGAACAAGTGAGATATTGAAGAAAACAAACCGATCCCCCACAAGTCTATGTCTACAAAAGGCATGGAAGGGGAAGGGTGGGCGTAGGGCTTATAGCTAGGGTTTCTTTTTCATGGCATAAAGTTTGATGTGTTTATTGTGGGCCATTGGATTGACACATTGGAGCAATTACTGGCTTAGCCTATATGAACGGTCTTGCATCATGACATAATATTTTTTTTTTTCGGCTTTGAGGTTGATTGGAGGGTGATTTCATTGTCCAAAGTGGGGTCGTAACTTGCAACTTTGAAGCTCCTCTCTACCACCATTATTTTCCTCTGAGGGTTACGTTTTTGGCTATTGAAATGACCCCAGCATGATTAACTCCTACACCATAAAAGAAGTGACTCATTTCAAGACCTTTTTTCTTCGGAAATTTAGACAAATAAATCATTTTGGAGTTGAATGGACCAAAATATCCTAATTCAAAAGAAGAATATAGTTGCGATGACAGTTGGTCGTGATAATATACTCTCTGTGTGTTTACTTTACGATGTTCACATCTAGAATTTTGTTAAAATGGGCTTCATACTGATTCATGACTATTAATCACTTGCGTGTTCGTGAACAACTGTAATTTAACTTTCAGTGGGAATGGAATAACATCTGTAATCTAGTCCCAGAGCTAAGCAACAACGTTACGTTTTTGATTTCTGGTGCAGCTGATTGCGGGCCGTTGGTTATTACTTGAGTGAGATGATAGGCTGGTTCACTCCGGGTGAGAAAGTGACTGTGTTGCTCTTGCGCATGCGTTTGCGAAAGAAGATGTACATCAGTTTTGATTGACACAAATACAAAACAATCCTGCAGTGTGTAGTATGACATCAAATCAATCAAGAAAATTTGAACTTTAAAAGTTTGAAATTCTTATGCCCATCAGAGACCGTTAAAATGTGGACAAACCGGCCAAGCTGCAAGTGACATGTCTTCGTGCCAAGAATTCGGAGAGTAAAACCGTGTGACAGTTTCATTCTCTAAATTGTAGACAGCCATATCAAATGGCCTGCCATCAGGATGCTGATGTTTTAGCAAATCCTCTCTGTAGTATATAGAATTAGGCTGGCACCCAGGAAAGTTTGAAGCCAAGACACTTCAACTATTTGAAGACATTTACAAAATCCTAAGAGTGCAAATATTGCCACAAAATAAATTAACCAAGGCTATTATCTAGTGCGGTCCATGGACAAAATATACAGCTTTTACTTTAGCGATATGTTTCTTTCTAATGTTGGAAGATATCACAAGTTCGAATCCCTCTAAAGATGGTCAAACAAAACTATAAACCCGATAAGTTACAAAACTATAAACCCGGTAAGGGACTTTTTCTAAAATCCTGTTATTTTTTCAAGATTCATGATCTCTATACTACAATACTCTATGTATATATACTCCGTAATGTTCATATCTAAAATTTTGTTAGTCATCTCTAATTAATTAGTGTGAATTTCAAAATGGGTTTATGACTGATTCACCACTGTCAATTTCCTTTGCGTTCGTGAATGCCTGTGATTTAACTTTCCATGGGAATCGAATAACATTTGTAATTTAGTCCCAGAGCTAAGTAACAACATTACGTTTCTGATTTCTGCTGCAGCTCATTGCAGGCCGTTGGCTGAGTGATATGATATGCTGGTTGTTTCAGGGTGAGAAAGTGACTGTGAGCTTCTGCGCATGCGTTTGCAAAAGAAGATGTACATCATTTTTTTGTTTGACACAGCAGTGTGTGGTATGACATCAAATCAACCAAGAAAGTTTGACATACGTATATCAGGCAAAGTTCCTGCATCATATGCATGGTTTAAATTTTTCTGTAAGTTACACAAGTTTTAAAAAAAAGGTTTTATTTGTGCAATTTCACTTGTTACTGTGGCAAAGTTCCCACATCAGCTTGAAATTATTTATACGTGCTTGGCAGATGCTTAGGATAATTAAAATAAGAGGTAGATATATGTTCTGGACTTGGGATTCATGTTCATTTTTGATATGATATATAAACAGACGAGAAATGTGTGAAGTGGGTAAAGCTTAACATTAATTCTTGAACCAAAACTATGAGGCGTCTACAACTCCATGGGGAGGGACTTACAAAACTACGAGGCAGCTACAACTCCGTGGGGAAAAGAAGAAGAAATCAGCCCGTCCCTGCATTTCTGTGGCACATAAACAGAGAAAGATGAGATGAAGCCATCTGCATATAAGATCAAATAATTTGGAAAGACTGCGGTAGAGTGCAACTGTGCACATATCTGGCTACAGAATGACTTAACGATCAAAGCTAATATCCAGAAACCAACTATAAGTAATGATGAAGGCTCTTAAAATCCAAAATGCGAGATAAATAACAGAGTTACGGCTACCCTCCTCTAATTTCAGTTTGTTGATAATAGAATGGCCAAAAAGTAACAGTATGAAGGGCAAAAAGAAGAGTAGCTTATACCCAGCAGAGTCCATTAAACTGTGGAAAAATCCAAGCAGCAAGTGGCATGCCTTTGTGCCAACAATTCGGAGAGTAAAACCGTGTGATGGTTTCATTCCCTGAATTGTAGACAGCCATATCAAATGGTCTGCCATCAGGATGCTGACGTTTTAGCAAATCCTTTGTGTAGTATACAGAATTCGGCTGACACCCAGGAAAGTTTGAAGCCAAGACAGACACTGAATGATTGTCGCCAACAAACAAAGCCTCATCTCCAATGCTTTCTACCTCAACCTGCTGCACAATGGATCCGTCCTTGTCATCAAACACCACCTTCTAAACCTTGAAGCTATCAGTCAACAAATCTCCATCGCGACCTTCTTTTGGTTTCAAAATTCTTCGAACATGCAACATGTCTCCCTTGGTTGATTCCACAAGATATGCCTTTGTTAATAGCCGAGCCCCTCGGAAGACACCTCTTATACTGAGCCAAGCATATATAAATTACGATAAAGAAACTCCTCAGTGAGAATGTGACAGATCGGAATGAGACCAGTGATCGGATGTTCAAAGACCGACGCGATCACTGCGGCACCATTACTTGGCTAGAGATGCATTAAATGAAACAGCCTGACAGACAAGAAAGGTCAGTTGATGCGCATCCCATCCTTAAGCAGGTGTCGCCTTACCCTTCGATCTCTGAGAAAATAGGTTGGTGATAGAGAGGGAACATTTAATACACCTCCCATCCTTGTTCACCTGTCACTTCGCCACCTGATCCCTGTCAAGAAGTAAGGTGATCAGAAACAGAGCATTAAATGTGATTCAACCTTAGGGGAATAAAGAAAAGATCTCTCCCATAAAATATATGGGTCTCTCATTCTCCCCCCTATAAATACCCCTCACCTATCTCTAGACAAAGGTAATAAATCCTCTCATTATAAAAACCCTACATCCTTTCTCTCTCTAACTCAAGTTAGTTTTTGACTTAACCATCGGAGATGGTTAGATTGGGATAAGCCCCAGTCCACCCTTATTCTGATATCGTTCGAAGTTTGCAGATCTTCCTTTTGAGATTATTCATACTCAAAGGTCCAGTACGGGCCCAAGTCATCTATACAAGAAGGATACTCGGTTTACATCCTTAATATCAGAATTTTCAAACAGAGAATTACGTGTAAGCAGCTTCGCTTTTGGCAGCCGTGAACGGTTATTACTGCCCTTAATATCGTAGGGCATATTCCTTCCCCGTCGTCCCATTGTGTAGACTTGGCTTTTATAAAATATAACATCAGAAATGCACCTCAATTTCTTATTAAGACCAGTCCTGTACTCTTGTCCTCCTTTAAAGAAAGCCAACCTCAAATCCGCATGGTAGAATAAAATAACCCAATAATTCTTTGGTTTCAAATGGGGATCAGCAGACAAGATAACCTATGGGACGTAACCCTCATATTGATATGATTCCAAGTAGCTTTCTGGATCAGGGTTTAGGTGCTCATAATCCAACCTAGGGACGTTAATGGGTGCCACAGCTTTTCTGTAAGGATCCATGAGAGTTATGGTGACATCATCGTCAGCTAGATCAACGATGGCCACCCAACCATGAGCCACAATACCTCTTACCATCACGAACTGGTAACTGAATATTGTTGTAGATTTTTCCTTCAGAAATGCTGTACACAAGGCTTTGCTTTGTTGTGCTAGTCTCTCCTTTGGAATCGGCAGGGATCATCAGCATGGAGAGTGCCTTAAGCCAGCGTTATGTTGCATCATTGTAGTGTATTGAAAAACCAAGCCAAGCCAGAGTCCTTGCAAACGGCAGCAAAACGAACGTGGTCAATGGGTTCCAACAACTTATATATCCAGAATACAAAAGACAAGAAGTAGCGGAAGACTTGTCCATTTTGATGGGTAGCCACCAATGGATGTACCAGTGATGTCCGTATGACAAGGCTTCTTATTATCCCTAAAACACTACATGACAATATAAGTAAGAACCAAATAACAATAACAAGAGAAGAGGGAAAGAAATGCCCTGGTGTATGAGCGTGTCTATCTATACATAAACGTGAAACAGAAAAGAAAAACTTCATTGTAGTGCTGGTGAGATCGGGGCCAGCCTGAGATGAACCATTAAAATCCTCCATGCACATTCATGTGGTTTTAGTTTTTCTTCTGCTTTTGGTGAAGCCCAATGAGCCACAACATTATCGAATAGGTAAGGATCATTAGCTGAAGCCCGAAGCAATGACCCAAGTGTTGTTTTCCTAGGCCCATACCAAATGGGTACGTCCTAAATACAGATTTACCCTCAACCCAAGCGTCAGCAAATGCCCAAACGTGATGAAAGACCCAAATCTCTTTCTTTCAAAGCTCTCCGGTAGACAAGGGGCAATTTAGACATTTCTCAACTTCAATGCCCTGCAAAACCCTAGCATATATTTCACACCATTTGCTACTCTCAATCGCCTTGTAGGAAACCCTAGCATTTTGTTTCTCTCCTTCATCATCAGCAACAATGCCGCCGAAGTTCGATCCCTCACAGGTCGTCGACGTCTACGTCCGAGTCACCGGCGGTGAAGTCGGCGCGGCGAGTTCGCTTGCCCCAAAGATCGGTCCTCTCGGTCTCTCCCCAAAGAAGATCGGAGAAGACATAGCCAAGGAGACCGCCAAGGACTGGAAGGGCTTACGTGTCACCGTCAAGCTCACCGTCCAGAACAGGCAGGCCAAGGTCTCTGTGGTGCCGTCGGCGGCGGCGCTGGTCATCAAGGCTTTGAAGGAGCCCGAGCGCGACCGCAAGAAGACTAAGAACATCAAACACAGTGGAAACATCTCTCTAGACGACGTCATCGAGATCGCCAAGATCATGAAGCACAGATCCATGGCCAAGGAGCTTGCCGGCACGGTGAAGGAGATTCTCGGCACCTGCGTATCCGTCGGGTGCACGGTCGACGGTAAGGACCCTAAGGATTTGCAACAGGAGATTGCCGATGGTGATGTTGAGATCCCTCTCGACTGAGCTGTTGCTGTGAGGCTCTTTCTTTTTCTTTTGCTGAATTAAATTTTTGTTTAAGGGTATGTCGTTTTGGATAATTTGTGGATTAATTTGGAGTACGTTATTAAGATCGTTAATCACTCTTTTTATGGCAATTTAGATGAGCTGGAGGGTTTTTGTGACCCAGTTTTTTACATGTTGTGGATGATGATGGCGGTGTTATTAGTATTAAAGAATATAATGGGTTTTTAAAATTTTCTTAGTTGTGTTCATTTGATTGCTGCTATTGTTTGCTTTGTGTGTCGATTTTCGTATGAATGGTCATCTGTTGAATGCAAAATGTTGTAGCTTTGGTAAAGGGTTATGTGAATGTATTAGTCGTATTTGGGTATCATTTGGAATTAGAACATGATTTGTGGATTTGCTTATGCAAAAGTAGAAGCTGATAGATATAATTTATGCTAAGTAGTTTTAATTGTTCATACTAGAGGGACTAGAGAATATATGATGCATGTGCAATGAAATTGAAGTAGGGAGTTGAGAGTTGAGCTAAGAAAATGGGAATTTTCTGTACCAGCTTAGGTTTTTTTAATGTGTTATTCAAGTTGCTCCAAAGTTGCTGGACTATATTAGTTATATTAGGTACGTCAAGCAAGCAACATAGAGTTTTAATACAGTTATCTTTACATTGTATAGTCTTCCCCGGCTGTTAGTTTTCAATTATCCCATTTTCTGCACCCATAGGTTTGTCTAGAACTGGTGCATATCAGGGAATCATTTGTTCAGTGTGTATCTTGTCATTCCCCCTTCTGAATCTTGTGTGGAAGTTGTCTTCTAAAATCATCGTGTTTCATTGAACATGGCAAGGTACTTTCCTAAAGTTAGTGTTGGATGTTTCTTTTCTATTGTGTTTGCTGTTTTATAAGTATTAATCCAGCCTCTTGGAATGTATTTTGTAACTATAATCCGTCTAGTAGTTGCATTCCCCTCTCAATTTTTGTTTATGGTGAGTTAAAAGGAGTTTGTCTGCATTTAGCTTATCATTGCAACTTGATAGATCATGATAAATTAAGTGTAGCCAAATGGCCATTTGGACTTGAATTTTGACCATCCTTGATAAGTTCAAATTTATTTTCAACTGCCCCACTCTGGACATGTGAATCCGTAAATGGATGGCTTAGTGTTTTTGTTGTAGCATGTTTGACTCCTCGTTATGGATTGGATGATTGGGTTCGGCTGAAAGACCAAATTTTTTTTATTCCTTTCTTTGATGTTGCTCCTTTTCAGCTCTGGCAATGTTTCTAGCAGTGAGGTGACTCTTTTTTTTTGGGTGTGTGGATGAATGTTAAATATAAAACCTTATTGTAGTATTTTCATATACCATTCTGTTTGGTCAATCTAGTGCAAAATGTTTATGATTTCTTTCTTACAGTTTCTGTTTCCTGGGTGTAGTTGCGATCTGAAATCTTCCAAGAATTGAAGTTGAAATCCCTTGTATTTTTGTTTGGTGGTATTTTTGTTTTTCTTTAGCTTCTTGTTAAAGATTGTGCATAGCTTTTCGTAAGACTGCGACCCGGATTTAGGGTAAGAACTTTTAGGCGACAATGGCTCCCTGTTTCTGAATAAGTTTCTTTATTAGGATTTACCAATTTTTATGCAGTTTCAGGTGTCTATGAACTCCTTAAAGGAGATGTGTGGTGGTCTAAGTACAATGTTGTTTATGCAGTTGTAGCAAATTGCAGGTTTTGCTATAAAAAGTAGGATGTAAAACAGCAACGTTGCAAAAGTGACCGTCGAACACTTACATGTGGTAAAAACTAAAACATAGACTCGTGTATGAGATAAGGCCTATTTCTTTTGGGCATTTCCTCCACAATAGGAGACAAAATGGGTTCTAGACATTTTATAAGAATTCAGTTTCTAATTTGGCTTAGTTAGCTTTGACCTATGTTGGGCTTTTTGCTTTATTAAGCATGGCCGTTTACCAAATACAAACCTATATAAACCGTCAAACCCCATTGCCCCTAACAATTCAACCCAATTCTCAAATACTTAGACAGAATTTGTCCTTTCCCATCCCTCCTCCTCAGCTCTCTTTCTCAATCTAAAAGCCAAGGGAGAAAGAGAGACATCCAATTACCTAAAATCTTCTCCACATCACACAACCTACAAAATATCGACATCCTCCGATGCTTAAGCTTTGATTTTGAGTCAGAAGCTCGCAATGGCAAAGGATATGAGCAAGCCTTGGATTGAGGTTGCACCATCCCTTCTTGATTTCCCATGGAAGGGTTCTAGCTCTCCGAAATTGGAGACAATTTTGGAAGAGCTAGCAGAAGAGTATAGTGATGACGATAACTAGTGTTCTTGGTTGAATGGGAGATGGCAATTATCAGAGAGAGAGAGAGGGCTCACAATTTGTGTTGTGTGCGGCTCTTTGATAATTGATATATTATCTTGTTATGTACATTTGTGAATATATGTAAATCAGGACCTGTTTAATGTTGAACTGGGACCAAGACAAAAAAAATTCTTCTATTGAAGAGGCCCACACTTCCTTTGTTGAAGTAAGTGCAAATGGTCTGATTCAATATTTCCTAAGAATCAACATAATGCAATTTGGCTTTCCTCTTATGTTGGAAGTGACTTTTATTCTTTATGTTGTAGCTCAAATGGTTAATAATATTTAGCCTTGCACCCGGGATCATAGATTCAATTTCTCCTCCTTCAATATCGCTTGTATAAAAAAAGACAAAAAAGGATTTGATAATATTTTTTGGGGCTGATATTATTATTTTTGGGACTAATCTTGAGGTCTCTCAATTCTACTATGGTCAACATATTTCTGGGACTAATTTTGATGGGTCCCCATCAGCCATTAGTAATCACTACATTATATGGTTGATTATGGGTTTAAAAAACTTGAAAGAGGCACCGACCAATGAGAAGTCACTCTCAGCCACACAAAAGCCAGAAACAAAAACAAAATTTTCTTTTGATTTCATCATACACCCTTCGAGTTTTGGACACGTGGCGCATTCTTAGCCATAACCATGAAATTCAAAGAAAACCACACAAAGTTTTAAGTAAATAGTGAGACAAAATGTGGACTGCGGGAATTGGGATTGGGGAATGTTAAATTGAAAAAAGAAGAAGAAAGAAATGGAGGAGGAGATATAAGAGTGGGGCGGCGATGGTTGTCAATTCATGGCATCAACATTTCACCAGAAATATTTTTAAAAAGAGGTTATATACATATATATATATATATATATATATATTGTGAGGGTTCTTATGAGGTGTGTTTTTTGTACACTTTCCTCATCCTCAAACTGTTTTATTATTATCTTTTTGTTTCTTTCCAAGAAAATTTGTTTGTTTTATTATAATCTTTTTGTTTCTTTCTAAGAAGATTTGTTTATTTATGATGTAGCCAGACACAGCCAAAAACTAGGTACTTGGAAACCTTCTTAATAGCATTATTATAAAAAAAATAAAAAATAAAACATATCTCCATCATAATTTTTGTTTTGGATGCAAGATCTCCATCATAATTTAAAGAATTACTTGAATTACTTTCCTCATATATGTGGGTTCCATCTTAAAATCCGTAATTGAATACCCTCAAAATCCAGAATAGTGTTAACTAAGGGACCTAATTCATGGCTTTCCCATTCATGGAAAGTAAACATACCTTGAGTTCTAAAATGAATTTTGTGAAACAGTTTAGAAATGTACAAATATATGTTAGATCAGTTGATTAATACAGTGTGAATGTGCCCTTACACGATTCCAGCCGAACTCAATTCCGTAGTTTAAAATATCGTGTCAAAAGAGAAAAAACAGCTTGGCAATGACAGCAATGCCATTGCCATATCATTCATAGTTTCCTATATGCATTATCATCTTAGACTTTCATAAAACAGAAAAAGTAAAATATTGAAACCAATACGTTCTAATTATATTTTTTTTGGTTGGCCTTTTGGTTATTAGAATTATTAATAGTAAAGAAAAACCACGGGTCTCATAATTGAGATGACAAATGGTCCATAACCTCACCATTTGATTTTAGGTAGGATCCAGATAAGTTCTTCTGGCAAACCATCATCAGCCAATACATTTAGGAATATAGTATTCTTGATTAAATTAAATAATTAAGACTTTAGGGATAATGGTCTTATTCCTTAGATTATTGAATTCCCAATGATAGGCTTCTTGTTTATAGTATTTTGTAGGTGAGAATGATCAATTTCTCCAACTCTATCAGGTTCTTTTTATTTTATTTTTCTCTTCTCACAATTTGGGGTTGCATTATCTTCATTTTAATAATCATATATGTTAAGACACTATTAGCAACATCGATATTGTCTTTAACTTAACCACCTGTTTAGCAGGTTTGTGGTTTTATACAAAAAATCTCCAATGTTATTAGGAGTGAAATTATTTATTATATGAGAATTTCTATTTTGTTAAGTTTTCGATATGGGACTTGTATCCAAAACAATATCCATCCCGATTCAATTTCTTTAACAATATCCATCCATCATTACTGAATGTTTTACAATATTTGTGCATTCATTTCTTATCTTCTTTTCTTTTGTGTTTGAAAAAAATTGAATGCACGAAACGAAAGTAGCAGAAAGTAGAATAGAAAGAAGTGAACCATATATCTTTTACATGTAAAAGCAGCGACAACATACCAAAGCAACCAAAAAGTAAGATGTGAGTGATGCATTGGACCGTTGCCTGCTTCTTTTTGGGTCTAGATGACGGTTTAACACTTATTATTGTACCAACTACATTTCCAACTTTATATATTGGACTTGACAACTGACTTTTTAGTTGGTGATGAAATTTCATTTAATGGTAAATTATTGTGATGATATCTTAAGTTAATCACGTACACTGCTATGTAAGAAAGTTAAAATGTATGGTAGCTCGTGATTAAATTTAGATACTGCTACATGACGTCCCGCTATAAGTAAGTTTTTCTCCTTTCTTAGCGTTTAAGTGATCTTTAACTCAAAATTATGAAGGAGTGATCATCTAAAATGATGAACAAAGTTGAGAAATTAAAAGTAAAGCCATTTACTTTAGTAGCCGTTGGAGGACAAGGAGGGGCCCATGCAAGCGAAATCAAGCTAATATGGATTATGGGCGGCATAAAATAACATAATCATGTTAATCATCATACTTAAACAATAACATAAAAAAATACACACTTTCTATGTGCCCCCATAAATACCCCTACACACTCACAAACCCACCATCAAGCCCCATTCCAAAAGCACAAACTTCACAAGCCACAACAAGCGCATAGCTAATTTAATTTGTAGTCACAGAAGAAGCCATGGCTAAAGATGTAGAGGGAGCTGAGCATGGTGAGTTTGCAGCCAAAGACTACCATGACCCTCCTCCAACCCCCTTCTTTGATGCTGAGGAGCTGACCAAATGGTCTTTCTACAGAGCTCTTATTGCTGAGTTCGTTGCCACCCTTCTGTTCCTTTACATCACCGTTTTGACCGTCATTGGCTACAAGTCCCAGAGCAGTGGAGACCAATGCGGCGGCGTTGGCATTCTCGGCATCGCCTGGGCCTTTGGTGGCATGATCTTTGTCCTTGTTTACTGCACCGCCGGTATTTCTGGTACGTGTTTCTTTTCTGACAACGTTTGGCAGAAATAAACAAAAGTGCTTTTGAAAAAAACATTTCAAAAATACTTGAAATCACTTTCTTGATTAGTAAGCACTTGAAAGTAATTCTTGAAGAAGCATATAAGTGCTTGAAAGAAAACCCAAGTTGTAGAAGAATTTGAATTTGAACGTGTTTTTAATAAAAGAGATACTAAATAAAAAGTACTTTGTTCAAAAGCACTCCCAAACACACTCGAAGCTAGCTAGTTTTCGTTTGGGTGCTGAGAAAAATGAAAGAAAACAGAATTTGAGTCTTATTATTAATTTTTTCATATGACAATTGCAGGGGGACACATAAATCCAGCTGTGACCTTTGGACTATTCTTGGCTCGCAAGGTTTCACTGCCGAGGGCAGTCTTGTACATCGTAGCCCAGTCTTTGGGTGCGATCTGCGGTGTTGGGTTGGTGAAGGCCTTCCAAAAGACATACTACGAGGAGTATGGCGGTGGAGCCAACGAGTTGGCTGCTGGGTACAACAAGGGCACTGGCTTGGGAGCTGAGATCATTGGTACCTTTGTTCTTGTCTACACTGTCTTCTCTGCCACTGACCCCAAGAGAAATGCCAGAGACTCCCATGTCCCTGTAAGCTCATCACCTAATTAACCATGCTTATCTATTTTTAATTAGCTCCTAATAACTCAATTTGACTTATTTTGTTCTTCAACTAACTTTCGTTTATGTGATTTGAACTTGCGGATTCCATCCCTCCACAAAATTTTGTTAACCCTAAATGTTTTTTTATATTCTTAAATTAAGGTCTTGGCACCACTTCCCATTGGATTTGCTGTTTTCATTGTTCACCTGGCAACCATCCCAATCACTGGAACTGGTATCAACCCTGCTAGAAGTTTTGGAGCTGCTGTGATCTACAACAAGGACAAAGCTTGGGATGACCAAGTATGTGCTCTCTCTCTCTCTCTCTCTCTCCCCCCCCCCCCCCCCCCCCCCCCCACCCCTTTCACATTAAATTGAATTTGTGTTATTAATTTTCTTTTGGGGTTTAAATGATTAAACATGCATGCAATGGTTAGTTATGTTAATTAATTGAATTTGTTTTATATTTCAGTGGATCTTCTGGCTTGGACCATTTATTGGAGCTGCCATTGCTGCCTTGTACCACCAATACATTCTGAGAGCAGGAGCCATTAAGGCTCTAGGATCTTTCAGGAGCAATGCTTAGTTAATTATTTTCACCCATGGTTTTCAAGTGGAGATGGTCACTTTTTCTAAAAAGAATAATTAACAAAATGGAGGAATGCAAGTCTGTCCTGAGGGGGGTTCCTTTCAGCAATCTCCTCTTGTCTCTCTCAAGGGCTCAAAGGGAAGAAATTGGTGGAGGGCCATGGAATTGTAGATAAGCATGGCTTTGGGCAAGAGTGTTATTTTGTATCCCTCTCTTCTTTGTTACTTTTCTTACTTTTGCTTTCCAATTATGTTTGTGCTATTTTCATTTCTTCTGTGTAGCCTTATCTTTTATTCCCTTTTTTTCTTTTGTTTCTTTTCCAAGTGGTGTATGCATGTTGATGATGATGGCAGAGAAAGCTAATGAAATATGGGTTGTGTTCATTGGTCTCAATCACCTTCTATTGATGCTTCACACATCATTTTTGCTTGCAAATTAATTTAATTAGTCAATAGTTAATTTTCTGTCCATTAATTATCAAGATTAGGTGGAGTTAATTAATTTGGGATGAAAATGGGGTCTTGATTGAGACATTTGAAAGATGCATTTTAACTTAACTTTAGTTAAAGGATGGGGCCTATAAATAAAAGTTTGGCTAAATTATGCTCTTTTGTCCCCATGCTATGATTAATTTCACCTTTCCCATAGCGAAGTGTAAATTTTGTCCATCGTTCATCATTTTTAATCAGTGTAAAATTTGAAGCCCAATGAAATCAAAACACTAGAAAGAATAATAAAGAATTAATGATAGAGGTCTAACGCAAGAGATTTGTAATTCCAAATGATTAAAAGCAGTTATTCTTACACTCGAGTTCTGTATTCAAATGCCCCCTCAGTCAATATCACTTGTATACTAAAACTATTAGGAAAGTCCAAGAGAAGTGAAGTAGTAGGAAGATTATGGGTATGCCCTAATTTAATTGCAATATAATATCAAAACTAGGGATGTGTTGTATGCATTCTTATCGTTTCAATTATTAAAAAGGTGGTGATAAACATGCACAAAAACAATAAAAAGAAGACTGTGGGCCTTTTTGTTTTTTATGTGGTGGTGGTGGTGGTTCTTGGAAGCTGGAAATGAGATGGATGATACATTTGATTTCATTATCTTTGTTTGGCAGTAGTTAGGCTAAAGGGACAACACATAAAATAAATAAATGCCAGGTCAATAGAGCTGGGTTTGCCTTTGCTTTATAAAAGGTGGAAATTTCATGGAATATTAATCGTGTTAGGTTTTCTAGTGACTAATCTACCTTATCTTCTCCCCTATTTTATGGCTTTCTGGTCGTTTTCTAGGAATAACAAGTAGGTGTGCTTTTGGCTGCTTGATGATGCACATATTGGCTTTGTTTATGGGGTTTTGTTGTTGGACTTGTGCATGTGATGTGAGAGATGCTTGGCTTCCTCATATCACTCTATATTTATAAGATTACACTTGGAGAAAATAATTCTTTATAAGTTAATTATGTTTTATATTTTATAAGAGTGATTAAGAGCAGTTACACCCGCATCTGAGGTCTTAAATTTGATTTCTCCTCCCCTTTCCTTATATCGCTTGTATTAAAATATATCATGTTTTATATTTTTGAATTCAACGTTTAAAGTTCATAAAATATGAACTCGTAATTTCTTCTGAACAAAGCAAAAACTAAATATCATTATTGAATTACTAAATACGTCATGCTCTTATATTTATTGAATTGCTAAATACTAACTTAGTATTTTAGTACTACGTTCTAGTTGTGAGATAACAATCAATTATTAAGACAAAGGTTGGAATTGAAGTGTCCTTCCTCCTCTTTTGATGGGTGTAATATTTTTCGGTTTTTTATTTGAATGACTTAGAATATGATAAGAGTATCTTACTAAAATACTATTTGGTAAATTAATTTATGAATATAATCTTATCAAATAATGCACACTATTCGTCATGAAAAGGAATATAATCAAAATCATAAATATTTATTTAGATTTTTTTAGTCAAACATATTTAAAGTGTTGTTATTTACATGATATTTACTGATTACGTTGTTGATCGCATCTTTAATATAAGTGGATCCCACGGATACTAGTGGTGAGCCCACTTCTAGGCTATGAAAGTTGCGAAAACGCATCCCTTCTTGGTCTTATATATAAAAGAAAGTAGAGGCCCACATTTCTCTTTGTTTTATTTTCCTCAGCTTCTACTTTTTCTTTTTGGTATTTGGGGGAAGAATTTGGAAGCTTCAGCTTCTATCTGCATTACAAAATATTCCTTTCTGCAACTTTTGCACACTACGATTCTTCTGGAGTGATGAGATTATAAATTTATACTTGCGCTGGGTCAAATTCCAGATATATATATAGCTTGTAATTAAATGTATAGATGGTTTTATACATTGACACAAGTGTTCCACTAAATTGATTCCTATATAATTTCACCTAAACAAAACAACTGGTGGTTATATACATAACAAGATTCTATGTGCATGACATTTGTCTTTTGTAAAACGAAGGATTTTGTATTAATATTGTACAACACAATGTATCGATAACGTATTGGTATGTTTTGTTATTGACATGTCATATCGATTTCAAAGGATGACTTGTCCAAAATAAAAGCTAATATATAGCAGAATTTTGATGGGCTTTCATTCTTTTTGGGGGCCTTCTTTTGGTCATACTTCACATATTCAGCTCAATGAAGCAAATCTCACAAGTTAGATTGCTAGCTATAACTTCCTCGGCGAGGATGCAGGGTACAGATTAATGGGAGCTGGAGATATTAGCGCCAGACATGGAACCAGCAATAGCCTAAAATTGAAGTGCAACAACAAATTTCTTAAAAACCAACACATGAATCGAAAACTATATCTGAAAAACTCTACGCTTTTCTATTGGACTTATACTATTAATGAAGATAAGAAAGCCCAAGAATGGGCCGATGGGGTCTAATCCAATAGAAAATAGCCTTGACTTGCAGACCAATGATCTCAGGTTCGATTGTTGAAGTGATTTTGATATGTCAGAGACTTGTGACAGATACAAGATTGATTTATATTGGATGGTGAATATGTTAAAAGTTGGGATCACAACGGACTTCTGTTCACACATTAAATTTAATCAAGTTATTCTCCACATTTAAAATTTATATTACTCAACACACCCGACATATTTTCAAAACAAATTTTTTAAGTTTTTTATTTAAAGGATTTAAGATTGTTTTTCTAATAAGATTTTTGGCAAAGAAGGAAATTTGTCATTAAGAAGTTTCTTAAAACTTGAGTGTATTGATCAAATCAAAATCACACACATGTTAAGGACCCATCCATCCATATTCGACGATGGGCTTCTTTTGAGGACTACTCAATTGTCTTGGCCAACCTTCTACCCCACAAAGAAATGAAAGGATCAAAAAGACAAAATATTTGCCATGGCCAACCTTTCTTGTTGCATGTACCATGTACTAAACTTGGGAAGATGTAAATTAATGACACATTGAAACATCTTCAAGTAGCCAAAAGAAAGGTATATTTAATCATATATGAGCAACTCTTGTGATTTGGAAGATGCATTGCTAAAACATGTGAAACCCATCAACACAAAGCAAGAATCTTGTGCATGCCTTAAGTGAGCCTATCAGTTTCAATGAGAGAGAGAGAGAGAGAGAGAGAGAGAGAGAGAGAGAGAGAGAGAGAGAGAAGCTTTAAAGGCTGTTCATGATTCTAATATTTATTTTTGCGTCAGAAAATCATGATTCTAATATATTTGAAGTTTGGCATGCGTTTTACCCATATATGCAATGATGTCCAATTGGCCGGTGACACAGGTATAATTACAACACATGATGAACAATGTATGTGAATGCCGCTCCTCCAAGCTAAGAAAACCATGCTAGCTACCTCGTTAGCCTCCTATTACTTTGCTCTTTTTACACTCTACACTTCACTATTTTGCTTTTCTGGTTTGTTGCCATTGATTGTACTTGTGAGGTGTATTGTAACCCAACTTTAAATGATGGTCTAAGATGATAATTAAGGAAGACTTTAAAGAGATTTTGTGGGGGGGAGGGGAAGAAAGTGGTTGAGGCCATGAGTTTGATTTGCATGTTTATGTACATGTGTTTGTGATCAAAACCTATCAATTAAGGATATGGAGGGCTCATGTCTGCTTATTTAAGGTACTCATGTAGAGAAATCATGATTAAGAGAAGGTGAAGCAGAAGGTTAATTTTCTCAAATAAAAAAAAGTAGTGAACATTAGGACGCTAGTAGGATATAGCTCAGTTGGTTTAACTATTCCACCTTCATCCACGCAGAGGTTCGAAACCCCCAGACACTCAATGAATATTTGTGTAAACCCCCTCCCTCAATCGCTTATACTAAAAAAAATTAAGCTTGTGAAACAAATTTAATAGACAATCAGACCACTTCACTGCATAGGTCACAAGTTTCCAACCAAATGGGGCGGTGACTAGGAGGATAAATTGGAATTGCCTTTCAAAACCCTCTCAAGGACTGGCATGCAACTTCTCAATAGAGATAATGATTCATAGAAAACTGAAACAAAACTAACCTTTATAAGGGTATTTCTGGGAGTTTAGACTGCTTTATTAGGGATGGCATAGAGGACATCACCATCATTCTGTTCCCTCCTGACCTATTTTCCATCAGCAAAATTCTAGTCCAAGCAACAACCACTGGTTTAGGACCTTATAAAAGCCAGACTGAAGCACAAGGTTGAGAAGAAAACAACATAAGCAAGGAAGTGAGAAAAAAAATGACTTCCATGGTTTCTCTCTCTGTCATCTTCTTCTCTTCTCTGACCCTTCTCTCCATTGCCAGTGTTGCAGAAGAAAGAGCCCCCCATGGCTTAGCCAGAGAATACCCAATGGCTTTTCCACCATCAGCCTATAAATTTTTTCATCCAACCAACCAAAACCCTATTGCCAAAGACCCATGTAAGGCATCCACTTGCTCACCATTAATGCCTATAGCAGCCCAAGTGCAAGCAACTGAAGCACATGAGAGCAAAGTTTCTGCATCCCAGAATGGAAGGACCAGATTGGGAGTTGGTGGGATTGCTGGCGTTGTGTTTGGTTTAGCATTTGCAGCCTTTGTGGCCATGGGTGTTTACTATGTACTTGTCTCACGTAGAGACGATATGAGGAAAGCCAATACTGTTAAACCTGATGTATGATGTTCTCACTGCATGAGGTTTCACAGCTTGGCCAAAGCCTCGAACCCAATTTCATCTCTCTATGGATCCTTCCTTCATTGTACTAAAACCAGATTATGTAGCGTGTAGCTATAATTCATTAGTGATTAGTTGCATGGTATTTACGAGTACTAACATGTTTACTTATCAGAATTGTGTTTGAGAAGAAAATGAATTATTTCAATTTCTGACTTCCTCACGTTTTTACTAACGCAGAAGTTTACTAACACACAAGTATCTGAATCCCACCTTAAAATTTGTAATCCATACCCTCAAAACAAGAAATTGAATAAACTCTACGTAGAGTAATTGATCGAATTCCAAATTCTTAATTCCCCTATTATTAAGTTCCACGATTCCTTTCCTTATTTCGATCAAACCAAGTAGGTAAACATGATATTCAAATAATTACCAATGTAATCATCACTAAGGGCAGTAAATTACTGGTAAAGTAAAATAATTGAGGCGACAGGAAAGTCGCGGAGGAGGTTATGGAGTAACTTCCAATGGTCGCAATTGAAAAAATGAACTACAGGGACTGTGTTTGACAATCTGAGCCAAAACCATTCTGGTACCAACATTCGATTCTGACTTTTGGTACATCATGATTCATGAGTTGTCCCACGTTATATGCATTATGAAGAAGCCGACAAGCATGTTCACTATTGTAAAACTTAAAAACAAACACAAAAAAATCCGACATAGTCATCATGCCTTTGAAATCATGGACAAAGTGCATTCCCTTCTGATTGCTCAAAATATGATTTAAAAAAAACAAATGTCGGCAAGTTTGGTTTAGCATGTATAAATGTCACGAAAGTAGAATTCCATACGGTGCAGTGCAGCTATTCAAATGTATCTACTACCATCCAGATGAACTAAGAGACTCAATCACAGGTCGAAATGTCTGGTCCACAGCTTTGTTCCAAAGATGCGCAAACTCTGCACGAGATTTGCTTCCAAATATTGGCTCTCTAATCTGCAGAATTTTGAAAGCTCAAACCATTAGAATCTACATACTGCAAGCTAGGACGTCACTATTTCATAGAGCATTCATTCTATGCTATGCACGCTTATTGGTAGGTTCAGTAAAGTCCACTGTTCCATGCAACATGATAAGTTTAATAGAGAATATCCAAGAAACAGGCCAAATAGGGAAAGTGCACAGAAGTCCATAACAAGAAGGCATAAATCCCGAGTTCACAACCCTACTTGAAAAGTTCCTGCTCTGGAAATATTGCCTAACCAAAAGAGATTCTAAACTCAATGGCTTCCTATATTCTTCAACTTTCATGAACTAAGAGCTTTGTCCTAACTACTGGCGAGGTGTGTGTATGGAGGTGGGAACACTTCTGCTAAATAAGCACTACCTAAGCATCTGAGAAAATCTAAGTCAAAACTAAACTACTTTTAACTTCATTTTTCCTTCCCCATTCCCGAATTCCAAATAATTATTACTACAATTATCAATGAACAATTATAGTGAGCAGGAATAATATAAAGAAAGCAATAATATGTTTCCTTTAGCAATATATACTACATTAGACACATCCTCTGTTCTTTGCTCCTATGTTACCACACAATACTCACAAGTCTCTCCATGCTAATGCTTTCTATGCATACTCAACAGAATTGCAATTTGGCACGGCATGCCACGTTTCTAATTATCACATCCTTTATTGAAAAGATGTTTCTTTCTTTTTATTATTGTTCAACTATCAAATGTCTTAAGAGGAGTGGTGAACATCCCTACCAAGCAGCTTTATTGTTCAATTATCAAACTTAATTGTTTGTATTGTTGAGCTATAAGTTCCTGGAGAAAGCAAAGACAGAAAAGTCCGTGATTGTTCCACTGCATTTTCATACCCTTCATGACCGACAATCGTTGTGATCATCACCAATTCAGTTCCACATTGATACATGCTTATAGCTTAGCACCACGGTCAGTAACATTAAGCCATGATCTTGTATTAAAATTGACATTGTATAAATAATAATAATAATAATAAAACTTTTCCCAACAAATGAGCCAGCAATACTGATTAAGCAATCCTGGTCCTCCCATATCCTAACTATCTGGTTATTAGATCAATTGGGTAAGCCTATAAATCAACAAGATCAAGACTTTACAGACTGAAGCTAGGGTTTCTGTCTCCACAAAATGGCGTAGTTCTACATAGATATGAATAAGAATTTGGGAATTACCTGAGATTGGGTGACGGATTTAGATTTGGTGCCAGAAATGGAGTTGTAGATGCATCTGCGTTGCTCAAAGACAACGATTCCGGTGAATATGCTTCCGAGTGCAGCGCCCAGAAGACGCTCCTGCATTGTCAAAATTTGTTCACAGAAAAGTAAGAATCAAATTGGAACTGAAGCATTTATGTCTAAAATCTTGATTTTACCTGAGCAAGAATGCTAATCATGGCGTTGAATATCTAATCCTGATTGTTGGATTTCTTCAAATTTTCTGCAAATGGAGGAAAACTATGGCTGCTTTTTGCCTTTGCCTCGCAGCGACGCAGCTAGAAAGAGGACCCAACTTGTGCTGGGTTGTATCGGATCAACTCTAGGTTCTATTGGATCCACTCTAATGGTAGGGCCAGTATAGCACAAAACCCATTAAGGAAGGGGTAATAGAGAACATGAAGAAGGCCCAAGATTGCAACCTAATGTAAACTACAATTACACATTCTTAAATTATAGGACATCATATGTGAGTTAGGTCAGTTGGTCAGGGCATTGAGTTGATCCCTTTGCACTAAGTTTGCGTCCCCCTCTTCATATAAATTATAGAAACGAAATTGAAAATCGTAAAAAACTATGAGGGTTAAAATGTTTTTTGATCTTTCGTTAAATTTGAGAACTTACAATTATCGTATTGTTGGACACTTGATAGTGTTGAAGACAATTCTAAAAAATGAGACGTCCACTCCTAAACTGGCTTATTCACTTAGTACTCATGCACATTTCTTTTATTAATGAAGATGAAGAATTTTAAATTTGGAATCTCTTCCAATATTAAGCACGTTTTAATTTGTAATTTCTCCTCTCAAGTTTCACAATCCGAGTAGTAGTAGCCCATAAAAGAAGATCAACTAGTTGAAGTCTTTGGCTGGACTTCGTTGGCCAAGATTTGAGGCCAACAATGTCTCTACAATCTGTTATAAAATCTTCAGAGGCATACAACCTTCTTTTGAATGCTCTATTAAATATAACTACCAATCAATGTGGGAAGTTGAGGCTGTAACATGTTGGTACATGTACACCTTAGCTCTCGAACAAAGCTTTAATACTATTTTGATGCAATTGACAAAAACAATGCAGCTTCTAACATACTTTGGCATTACTTTTGAAATGGGTAAAAATATTTTTAGATAACTGAAAAAAGGGTGCTGATTTTCTCATTCATTTTTCTCCATTTACACTCAATTTTGTTTTTTAATACTTTTTACTCTAAATATAGAAGTGTAGAGTGTAAAAAAAAAGGATAAAAAAAAAAAAAAAAAAAAAAAAAAAAAAAAAAAAAAAAAAAAAATTCATGGTGTTTCACATCAAAAGTAAAAACACACTTTTGACTTCAAAAAGAAATTTTCAATACTTTATGAAGAAGTACCTGGCAAGATGCTTCTTTAAAGAAAAGCACTTGATTTTTTAATTCACAAAATTAAAATGTACTCCTAACATCTTATGAACAGAAGTTTCCAGGGGCCCTAAGTAATATTTCATTAGGTAACGGTATGATTCAATTTAAAAAATTTGTAAACAAGGATGTAGTACTAAGACCTAAAAGTTGAGTAATTGGGTCGGCAAAGGGATTTTAAGGAAAGGGTAGTAGGGAAGGCGTTTGCATGTGAGCCCCTGTCAATGGACGGCACAACCAGTGTCATGTGACTGTCGCTGCTAAGACTCGTTGGACTTATATGGACCCCTCTCTCTCTCTCTCTCCGCCTTCATTCATTTTAAGACAGTGACTTGGGAGCCAAAAAGTCCAACTCTCTCAAGCCCCAAGCCTCCCTCCTCACTTACTCATTGGTAGAAGCTGTTCTCATAGTAAATACAAACTCACAGTTGGAAGTACGCACATCATTAAACCCAAGCAGCAATGACAATGAACATCCATCAATCCATGATGTTGAACTTAATAATAACTGGGTTAGAAGAAAGACAGGGCATTCAGAAAAATGACAAGAAGCTAGAGAGCTCTGTGTGTGTTTTTTTGTGGAAGGTTAAAATCCTTGTCCATGTTGTGCAATGTATTATTAATCATGTTCTATCAGCATACTAATCCTTTGCCAAGAAAAGGACAGTCCCACATTTTTCTCTCAACCTCTAGTTAACAGGTTATATAATTCGACAATAGTTTTCATTTAAAAATCCTTGCCATTTTTCTCAAAACCAATTGGAAAGTTTGAGATTTTGACAATGGTTTCAGTTATTTGGCACTGAGATGATAATTTTTGGGCCAAAATATAATTTTGTTCTTTAGTTTAGGCAAAGTTTCAATATGGTATTTTTAGTTTTTACCGGTTGACGACGAGGGAGAAAGACCGACATTATTCAACAAATGTAGTTTACTAATTATTGCAATTCAAGGATAGCGGCTTAATTATATCCACTTTCTAGATCAAATCAGAATAAGAATTTGATACTATGTTAGTTTTAAAAACTTAAACTCCAAGGAAATGAGCAGACAATATATATCAAATGACTACCCCTAACTTTAGAAAACTAAATAATTTGTTTGGTCAGATGAAAACAAAATGATTGTACTTTGGTCAAATGAATACTAACAATTCAATAATGGTCATGTAGTTATTTCAGACGGTAATCACCACTTCCATAATCTTAACAAATGCGAAGAGTCCAAAAAACAAAGAGTCTTCGAAGAACAACTGTTTTGTGTCATAGGAACATCCGGACCTACTTGCAATTTGCAAGATCTTATGTTGTGTGCCATTAATTATGTGTTTGTCTTTGGCTGCTTTTCTGGGTTGTCTTTGTTTTCAATGCAAACCTGCAAAAAGGGCCTCAAGAACTGACAAAACAAACCGGTAAGCTTGCCTGAAAAAACAAGAGCTGCTTTTTTCATTGTTCATGATTCTCTTCAGCTCCATTCTTGCAGGGCATGGTCAGCTTTATTGCCCACTCTCTCTCTCTCTCTATATATATATATAATATTGATTGTGGCAATGGTGACTTTTCCTTGACAAGTAGAGAAAAACAGTTTGCAAAAGACTCTTGACATGTCCTGACATTGAAGTTCAGGACCATTTAGATGCACTTAGTTTTGTGTTGTGTCAATTTGTAGGATTTATCAGAACTTTTTTGACTAGCTAATTGTAACTTTTTGTGTAATTCTCTCTGGTTGTACTAGTGTTCCACTGTTCTTGTGAAATAATTGAAAAACCCAAATATCTTCAAAGATTTGGATTTTTCATTCTAGATTTACTGAACAATGAAAGTACAAAATTTGTGAGAAAAGTGACTTTTTTTAAGGGAAAAAAAAACCTGTAGGAAAAGTAGAGAAGTCGTTCTGGGTTTTGGAACTTCAACAGTTTGAACTTATTCATGCGGATGTTCTGGCATTCATTTTTCTCGGATTTCAGGCTTTTTGAGATTCCCAGGGAATTTCTTGGGATATGGATTTTGATTTTGTTGCCAACCAAGTGTGAATGAATTGTTGGGATTTTAGCCGTTGAACAAGACCAGCAATAGTCCCATCAGTTCAATAAAGACAGCCTGTTATGTCGCTTGTTAAGGGTTTTCCTTCTTTTGTTTTTGTTTCTTCTCTTTTGCCCTTTTCTGATTCAAGTCTCAAGAATCTCAAGTGTCTGGTTAGCTTTTGTCGTACAGTTGTAGTTAGCCAGCACACTGATCCTACGTTTGAATCACCAAAAAGTTCAAAAAAAACAACTTGGCATTCATGTGCTTTATAAGCTTTCATTAAAAAAACATAAACTTCGATGTCTCTTCCTATTGTTCCTTCTTCCTTTTACTTGTTTGTAAGTTCAATCATGTTTCTTCTCCCCTTAACCAAATTGTGCTTTGCCTTCACCTCTCTCGTCTTTTGTTTATATTTGATACTTGTAAGTTACAAGTACCAGTATAAATCTGGGTTGCCAGCCACTCAAACAAGAACTTGTGGCTGATATTTGATTTTTGTTCTCTCATTTGTAGTTTAAACTCTTCCAGGTTATTTGAAAAGCGGGTCTAATGTGATACGGGTTTTGGAGGGCTTCAATGGGTTGATGCTTATTGACAATGCGCTTGTTCTGGTGGCAACAGCTGCCTCTGCTTTTACTGATCCAACTTTTGGAACCCAGCAGAACAGGCTACAAAATATATGGTACTCTTTCTCTCACTTTCCTTTTCCGAATGCATTCTTATTCTGAACATAATTAGGATGGATGAGTTCCTCAGGAAGAATTAAAAGCAACCAAATTGTTCCTATTGTTATTTGGCTCAAATGAGAGTCATATATATATATATTTGAATTGCTGTTTTTTGAGTATGTGCATGGTGATTAGAATTGGAAATGCCTTGTACAGAGAGGTCTAAAATTAGATGAGCATGTACAACACTTTCCAGATTTCCCTTTTGAACTGATGTACTGCAATTTTCCTTTTTAAGAAGCTGTGCAACAATACTCATCTGATTTATTTATTTTTGGTCAAAAAGTACATAGTTTTGATCATGTTCTTAATGGTTTGGCTAGGCATACAGTAGACGCAAAATGTGCATGATGTTTAGCCTGTTGTTTTGAGTACTATACTTTGCTTTCCATTGTAATTGCCATGAAAGAATACTGACTTCTTATTCTTTTTTCCCCTTTCTGAAACCTATAGCTGAAGCTCTACAAACTTTCAAGAGAAGAGTTGGAGGTCCTCAACTATTCAATGGTCAAATCGGAAGATATCCATGTCTAAGACAATGGAAAATTGTCAACTGCCATAAGGACCAGTATGTTGTTTCTTTGTAAGATCTGTGTGCGTGTGTGTGTGTTTGTGCAGTCTGTAATGTGCAGAAGTGTATAAGGATGCATCAGAAAATCAAACTAAAAAAAATACGTTGCCTTCATAGTATGGATATATCAAAAGTTAACAACTTGATCTTTTTGCATTTCCCTATTTATGTTGAACATAACCTTGATTTTCTAGTCTACTAGTTAAAACTGTCAATCGCCTGGTTTGTAATTAGATGCTAGTTTTACGAACTGGCTCCTTGGGAGCAGTAGATTGTATCGGATCACTGATGCAATTATGTTCTCTGAGTTTTACTTCAAGATTCCAGATTAGTGTATCATGTTTAACTAGTTAAAAAGAACAGGGTAGGTGCCTCCATTTAAAAATAATGTTTAACTAGTTACTGATGGAGTCATATGAAGATTGCCATTATTCTAAAACAATTTTCTTATCATTACCTATCCTACTCAACTCCGAAGCGTGCACCTTAGGTGTTAAATTCTGTTTTTGACTCAGTTTCATCTTTTGATCACTCATTTCCGTAGAACATGAAAAATCATCTTAGATGTTATTCTGTAGCAGGTTTTCTGGTATCTGTTCAGTTCCTCGGCGGGCTAACACAGTCAATTTGTCCCCATTTTCTCCAAGACTTGTTGTTGCACACTCTTCAATTCAGTTACAAAAAGAGCTCCATAAACCAAGAAACAGGAGGATAGCAGCCATAGTTGATGGGGATAATGGTGCTCCAACACTCACACCTGTGAAAGAAGCACGTGGTAACAATCCAAGAAAGCAGAAAGTTGCAGCAATTATTGGTGGAGTTGCTGCAGCTCTGCTTGTGGTTATCATAGTGGTGCTTGTTTACATCTGTTTGATGCGAGTGAAAAGATTCATTAGACGAACATCAGAAACAGAGTCATCCGTACCATCACCTCCTGGTGAGTTAGCTTATAACCATTTGAGACTGGAAATTTTCAGACCTTGAAGGGGTGTAAAATGAGGCAAGATCTAACTATAGCATTATCATTTGCCAAAAATTTATATGGATTAGTTCTTGCGATGCCCTGCATATGCCTTCAGCCTTCCAGGCAGTTGATGAAGGGGCATGACATAAACATGTGGAATATCTGTTGCCTTGTGTGTTCTCTTTAAGTCAAATGAATCTGTATGAAGGCTTCAAAACAGAAAATTTGGAACAGCATTGAGCTAACTAATAAGTTTCTGGATGGAAACAGCGCTTTCATACAATTTTGGCATCACTTTTTTGAGTTGGAGTTTCCCAAACAGGCCCTCAAGATAAATCAATTTGTTTGAGCAAGAGAGAAAATTAGCAATTTACCAGAAGTAAACAGTAGGATGTGATAAAGCTTATAGAGAAGTTCATTTATGCATGATATTTATTTATATGTTGTATTAATTGGTATTTTAAATGTTAAGGTTATGATTTGGCTCGATGGGTAAGTTCAGTGAATTAGTTTTTCCTTTCATTTCTTTCAGTTGAATGGGAAAGAGGGAATATGTCTCCCTACGCCGTTGCTCTCTCTGTGTATAATACACAGAACTTGAGACAACTCACCGTATTGGAACTGGAACAAGCGACATGCAATTTCAATGAAATTAATATCATAGGCCAATGTAGATTTGGTTTGGTCTACAAGGGATTGCTGCAAGATGGATCCATTGTGGCTATCAAGAGACGCCGACATGCCCCAACTCAGTACTTCTTTCATGAGGTACACAAGTGTCAAATCAGATTTCTTAGTGAGGTACTGTCTAGACACTCTTTTGATAGCAGCACTTCTGAGTATGTTGCATTCTCTGGATGCAATACAGGTGAAGCGCATAGCTCATGTCAACCACGTGCATGTTCTCAGGCTTATTGGTTATTGTCAAGATGCTAGTCAACAGTTACTTGTCTATGAATATCTTCCAAATGGGAATGTTGGAAATCATCTTTATGGTAATCTCTCTCTCTCTCTCTCTCTCTCTCCCTCCCTCCTTCTAACCACATAATTATGCAGATGCTGAAGGTTTACCTATTGGAAAGTTGGGCATAAGACAAAGGTTATCAATTGCCTTGGGAGCAGCTAAAGGTACATAAGCTGGTTCAAGGTCTTGTGCTCATCTTTCTCTTTTGTGTAAACACAATTGAATTTTCCCCCTACTTTTATTCTGGACCAGGACTTGCGCATCTTCACAATTTGGTGCCTCCTCTCCTGCACATGTATTTCAGGACAAGCAATGTTCTACTGGATGAAAACTTTACTGCCAAGGTGTCTGATTATGGACTAACCAAATTGCTAGTTAAGGGCCATCATGCCGGATCATCGTCTGCCATAGATTACTTTCTTGACCCGGAGTATGTAATCTCTCTCACTAAAGTTTATATGCTCAATGGTAGAATGCATATAGCACATCTATGTACCTGTAATGTTATTTGTCACCAACAGTCTAGATCACTTGATGTGCAAAATGGCCTGCAAGGAAAATAAGAGCCAAAGACTCCTCAGTCAATTCCTAGTAGGTCATGTAGGTACATCAAGTGATCTATACTGGTGAAAAATAGCAGCTAACATTACCATTAGTCTTGGTGACTCAGTCTATTATATAACCCTGCACTTCTTTTAGGTCAATTTAGCAGAAAATAACTCTAGATAAATTTCCTCATGGATACGCGTCTGATAAGCATACTTTGTTATGGTGGCTTACCATTAGAGTCATGCATACTCTTCTCAAAATGTCAACTGATATTCTTTTGTCCTCCTAGCATATGATGCTCTTCTTCTGGATTCACATATCGTTGTAAATTAGACTCCTGTAACAGAATTTGTTTTAAGTTCCATTACAGAAATTTAATCTGTACTCAGCTGAGTACGAACTGTCAAGATTGGAAGTTGATTGTATTATGGTGATACGGCTTAACTTTCTTCTAGTACTACATTGAGCAGCTAGTAACAATCTGCTTGTGAGGGCTTCATATGTTACCTCAGTTCTTATAATTGAAGTTGCTTCGAATTCTGAGTTGAATATTCCAATTAAAAGAAAAACCTGCATATCTCATTCATTAGAGAACTATGATTTTTGTGTATAGACTGAATTTGTTATGATTTCTAATTGGATCCTTTCTTTCCCCTAAAGGTTAGACTTATCAAAGAAATTTTCAGAGAAAAGTGATGTGTACAGTTTTGGGGTCTTCTTACTGGAATTGATCAGTGGACGTGAGGCGAATGGAAGAATCCAGTTAAGCTCAGGGGATAATTTAATACTGCAGGTACATATCTGTATCTCTCCCTAATTATAACTTTCTTATTGAAATAGTCTTCATTGTTGTCATTATTTAAGGCAATTAGCTCAGCTAGACAAGTCAGTTCATTTATATTTTTAGGCATAAGCCATCAGGAACTTCACTGACTGACTAAGAATTGGTACTTTTTAGTTCATAACACAAACATACAACCCTTTTTTCATTCTTAGAATCTGCACATGTAATGTTATTGTGAAGAAAACGCGAAAGCGACAAGTGCAGCCTGCAGCTATTTTTTTCTCAAGCCTTTCAGTTCTTACAAGTTCGTTTTGCATTTGAAGGCGAAGGGTTGCAATGATTTGGGCAGATTTGTTGATAAAACATTAGGTGATAACTCAATGCAAGCTGCAAAGCAAATGATGGAGTTGGCATTGATGTGCATAGATGCTAGTCAGCAAAGGCTGAAAATGCAGATTGTCGTTGAAGAGCTAGAACGAATTCATCGAGCGACCGAAATTAGCCAATTTCATGTAGAAGTTGATGAGGAGATAGGTGCTGTGGCTCTTGGGAGTGAGCTTTTCAAATGAGCTGCCTGTATGTTTCTCTTCATTCTTTTATAGATTTGATTGGTTGTAATTAGTTGCAGAAGAAAAATACATATTATAAAAAGCATTCTTGAGTATATAAATAAATTGAAAATAGCAAAGTTTCAGGGTTTATCTGCCTCTGCCATCCTTTTAAGTCTTTTCTTTGGCCAACGATAAATTTACCACATTGCCTAAAAGCTATAAATGTGCAAGAAAATCACTGACTTTGGTGGTATAAATAATGTTCTATTCAATCCAAAATAGCCTTTTAATTAAATTGCTCGACATGTTTTCGTGAATTTTTTTGCCAACCAAGCAAAGGAAAGTTGAGAATGTAGTGGAACTGAATGTTCATGGAAGCAGTGCATGAATAGAACTATAAAACACTCATACATCAGAATTTTATTTTTTGTTTTTATCATAAGGACGGGAAATTCGAACTTGAAACTCTTCAAACATTATACAGAAAAGTGCTAACAAAAGATTAGTTGACGCTTTAAAAAAAGAAAAGAAAAGGGATTTTCTATTCTTGGATAGCAAAAGCCGCGCTACAAGTAAAGTAAACCGTTTTCCGAGACCTGCTGCTTTGTTTGTGGTGCTTCCATGCCAAGCAATTCAATCAACATGCAGTCATGTAAACCAAATCTCCAACATAAAGAAATATTTCCTTCATTTATTTACGATGGAGCATGTCCGAAGCCTCTATACTTGCTTTTCTATTTCTTCACGGTTCACACGTTGTAAGACTCACTAGGGGAGGGTTGTTAGGAGAAAAAAAAGAGTCTAGTTGAGGCCTTGTATCTCCACTACTTCAAATTATGATATTAATTATCGTTGCAGTTATGCAATTTACGAAGGAAGCTGTTATTTGCACTCTAAATTAGTCATATCGTAACAGCTTGTTTATCTTTTTATAAATAATAAATTAAAGTAAAACACTCACTGGTGTAGTAGTTTGGACTAATTGCTCTCCAAGCAAGATTCTGGGTTTGAGTCATAGCATCTGTGTTGTGTGTATGACTTTAGTATATTATTGCACATCTCAATAAGAAAAGTCCTAAAAAATATATATGATAACTATTTTGGAGCGTTGATAATTTTAAAAAAAAAGTGTTGCCCTCTTGCACAAGCCACCCCCATCTCTCTTTATCATATTTTTAGGCGATCAAATTGTGGCAAAAAAATTCAAATTGTGGCCCTCTTACACTTTATACCAAATAATTTAATAATATTATGTCATCTGCCTCAACCTCAAACATGGATCTGACAAATAAGTTTGAATTTTTTTTTTCGAGTCCCTAATATAATATGAGGGGAAAATGCAAAATCAGACAACGCAAGTTCTATGCATGCAATGGTCATCTACGCAGTACGAAAACTATTGTTTTATCTTAATTTCATTTTAGTGAAAAAATAATTTTTTGTAGTCTTTTGTTAATTGAATTTAGACTTCTTTCAAATAGTTTTGTCTCTTTTTTTTCTTTCTTAATTGAACTTATGACATTCTAATTGGTGGAAAAGAATCACTTTTGTTTGGGTTTTTTTTAATGATTTTTTTTTAATTGAGATGGGCGATAATATATTAAACTCACACAAATTATACGGATATTAGTACTCGAACTTATGATCTTTTTTGGAGGGAGTAATCGCTCAAAGCCACTCCACTAGTGGGTCTTTTGATTTTCTTTTGGGGTTTTAGTTAAAAGGAAAAAGAAATGAAGTGTTTTTATCAAAAAAGAAAAAATAAAAAGGAAATGAAGTGGAAATTATTAATTGGAGACAAAAATAGGCAAAACAATAATGAAAAAAAATATCTAGAATTACTTTCTAAACAAAAACTAATGTGTGGAGTTAATTCCTGGTCAACGTGAAAATGCTTTAATGCCAAATCCAGCAACTGCAGCGGCAAGCCCCCAAAACGGCGTCGCTTCCCCACCTTGACTCGTCCAGTTTTCCTCCTTCCACTCTCTATAAACCCCGGCTTAAACCAGATCTCACTCTCACTGATCCATCCCCCAACTAGCTCGCTCACTCACACGAAATGGCGAGTCGACTCGTTCTTGTGTTCACACTTGGTGCTCTCCTCTTGTTCTCCCGCTCAGCACTCTGCAAGGACTCAAATCCAATCGACGACGACGACGACGATCTCAGCTTCCTCGAGGAGCCAAGCGACCAAAACGACGCCGAACCGCACTATCGAGATCCGGACCATGACGACGAAGACAATTACGATGATCTCGAGAATTTCTCCGATTTCGACGAGGGCGGCGATCATGAGGACGCGTATAAGGAGCCGGAGGTGGACGAGAAGGACGTCGTCGTTTTGAAGGGGACGAACTTCAGCGACACGGTGGAGAAGAACAGGTTCGTCATGGTTGAGTTCTACGCGCCGTGGTGCGGACACTGCCAGGCCTTGGCTCCGGAGTACGCGGCTGCAGCCACCGAGCTCAAGGGCGAAAATGTAATTTTGGCCAAAGTCGATTCCACTGAGGAAAACGAGCTATCTCAGGATTATGGCGTCGAGGGTTTCCCTACTGTGTTCTTCTTCATTGATGGTGTTCACAAGCCTTACACAGGTCAAAGGACCAAGTGAGTTTCTTCTTTCTTTCTTGCAATTATTTATTTCTAACTTTTCATTTAGTTTGATAGAAGTATGAAAATTACAGAAATTGAGTGTTTTTTCTTCTTCTCTTTTTCCGAAATGTGATTTCAGAGAGGGCATAGTTACATGGATCAAGAAGAAGATAGGACCTGGTATTCAAAATGTGACCACATTGGACGAGGCAGAACGCATATTGACTTCTGAAAGTAAAGTCGTTTTGGGCTACCTTAATTCTTTGGTGGTATGCTTATTGCGTTTTCATTATGTTTCCCCTCTTTTGCCTTTTTTTGGGTTTACATTATGAAATCTGAAAATTTTTGATTTTTTGATTGTTATGATAATGCATGGGTTGACCATGTAATTTTATAGCAGTAATTAGAGTGCAAAGTTTCTTATAGCTTGCGGTGAGAGTTTTGAAATTTGGTCGAGGAACTGTGATAATCTTAAATTTAGAAATTTGGTCAAAGCAGCGGGCTTTTAATTGACGCCATAGAGTTTTGCTCGGTAATTGCATATTGACACAGAAGACCTGAATTTATTAGGGCATGTTTGGTTCTCAAATGAAGCATAATAGAACATAATCTAGAATAGGAATCTAAAAATAGGTGATTCATGAAGCATAACAAATACTCAATTTTTTGCTTTATTCAACAGCTGTTGTAATCTGTCTCCCATATATTGTTACTCATTGTCATTATGCCTTCTCCTTATGATAACAGGGTCCCGAGAGTGACGAGCTTGCTGCTGCTTCAAGACTTGAAGATGATGTGAACTTTTACCAAACAGTGGATCCTAAGGTGGCAAAACTTTTCCATCTTGACCCTGAAGTTAAACGACCTGCTTTGATCCTGCTTAAGAAGGAGGCTGAGAAGCTAAGTTATTTCGGTTAGTCTCTTTCTTATTATCACATTGGGTGAGATGTCTCAATTTGATTGTTTTGTGTTCCTTTACTCTATCCTTAGTTTCTCATTTCTGCAGATGGTAAATTTGAGAAGTCTGCAATTGCGGAGTTTGTCTTTGCGAACAAGCTTCCTTTAGTCATCACTTTTACTAGGGAAAATGCCCCTCAAATTTTTGAAAGTGAAATCAAGAAGCAGGTATTTTGGTGAATGTTTGAATTTTTTTATAGATGCGACTTCAAAATTATGGAACTCTTTGCAATGGAGTATTAACATTTCGTGCTGGTTGACCTATATAAAACTTTCTATGCTCAGCTTTTGCTCTTTGCCACTTCAAAAGATTCAGAGAAGGTTCTCCCAGATTTTCAAGCGGCAGCAAAACTTTTCAAAGGAAAGGTATGGTTGTTATCAGCAAATGCTCTAAAATATGTCATAGAAACTATTCAGGAGTATCTAAAATAATGATTACATATAAAGGAACATTTGTAATGATTTCAAAGTTTGTTTTCTTTTCCCTTGAAATCACAACATAGTTTTTTAGACTTCTAGAAATGGCTTTACCAAAAAGAAAAAGAAAAAAAAGAGAGAGATGTTTAATGCTATGTTGGTGGTATAATGGCTGTGTTTGGGGTGGTGTGGCAACAAAGAGAGGATTTTTGACAACATTAGGGAAGAGAAGAAGGGGGAAGAAGAGGGGGGGTGGGGGGGAGGTTGGATGTGCCTCTGGAACTTTTATGTTTCAGTTTGTATTCCGCTCTTCATATTGATGAAATATTGTTTCATATAAAAGTAATAGGAAAAATAAATAAATGCAGTCTTATTTCAGCAACATTGTCCTTCAAGTAGGTTTGCCATTGTGTATTAATTTCCAGTGACGTTGTTTTGTTTGTTCTCTATGATCTCAACACATATGAGCATCTGATCTTTGTACGTGCAGTATTATAATGAAGATAGAATTTAATCCAAATTCTTTAGTCTTATAAGTATATGTTCTCTTAAATGTATGTGTGGTTGCTTGCAGCTTATCTTTGTATATGTGCAAACGGATAATGAAGATATTGGAAAGCCAGTTTCAGATTATTTTGGTATCACTAGTGATGCTCCAACGGTGATCTTTCCTAACCTGTGTATTTATTTTACTGATGTTGTATTCTATTTGTATTTATTTTCCTAAAGTTGTAATTCTATATGTTGTAAATTCATGTGTACTGTGAAATTGATAATTTTGTTCCTTATAGGTTCTTGGGTACACCGGAAATGATGATGGTAGGAAATTTGTTCATGAGGGAGAAGTAACCTTGGCTAACTTAAAGGTCTCTCTCTCTCTCTCTCTCTCTCTCTCTCTCTCTCTCTCCCACTTTATATGTTCTAACAGTATGTTATGGATTTATTATTCCTCAGGCTTTTGGGCAAGATTTTATAGAGGACAAGCTTAAACCTTTCTTTAAGTCAGACCCAATTCCAGAAACTGTAAGTTATGAGTCTCATTTCTGCACCAAATTCTGATGTCTTCTTTCATTATTATAACTTATATGCATTTTTATTTATTGCCACAGAATGATGGGGACGTGAAAATAGTGGTTGGGAATAACTTTGATGAAATTGTCTTGGATGAGTCAAAGGATGTTCTTCTCGAGGTAATACAACAAAATAATAACCAAATAAATCATTGATTAAAATTTGTCCTTGTAAGGTTCCAAATTTTGAAGGATTGCTATCTCAGATTTATGCACCATGGTGCGGGCATTGTCAATCTTTGGAGCCAACCTACAACAAGCTTGCCAAACATCTACGAGGCATTGATTCTATTGTTATAGCCAAGATGGATGGAACCACAAATGAGCATCCCAGGGCAAAGGTAATTTAAAATTCAAAATGTGTTCCGTGTGTTAAATGACAGTGTACTTATTTCCAATTGTATATACTAGAGTTCCAGGGGCAAACTTTTCTTTGGCAGAAATTGAGTATCTATTAGAAACCAGAACTTTGCAGTTAATTGCTGTTCTTTAACTTTGCAGGCTGATGGGTTCCCCACACTTCTATTCTTCCCAGCTGGAAATAAGAGCTTTGATCCAGTAAGTGGCATTTAGAATTGTTACATGTGTTCCTCTACCATGCTTGTGCATTTTCTTCTTGTTCCTCGTTTCATGTCTTACATAGAATATCTGGTTCCTTGGTGTTTTTAGATTTCCGTAGATGCTGATCGTACGGTGGTGGCATTCTACAAATTCCTCAAGAAAAACGCATCAATTCCTTTCAAGCTCCAAAAGCCAACTTCAACACCAAAATCCGAGGCGGTATCTGATGCTAAAGAGAGCCAAGAGAGCAGCAGCAGCACAAATGATTTGAGGGATGAATTATGAGGAATTTGAATTTGTGTATTAGCGATTTGTCTGTCTAGTATGTGCCATCATCAATGTGGTAGAAAAGAGATAGTTGTCACATAGAAGAGAAAATAGAGAGATCAGAAATGAGAAGAGAATCTCAAATCTGCAGCAATTTAAACCCGAACAGATATCCGGAAAAAACAAAATAGGTGTATCCTCAGCTTTCTAGTTTTGAATGTGTTGTTTAAGAAACTCCAGCTGAATTATTTAATAATAGCACCTTCTTCCTTCTTCCCCTCTTTTTTGGTTGTTTCTGTTTAATAATTCTTATGAAGGCATTGGAGAATTTTGACTGCTATGCCGGATGCTTTGGTTCCTTAACCAAACCATTGTTCTCATTTTGTTTTTGGGTCAAGAGCAAACCGTTGTTCTTGAACCATGGACATTGTAAAAGTCCTCACTCTCAACTCCTCATGTGGTGGTCGTGTAAACAGTTACTGTGCGAGAGGTTGTATACAAAAGTTTCTCAGACATTGTCATAAGAGCATTTACAATCATGTTATCTATTTTTCACTTAAAATTTAGCTAAAAATACTATAAAGTTATTTTAAGAGCTCTCTATAAAATTTCAACTCACCTTCTTGTGTGGATTTAAATGTAGATTTCAGACATTGGCAAGGTTTCTTCCTCACCCTACTTCGCTTCATTACCTTGTTGTGTGGATTTAGATGTGTATAGCTTCATCATTCTTCTTTCATATGATACTCCTCCAAACATTTATCATGCACCCGAGATTATTAATCCTTGACCGTATTAATAAGAATGGTTCAATGAGTTTTTTTTTAAAAAAAAATTCTGGGATTGCATTAATAATTCAGCCAAAAAAGCCACTAGTCACAAAGGGCCATTACAATAATGGATGAATCTAACATCAAAATTAAAACACTCTGGGACTCCTCCACTAAGGATCATGCAAGATCGAAGAAACTTTGGCATAAGTATCCCAACTAAAAGTGCAAACTTGGATTAAATGAGTTTTTTCAAGCACAAAAAAGAATAAGAGAGAACAAAAACATTGTCTTTCTTTCTTTTTTTCTTTCAACGGAATATGCCATAGCATGCTCAATTAAACAAAAGAAAAAATAATCACTTAAAACATATTGAACAAATGAAAAACCAAAAATAAATATATAAATAAAGGTTAACTAATGCACCATGGAATTTTAAAATGATAATGACCCGCACATGACGAAAAACACAACAAAAAAACTGTCACCCTCAGAAATTAAGATACAGAGAGTCCAGAAGAACAACAAAACTGTCCCCCTTAGCAATTGAAACTATAGTCACTCAGCGGTCACACTAATCACACGATTATTACGGGGATTATTGAAAGATGCCGACTCGCTTTAAAAATTTAGGAGGCCACATCATGTCACCAACTACGGCTCTCCATGCATTGCCTAATTAAGATTAATTACCTCTGTAAATATGGAAAAGCTAGTAAACGATAAACTGTAAACTTACCCTATTTTATAAATCTACGAAAGTCGAATAGAATTTTGAGAAGCCGTCAAATGACATAAAAATGGAGAAATTATAGAATACTACAGTAATATGACAACGTGGTACATTTTGTACACATATTATAATATGAGTAGACGACAAAGTTTTATTTTTCTATTTTAAGAAATAGTATCAAGATCTAATTGGAATTTTAATAATTAATATAAGTGGTCGTATCTTATACGTAGGCAGCTATCTACGTATGCATGTGAAACCATGTGCAACCCTAATTTGTCTTGTCTTTGCTTTACACCAAGGACGTTTCTATCAATTGAATTTGAAGGGATGCTTTCTTTGTTCTTTTGTTTTTGGTTACAATTAAAGGGATGCTTTATTTACTTGTCGCATATAGACAGTTGGAGACATGACAACCATGCCAAATGAAAAATATGTATTGTCCACGCAAGCAAGGAGGGTTTAATTCCAAAAATGACAATTAGATCTAGAATGACTCGAATTTGTTAAAGCATTCCCAACAAATTTAGTCTCTCGTGTCAAGTGTTAAAAAAGAGTGATAAAGATATACTTTAAATTAAAGTGGTGAACAAAAATATTTTCTTCTGAAAATATATCAAAATCGATCGCGTAACATCGTAATATGGTTGGACAACCATGTCCATATAACTTCTTAGTTTATTTTCTGTTTCTGACATTTTGTTTCATTCATTGAAATAAGTCTACGTAACAATGTCATCCTTCTATCACGGAGTAAATATGAGAATTAATAAATCTCAAATAACTCCGTAAGGTATAGCACAGCTGGGTTTTAAATTTGTGTAATGAGAAAACTCAAACGCAAACCCAATTGTGAAATCCACCGAAAACCTGTACACCGACGTAATCTAGAGACATGACCAATAGAAAAAGGAAATCTATTTCACTGAATCCATACACCATTTATACTATTTATTTAGACTTTCATTCTTAGTAAATTTAGGTTTTAGTAAAAAAAAAATTTCACTTTTAGAAAAAGCCAAAGTTTTTTCAAAAAAGACAGAAAAACCTCTCAACTTTCAAATCAAAGACATGCAAATGTAAAGGATTCCTTAGGAAATCCAAAAATAAATAAGGGCAATTTTGTCCATTTTGATTTCTTTTAAAAAATTTCTCTCTCCTTTGTCTTTTTACCTCTTTTGACCTTTAAAAATTGTAATTTATTTTTAAAATGCAAGGGTAGTATTGGAAAGCTTGACAAATGTTAATTCTTAATACCGAACAAATCAAATATGGAAATGAGAGGCAAAAGTGAGTTAGGCTAGTTGGCTAGTGCAATAAGCTTATCCCCTTGCACCAAAATTCAAGTCTCTTTGCTCGTATATTAGATTAATTTAGAATAGTGCTTGTATTTCATTGTCTCCATTTTCCCCTGTCCTTAAATACCGAAATAAAAATTTATGCGCAAAGCATCACTTTCTTTTTTGGTTGAGAAATTATTTGCTTCATTACGAAACCGCACCAACAAATGAGAGGTGAAGGCATTAAGCTCAGATGCTCATGTCCTTCTAATTGAAGCCACACCCCACGAGAGACGCAACTCACACTTTCCTTCCTCTATCTAAAAATTAAATATACCAACAAACCAAAACGAAAAGCAAAATTACATAAATCCCAAAAACTCACATTCCAATTGCCTCTCTAACCTCGTCTCCCCTTTCAACTCCAACTTCATCTCCTCCGCATTTCTCTAGATCCGCTGCTTCGCCCCTCTCCCTACCTTTTTACTCCACCTACGTGTCCAGATCCCACTCCACCTCCTCCCTTCTCAGTCAATCTCGCCCGTCCACTTTTTCTCTTCTCCCGAGGTCTCCTCGTTTCAAATTCAGATCTCTTCCACTTCCTTTCAAAACTGCTTCTCAAAAATCTCAACTTCCCTCTTCCACTCACTTTCTCCCTCAGATCCACATTTTCTCGGGAACAAGCATCTCGAACTTTCTTCTTCTTCTTCTTCTTCAACAATGGCAAGGTTCATCGAGCTCTGCTCGCCTCTGCTTCTTGCCTTTCTCCTAGTCCAATTCTCCATTGTATCTTCTTCGTCTCCACCACAGCCCTCGCCGGCTCCATCGCCTCAACCCGCTGGCGATTCACCTTCGCCGAAATCTCCATCGCCTATTTCCCTTCCTCCATCTCCGTCGAACGCTCCAGTGAACTCACCACATCCTTCTTCACCTCCAGCGCCACCGCAATCATCTCCGTCTGAATCTCCGTCGGCCGACGACACGCCTCCAGTTCCTTCTCCAGCGCCGTCGAATCCGAGCGATGTCAACCACAGCGACCTCAACGCGGACGGAGACGGAACTAAGAACTCCTCTGGAGGAATGAGCCCGGGAAAGAAGGCAGGGGTCGTACTTGGAGTGATCGTTGGGGTTGGCGTGGTAGGGCTTGCAGGCTTTGTCTACAAGAAACGTCAGGATAACGTTCGTCGATCTCAGTACGGATACGCCGCCAGGAGAGAGATTCTCTGAAGAACTACTCATAGTCTCTCATACGCTAAAGCTCTTAGAGGTTACTGTGAAATGTTTGATTTCTCGTATTTTTTTTAGTTAATTTCTGTGCTTGCTTAGTATATGATTGAATGTAGGTTTTGGCGATGGTGATATGGTGATTCAATTTGATTCTTCATTCTTTGGCGCGCCGGCGGTGCTAGAGTTGGTGGTAGTTAGAATTTTGGGATGAGTTATGGGCGTAAAATACTTAATTAGTCAATATGATCATTGATGTATTCCTTTTCTATTTTAGAATGATATAATAATTGGATTTACTGATTTAGCATTCATTATTCTCGTTTTTCTCACTGTTGACTTGATTAGCTCTATCTGTTTATGCTATCTAATGTTTGGGTACTGAGAAAATCGAACCAAAGAAAAGAAATTTGATAATTACAATTCATGGATTTAGATTCCCAGAGATTTAGGTTCTTTATGACTTTAATGCGTAAAGCAGTGTTTAGTGTTGACTTGGATTTGATGTTTGGTACTGTTTGGATTCAATAATTTGAGAAAACTGCTGTACATGGTGGCTCACCTTCATTGCATTTTAAATATGTAATGTGATTTGTGGACAAATGGAATTGTGTAAAGGAAATAGTTGATTGAGATAACCTGGAACTGGTTATTATGGTAAATTAATTTAACACTATTAAAAATAATATAGGTAGACAAATTAATTAAAAAGAATTGAGTAATAGAATTTTGTTATGTGTTAACTTGAGCGATATGGATTTGATTAATTAGTTGAAAATTGTATGTATCAGAAATTATTAAAATCGAAGATCTTGCATTTGTTTTTAATCAGAGAGAAACATTTCATTGAAATAACATTGTCGGAATATAATTCAACATAAAATTGGATCCCGGTGATGCAACAAGTGCGGCCTCATTAATCTTTTTGCTAATATTAACTTATATGCAGATTTTAAATAATAAAGAACTAATACTTGTGCCCTCTTTAAGTAACACAAAATGAAAATTTTGAACATGATTTGAGTGAAAGAGAAGATAGGGGACTTGATTAAAACAAGAGAGGGTGGGGAAGAGGCATTTCTTTTACTGTTTTGGTCAAGTAATTTGTTTGTTGGTTTTGCTTTATTTTCATCTCTACTGTTTTACTTATGTTTCTGCGTCAACTTTGTGTTGACTTCCCTTTTGGGGTATTTTAGGAATAGAAATTTTGCAACTCACCGATTACTAAGGAAGCATCTCGGTGATCATCATATTTTGACTTTCCTTCGTTTGAATGCTTTGGGGTATTTTCTTCTTTTCTTTTGGTCTCCATCCAATGATAAGGTTTTCAAATTTCATTATATATAATAATATCATGATGAGGCATGGGGGAGGGATGAATGATGATATGATACGGCCTTTTGGGGAGTGTTAGTGAGCAGTGGCCATTGACAGCAACTTTGCAATTTTAAAATGGCAAATACAATTCGACCAAAAGAATAACTTGAAAAATCCCTCCCTAATTTTTAATTTTGTAAAATTTTATTTGGGAAAAGAAAGGCGTAACAATTGACTCTCGTACTAGATACGTGTATATTTTTTGTTGCAAATTCCAGCTGATTCAGGGGCATATTATTTGTATAAGTTATGTTCTGAAACTGAAACATCGAGTTAGGTCTTTCTTTTGCCCCTCGAATTAGGGCAACATGCATAGAGACGTGAGTTATGCTAGTTCGTCAGAATACTCGCATAAAAACAAGACTACCACTTTTGAATTGATTTATTGACATGTCCATGAGATTGAACTCATCACCTCCATGAGTTGGGGACGAATGATACCCTATATCATTCGCATATCACGGGGTTTCATGACTACCTAAAATAAAGATAAGAGTTCACTCCAAACGCGGTCGGAGACAAAAAGTCAACTGATCCATCCACAGACAATTTATAAGTAACCAGTCAAATTTTATTTTGCATTAACCAACTAAACCTAAAGATTTCACTTTAGTAATGGGAGAACTACATTTTTGCTGTGTGTATACTTGATGAGGAACATTTTACATGTTGCTCCACAAATTTATGCACTGTGGCATGTACCCTGGATCTTTTTTCGGTATACATTTTCTGTGTTCCAGTCATCATCTACTGCTTTCATCTGTGGGAACTTAAGTACACAACATAATGAAGATAACCCTCTCTTGAATGCATGCATGCCCTCTTATCTCTGTCCGTTGCTGGCTTTTTACTCTTCCGCTGGAGGGTCAACCCAGCGGCCGTGATCTTTTATTAGCTGGATCAAGGCGTCGGTTGCATGCTCCATCTCAATTGCACGCTTCACCACGGTCTGAAACGCAATTCAACCTCATATCAAATAAGGTATGGCAAACAAAATTATGTAACAACTAAATAAAAGTCTAGCTAAAAGCCGAAGAACTACTTAAATGATGAAGGTGCCCAATAACAACCGGTGCTAACCTGTACTCAGAGGCATAACTTATTGTATGCAAACTATTGAAAATACTTCTTTCAACTAAACCCATATTAAATTACAAGCTGGGCAGAGGAAATACCTTCCCAACATAGAGGTCAATCTTTCCAGGAGCACCACCAACATACCCAAAGTCTGCATCAGCCATCTCCCCAGGTCCATTAACAATGCAACCCATGATTGCAATCTAGCAAAGGAAATAGCAAATGAATTACAAAAGCATCTGGATTACTGAAAATAAAATAAGTTGGCTGTTCAAAATCGTTCCATCACAAAAGGAAAGAATAAGGTAATTACTGAAACGCCAGGCAAGTGCGATGTCTTCTCTCGTATTTGTGCACTTATTTCTTGAAGATCAAACAAAGTTCTGCCACATGATGGGCATGAAACGTACTCCTGAAATGAGATTTAGGCATGTACAATGATTGTTTAAGATCATCATTGCTTCATGATATGTCAAATTCTGTTATATTTTGAATGAAAACTCCTACCGTCTTTGTATTCCGCATTCTACAACCTTGTAGTAAATTGAAAGATGTGTTTCTAAGGAAATCAAAATCTTTGTCTGCGGCTTCTAATAGGAGACCATCTCCAAGTCCATCTACTAAAAGGGCCCCCGCATTGGTACCAGCAGCAATAACCAAGTCATCCCTGCACGAAATGGAATTAAGCCAGAAGTACTAAAACCACGCATCTCTTGAAAAAGGAAGAGTCGATCTTGTTATTACCTATGAATTCCACTTGGAAACTGAATATGGTGTATGACCGGAAAGTTCAGAGAATTGTCTCCCAGATACTCAAACAGCCTAGAGCAACATAAAATTCACAATATCAAGAGAAGGAAACATGTGCACAACAAGAATAAAAGCAAATGACATGGACTACCAATGATAAAATTAACAGCCCCATACAAAGAGGACAAATTTCATATTTGGTGAAGTGTCTAGGGCCTAGGAAAATGCTTCTCTAGATGGGAACTCTTACAATAATTTTATGTTGATAATGATTTATATGCAGGGAGTTAAAAAGTTATTACCTTCTTGCAGCATGCACGCGGCTTACTTTATCTTCACTGAAGGGAAGATCATGGAGAAGCATTGTAGCATCAATGCCTTTGAGAATATCCAGCACTTCATAAGGTTCATCGCCACGTACCGAGACAACTATGCGTGTACCTGGGAGGCAATTGATTCACAATAAGGATTCCTGGCTGAAAAATCAGGGGTAACCTTCGACCAATACAAAACCCTTCCCACCCTTGAATGGAACCAGAAACTCCCCTTCTTAAGGGGAAGAGATGCTAATTAACATCAAAGGCCACTGCTAAAATAAGTCTACCTATAAAAGAATAAGCATAGAAAAAGAATATGTTCAATTAAACATCAGTGCTCTGAAATCTGTAAGAAAGCTGCACCTTCTGGCAAAAGCTTGTATGCACCAGTTGATAATTCCTTCGAATTTACCAGAACCATGGCATTGGGCAATGGCTTTGTTAGCTGCTCTGACAATGGTGTTATAACACCCATACTGACATCTATCAACCTTTTGAGCGCTAGCCGCTGATCATACACAAAGAAGATTGTCATGTCATTCCCGTTATCGCAAATAACTAGCAAATAAAATATGCAGTGTAATGCTCGAACAACGTAGGAAGGTATAAGGGATAATGTGGGTGCGGGGGAAGAGTAGGGATTATTTCCAAAATATTCTAGGGATTATTTCCAAAATATTCTTACAGAATCATTATCATCAACTGGTGGAAGTTGTCTCAATAAGATTGAGTCAACTGTTGCAAGATCCTGTATAACAGAACTAACCATGTCAATGAAAATCCCAGTAAATTTTACATGTGACACATTAAAAAATCTAAAATGGAATAATAATAGACCTTAAACGGCATGCCCACAACAAGTTTTGCTGCTAGTGACTTGTAGAGGAGCTCTGGTGTCTGTAAAGGATGCAGAAGGTTAGTGTAATTTCTACCATTTCAGATACAACTCAGCCCCCCACTCAAAAAGGAAAAAACAGAAAAAAGAAAGCCAATAAAATGGAACAAAGGAAGTATGATGTCAACTGTACCTTCAACTGATTAAGGGATACTGACATGAGAACAGAGCCATCACGGTGCAGGACACCTCTATAATCCACCTCCTCACCCTGTGTTTTGATGACATTAAATCACTGTTAAAGGAAAAAAAAAGAGTCTGAAGCACAGTGTGTTTCCATATCAAGATCTTAGAGGTTGACCTCCTTTTGCATTGGCAGTTGACCAGATCGACGCTGAAAGTCAAAATAATGTCGGTGCTTCTCTTCAAATGGAGCCTGATACAAATAATGCCATCAACAAATCTGACAAGGCTTTCAATTTTTAAAATAGAAGAGAATACGAATATTAATCAACTAACAGGGATATTGTAAAATCCTACCACTCCTTGCTGAAGATCAGCTGCTCTCTTACCAAGGTTGGCCAATCTTCTGCAGGGATCTATCTCCTCCTCTGGTGCTTCAGTAAGTGAAACCCTAATTGTATCACCCAAACCATCCTGCATATACAAATCCAGAGTTTCATTATGGCTAGACATGGCTTTATAAATGTAATGCTTCTTAATGTTAACTTCAAACTATTGAACGAAGCCCAGAATCACAACACACAAATAGATGAACTAACCTACCATATTTATCATAAGAACAGTTTGCAATTTATAAAAATGCAAACAAGCATTGTTAAATTCAGCTACAACCTTACGAAGGTTTAACAAATAACACATTACCAGCACATAAACCAGAATAATCCCTACAATTTTGATGATTTTGAATCCATCACAACACCTACACATAAAGATTAGAATAATACCTGAAGAAGGGTTCCAATACCAATTGCAGATTTCATTCGCCCATCCTCACCTTCTCCAGCTTCAGTAACTCCCAAGTGCAATGGATAATCCCATCCTTGAACATACATTTCAGCCACAAGCAAACGATATGCCTGGACCATGATAACTGGGTTGCTTGCTTTCATTGAAAAAAGAAAATTATGGTAGTCCAACTTCTGGCAAATCCTTGCAAACTCAAATGCAGATTCAACCTGTTTGAGGAATGCCAAGTAAATGACACCCAATGAATTTGTATGTACATCAACATCAAGCAAGCTTGAAAGTTTTCAGCAAAAAAGACAGACGATATTTTGCTCACCATTCCTCTAGGGGAATCCCCATAATAGCTCATTATACGATCCGAAAGGCTGCCATGGTTTGTGCCAATACGCATTGCTCTTCCATACTTCTTACACTTTTCAACCAATGGAGTAAAAACCTAGTGTTGTTACAGTAAGCAAAAATCAGATACAAATAAATGTTCATTTGGTTAATATTTGATAATTATAATAAACATCAAACAGTAATGGAGACTTGTAATTGTGAAAATTAACAGAGGCCATATATTTATAGATTCATGGTTTAACCTGTTCAATGTGCTCAAGTTCTTTCTGATAGTCGTCTTCGGTGTACTCTAACTTCTCAAACTGAGCCCGTCTATCCGCTGCAATAAAACACCTCAATCAATCTACAATCACTCCCTTCAAATATAATTTAAAAAGAGAACAAATGAATGGTGAACTGTGTACCAAAATTTCCAGGGTTGACGCGAATTTTGTCAAAGCATTCAGCAACTCGCAATGCAACAGAAGGTGCAAAATGAATATCTGCCACCAGAGGTATATTGTAACTGCACATACAGATTGTATCAAGTCAAGCCTTATACAACATAGGGAGTAAACCATTAAATACCCACTGAAAATATAATAATCAAGCCTACTTTTTCTGCACGAGGGTATTTTTAATATCAAAACAAGCATCTGCTTCTTTCTTCCCTTGAACTGTTATCCGAACAAGATCTGCTCCCTTGTCTGCTATTCTCATTACCTGCGAACAAAAAAGTCATTACAAATGAAGCTGCTCGTAGCTTTTCCAAAATTTCAACTGATTTAGTTGTATAGCTCAAAATACAAAAGAATTGCCTGTTAAAAAACATTGTGAAGTCATTTTTCCAAAAAAGGCCAATTAATCATCTCAAAGAAGTCACACTAACACATCAGAAGCTCCTTTAAGAATGGTTTCCATCTATGTTCACCACTCATCTTCAGCGGTGAAACCAAATTTTGTACATGAGGACCTTTTTGCATGTGCCAGATAAACCTATGACTCAGTCCGGAAGAAAAATACACAAAGTTTTGACAATGCCTTCACTACATTACGGTTTGAATAATGGCAGAGTAATTCCCACTACCAACGAAGGAGATGTATGACACACCACACATTCTGATTCAGACCTCGAGATATAATAGATATACAGAGTTGAATCAAACCTTAGTAGCTCCACTTATATATGCATGTGTATATATAATTGAAGTAAATGGAGAGAAAAAGAACCTGTTCAACTGTAGCAGCAACATCCTTTGTGTCAGTTGTCGTCATTGTTTGAATCCTTATGGGATGCTCACTACCAATAGCCACATTTCCAACCATCACTGTTCGTGTTTTCCTCCTGACAGTTTTGTGTATTGATTCACAATACTTTTGTCTAGGAACTACATTCAAAAAAATAATTTATTAGATAAATTGATAGAAACTCATAAGGTAGAAAAACATACATATTTAGGCTGATATCTACTCCTTTATCTTCTCAGACAAATGAAGGAACCTTTAATCCCACTTAACTGAGGTGAACAGATATACAAGTAGTAACCAAGCTGAGGCTTTGTTTGACTGATCCTAATACAATTACTTCGCTCAGTTGAGGCCACTTCCATTTCTGAGAAATGACAGTTACACCGGGGTTTTCTTTAGAGATATATCCAATGAAAACATTGGATAATCACCAAGTTAATTTTTCCCAAGCACGTAAATGAATAATTGACCAGCAGGAAAATATTGTTCAGCTTTTCTGAGAAGCCAGAAAACATGGTATTCTCCTTTCCCTCTTATCCAATTTCTCAGCTACAAAAAATAGTTTGAAGGACTAAAACACAACACATGCATTAAAACAAAAAACTGAATAACACTAATTCGTTAGGGATTTTAACCACCTAACAAAGGGCTGCCTTCAGATGCAGGCTTGAGTTCTGCAATATCTGATCCGGGATTTGAGTTCCGTATCACTGAGATTCTTGTTCTTCCAGACTTAAACCTCTTCAAATCACAAACCCTCACAAAATCCATACTTTTAGCAAACCCGATACTCGAGTCCCTGCCTTTTAGACCCGTGAAGGAAGCTGGTACAGTTCCAGTAGCCATTTCCACAACTGCAAAGCTTTACCTTCACAATTCCAAAGCACAATTTGGTAGAAATTCAGTTAACTCATCCTTTTATATATCAAAATGTAGAATTAACATGGCCCTCTTGGTTTCTGAGAAAATTGAACAAATAAAAATGAAACTGACTAATAAGATAAGTACTTTGATAAACAAACATATAAAAAGGAAAAGAAAAGAACTACAGGATTTTCCCATTCACTCTTTGATTTCAGGTGAGCAGTTAAAAAAACTTTAAATTTTTTTTATAAAAAGAATGATCTTTCTTACAGTTTTCGCAGCTTTCCCAGAAACCAAACAGTAATTTTCTACTCTTTTGGGAAAATTGTGCATAAAATTCATTACCTCAAAACAATCAATAAAACCCAAAACGCAGAAAGCAGAAGTAAGTCAAATGCTCTTGAAAGAAAACCCAGAAAGCGTTTCACAAAATCAATAATCAATCAGAGTGAGCTTAAAAAGAGGCTCAATTGGTAGACACGTGGCGTGCTGGTGCTTGTGCTTGTGCTTGTGTTCATAGTTTTTTTGTTTACCTTCAGTGATGTGATGACGATCAGTCAGCTGCTGAGAGTGAAAGGAGAAGGCTCTGGAGCCCGGAAAGGGCAGAAAAAAAAACTTAAAAACTGGTGGTGGGTTGGGTGGGAGGAGTGAGTTGTCGATGGGTTTTTGGAAATTTGTTTGCATTGGCTGAATTTGTACTATTTTGTGGATGCTTGAGGTGGAGCAAATGGACAAAATCATTTCTTTTGGTATCTATTTTTTTGGTAAATGTTTTCTCTTGGTATCTAACCATACGAAACATGCAGTCTTTAAGAAGTGCGTGTATCTCGTTCTTGTGTGTATCTCGTTCTTGTAATTTTCGGCTTTCTCTTTCAAAAAACCTGGAGATAAACGTCAGCCATTCGTTTATTGCATACGACATTTTCCAAGTTTTCAAGTTTTCATGTATTTGTCTTTTCAATATTCAATATTGAGAGAAGTTTTATTTGATTTTCCCCTCTCACGTTGGTGAAAAAAAAATTCATTGTTTGTACGACTAGCACAACATCATGTTGATGTGGTGTGATTTTGCTAGACAAACAAATCAAAGAATCTACCGTTCTTTTTCTAAATTTTTTGATATATATAGAAATGTGTGATATAATAGGTATAGGCTTGCGAGGTAGACAAAATCAAATTACCAAATAGAATTTTATTTGAACATTTGCCCTAGAATGTACGCTCTGTTTGGATGGAGAAGTTTGAAAGAAATTATTTGAATTTGACAATAATGTTAAATTTGGTATTTAAACAAAAAAGAGTCACATTAGATTAAATGTATTTGAAATAACTAGATGTAGTTAGGGACGGATTCATGAATTTAAAATGGAATCAGCTAGATTTACCTTACAAAGAAACTCAACCTCACAAACGAATTTTATTGATAACAAAAAAAATGACACACCTAGTTAAAGAGGACATAATGAGCCATAATATACTCCTAAAAATGCAATGTAAATACAAAATAAAACTATTTAAGTTGCACCATTCGAGTCTTTAAAGAATTAAAATCATTAATGATTCATTCAGTATAGATATTATTAGTTAATTTTTTTATAATTTTTTTAGTTGTGTGTAAATACTACATCACATTTTTTAAAAATTGAAAAAAATCTGTATGGGCTATATCCCATATAGCCCCAACATAGATTCGTCCCTAGATATAGTACATTTTAAATGACTACATGTAAGGAACCATTTATAATTCGTTTGGTTTCTTATTTTTGTTATTGTCCAAATCTTAGCATATATAAATTGTAAAAGTCTTATACGAACAATTTTATCTTATAATGTCATCTAAATCCATATATTTGGATGTTAGGGAGAGAAAACCTTAGATGCCACCTCTTTGGGCGTGTTGACAACCATGATTTTCGTCCCCCCTTCCTTTCATTTTTTCCTTTTCTCTCCACCTCCTTCCCTTCCCCTCCTCTTTGCTTCCCCCTCAAGCATCGTCTCCCTATCTTTTTCGTTGGCTCGTTTATGGCATAATTTTGTAACATTATTTGTAGATTTATCATTTTTCGGTGTATTCACTTCCTTTGCCGAAAAGGAAAGTCGATTGGTGCGTACATGTTATCTTTTGGTGTTGGATTTGTGACAATGAGGTTGAAATTCGGCTAGTTTAGTTTCTTTATTTTTGGAATAAGTCTCAAAAACTCCCTTTGGGTTTTTTGTGTAGTTTTCACCTCTGATTTGTGCGAGCTTTTCACTTCTCCTTTGTGATAGTGTTTGTTTGTATTGTTTTGGCTTGGTTTTTTCAAGCTTGATCTCTTTTTTTAATTTTTCTAAGTTTGCAATCTTAGTGGGAATGCCTATGCCAAAGTTTCTTCAGTCCCGTGTGATCGTTGGTGAAGGCGCACCATATTGTCTTAATGTTAATGTTAGATTTCTCTGTAATTGTAATAGCCTTTTTGTGACTAGTTTGTATTGATCCTTTGTGGCTAACCCAGAATTTCTCAATAACAAAAAAAATCCAAAAATTTGGAATCCCTGAATCCATATGCAACCTTGAGTTTGCACTCATTTTAATTGTGAACATATAACCCCATCCAAAGTTATAATTGAGTAATTTAATTTGTAACACCCACAACAAAAGCAAAGGAAAGATGATGATGAGGAGTTCTACGTTTTGATGCCAGGAGGAATAATAGAATATGGACAACAACCAGGAATCTACAAAACACCGTTTTGCGGCATATTCTGTTGCGGGAAGACAGCATAACTACCTAAACCCAAAAAAATCAATGGCTACTTGCTTTCCGGCTTTCTAACCGAAATCTTTGCCCGACTGCTTCAGTTCAGTACACGAGCCACTCCTCTAAGTCTATATGAATATAAATAGAAACATCTATACTTATGATCTTCATCATTTGAAGTAAATAGATAAATATAAAACTCCTATCAAATTAGTGGTAAATGATTTTATATTCAACCAGTAACTTGATTAAAAATACTACTACAATCACTTCAATCCAAATAAAAATTCCAAAGAAAAAGAATTCTAAAATTATAAATTCCTGATTTTATTAAGTGTAAAATCGAATCATACCTACCAGCCGGTCAGGTCGCAGTCTGGTTTTTAGAACCATACTTTCACCTATTCCAGCCACCACTCATATTAATCATCAAATGATTTATTTTAAATCATATATATCATGGAAGTTGTATGCATGTGGTTTTAAGTAGCTGCTCCTTCTTCCTCAAGAGAATGCATTTCAAGGATTGCAACAGTCTCTTCCTTTGCACTGCAATGCCAAAACAGAGCACAGTTAATACCAGCATACTAATGGACGCACAGGTAGAGAATAGAACCTAGTTGTACTAAATAAATGATTTGCATGCCCAAAGAAAAATAAAGAACAGGATATAAAGGAGACGTATCTAAAGACGGACATTTTCCATACTGATCCGTCTAAACAATCCTTAACATATTTAGCATTTGCAGTTCAAAAATTAGGAATAAATATAAATGAATATTGAACATTTTAAGAACATTGTTCCTTACATGCTATGTGCAGGGGTCAATATTTATCTAATACAGAAAGAAACATCTACAAACCTTATAGATATCCATTCCACCCACTTTGTTAACAAGAGAAAATACATTAAAAAAATATGAATTATTAGTTTATTACTGTCATCTCTATGTGAGTACTAGACAAACTTCAGCTAAAGTGCTTTATAATCAGACGCCACCCCCTCCTCAGGAAAATTCCTCGTTATAAGATGCTAACTATAATTTCCTTAACAACTTTTCCTAGATTTAAATAACAAAACCATAACACTAATATCATACAATTTCTTTTTCTCAGCAATTACTTTATAGGCAAGGTACTGTGTCAACTGGATGCTTACCTTCCAGGTCGAAGAATCTTGTACTTGCCTAGCCTGGTGAGGTCCACGACTGTTGAGCCTGCACGGCCTGAAGGAAGCACACCACCATTGTAAACATATGCACAATGTTCCCAGAGGTTCTCAAAATCTTTGATGGAAACACTACTTGGCTGCCCGCTTAGGTTTGCGCTTGTAAGGGCCAATGCACTCCCCAGTCTGCGGGCAATGTCCCTGATGAAGTTACAGTCAGGCACTCGGACTCCTATACTATCCAATCCTGGGTTCAGAGACTTCTCAAGAATACTCGACTCCCCTGCAAAATACCCAAACTAGCTTTTCTCATTCAAAACTGAATGTGAAAGATATCAAGCTGAAAACCGGTAGTGCATATCAAAAAGATAAATTATACTTGAATACAACAATTTCCTTTCTTTCTTTATACCTCGGTTTAGTACAAGAGTAACAGGTCCTGGAAGGAGATTCTCAAGTAAGCCATGGGGCAAGTGTTCTGTGGCAGCAAACCGCTTAAGGTCTGGCACATCCCCAACACAAATTGCAAGAGGACTTGTATGTTTACGTCCTTTAATCTCATATATCCGATTCACTGCTTCCAAAGAACTGCAATTATTCTCCACCATTACAAGGTTACAAAATTACACACAAAAAAGAAGAAGATGGTTTTTCTTGTAAATCATCATAGCAAGAATAAGAGCACTTCCTTTAAACAAACCAATATCTCAGAAACAACAATTCAGACACTGAGGAATTTTAACAAACAGGTACAATGCATTGGATAGATTGTCATACCAAGCATCGCAAGCGAAGCCGTAAAGTGTATCGGTGGGGACTGCAATGACTTTGCCGGCTCTGAGAGCTTCAACTGCCTCTTCAGTGTGAGCTCCGGTGGCCGGTCGAACTAACCCCAACTCAGTTTCAACTCCAGCATCGCACTTCTCTAAACTCCAAGCCATTTTCTCTTCAACGCAGCGTCTCAATCTCCTACTCTGCACTGTTGGCACTAAACCCAATTTGCGCACGCCTAAACAAAAAGAAGAAGAAGAAGAAGAAAACAGTTAAGTTGAAATATGTTTGTTTTTTTCTTTATATTTGTAAGCTTAAATAGAGAGAGAGAGAGAGAGAAACTGACTGACGGTGGTGAGAGATTAAAGAGCAGAAGCTCTGGAGACTGAGAGAAGAGGGAAGCAAAGGAGAGGCGAGTAGGGGAAGTGTGGCTGCAACTCTGGCTGGAATGTTCATCACTCGTCGTTTGTCACGTGTTAACTGGTTAACGATGACGATCAGAAGCCCATTTACATAACGGTTGGTTGATTGTTTTCTTCCTTAAAAGGCCAAGTTACACAAATTGTCCCTAAACTTTGTTGAAGGTTTTATCTACGCATAATTACTTTTCATACAATAATATTATAGACACTTATTACATAATTCCCTAATTTTTAGTTACCAATTAATATGATACTTTCTTGTTTATTGTGAATAAATAGGTCTATAATAAGTTTAGAAAACAAATGAAATACTGTCACAACAGTTCGTATTTTAAAAGTTTGAGATGTGTGCCAATTAAAGACATTAACGCAACTTGTGCTAAGAATTCCTGTAAAAGCAAGTCCCATGCATTGCATTGCACATGACCACTAAATCAAAGACATTTTTGTAAATTTAAAAAATCAGCATGTTTTGTTAGGCTTAGATTATACTAGATTTGTTAGGAGCTATCTATAAAATTTCAACTTCAATTTTACTCCCTAGTTTAGGGAGTCATAAATTCTATAATTATTTTTTTAAAAGTTGGGAAAAGAGTTGGTGCCCGTAGCATTACCAAATTAAAATTTTAAAATATGCAACATTAAATTTTAGGGGGTCATTAAGAGTTCTTTATTTCTCTTCATATTTAGGAGCTCCTAGAGGTCTCCTTATTTTAGGAGGTGAATAGGGAGCATGGTTGAAGTTGTATTTTTCCAATTACTCCCTAAAATTTGTCTAGAAGGTGGTTTAGGGAGCCCATTGCGGATACTTTTAGAGTTTCTCATGCTGAGTTGGAGTGGTCTTAGTAATTGCTTCACTTTTCAAACAACACTTTACATGAAGAATATTACCACCTCTCTTACAGTACCTATAAAAATTTGTTTGAAATTGTTGTTCTGTTTAGCAAAGAGATTGCAAGATCACCATCTTGCATTTTTCTTACAACAAGTAAGAAATAATCTTAGCCTCTCAAATTCTTTCATAGTTAATAAAATACATAACTGAAAAAATACAAATAAAATACGTATGTGTTTTATTCAGCAAAATTTTGGCAAGTTACAACTGAATTGAAACGTTCGGCCATTGTATAGTATTTAAATATATATTATTTTTATTCAATAATATGTGAAAATTACGTGTATAATACGTGAATTTTGTGTGTATTATTGAAAATTTGATAAAAACCATGTGTACTAAACATGAAAAATACATATGTATGAGTACAATACATACGTTTTTTTTTAATGTGTATTTTGCCAAGTCTTTAAGACGTGTATGGAAAACGGAAGTATTATTGAAAAATACTTATGTACATGTATAATACAAGCATTAAAATGTAAAATGCTAAATTCTTTATACGAGTAATAACTTTGGAAAAGTAAAAAAATCAAAAAGGGACAATAGAGACTCGGGTAATGGCCTAATAGTAATGGAAAATGCTCTAAACTACTCTTATTGATAAATGAAAATCAGGAAAAATAAATAAATAAAGGACCCGACTATATTTAAAGCGTATAGCCGGGAAACTATACTATTTATTTTAAAAACAGTATAGCTTGGCCATACAGTAGAGTACAGCCGTGCGGCTATACTATTAAATTTATTTTAATAAATAGTATAGCCACAACAACTATAAATTAAAATAAATCGGCCTCCGTGCGGCTATACTCTTCATATAGCCAGTTGTTGTGGCTATACTATTTATTAAAATAAATTTAAGAAGAAAAAAAAACCCCAGTATGGCGTTTGTACTATTTATTAAAAAAACATTAAATTTAAAAAAAAAGTACCTGCCTAATAGAGCCCAGGAGGCCGATTTTTAATTTTTTAATTTTTAAAAAAGAGTATAGCCTCGTGGCAGCTATACTATTATATAAAAAAAAAAAAAAAAAAAAAAAAACTTAAAAAATATATAGTAAGAACTAAGAGCATGAAATGCACCATTGTTCAACTTGATTAGCGCTTGACAGTTGCTCTTACAATATCGCCGACTGTTGGAGTTTTAGGACTGATTGTATACAAGGATATCTTTACTCGAAATTGATGTGATTTCAAAAATCATTAGCCTGCTAAACCCTTACTTTGTTCCTCTTAGGTCCTAATATAAGAGTGTTGCAAGTACCCTTCTGCTTGAGAAAGATATTTAACAAAGATAGGTTACACTGGAAGCAAAACATAAGCTTTCTAGTTTGAGAGTTTGCAAAGAAAAGTGCCCTAGCAATTTTGAAATTGTGTGGCCTACTTCCATTAGTTTATACTTTATAGTATTAATTTGCTAATTTCAGCATATCCAAAGTAGACATTGAAGAGAGAGAAATTTCACAGTAAATCAATATGAGAGTTCAATTTTTTTTGCTTCTTTTATTTTTATAGGAATGTTTGCCTTTGATCTATCTCATTCTCTCGAGTATTACTAAATTTTGTTACTACACACATTATTTGTTGTAGAGAATCGCAGCTATACCTTTTAAATATATTATAATTAAAAATCATAGTAGCACGACTATACTATTTATTTTATAATTAAAAAAAGACTCGCCTAGCGCTTGGTTTTTTTCCCAAAAAAAATATTGCCGCATGGCGATACTATTAATTTTAAATTTTTTTTTAAAAAACACTGCAGTATAGCCGCGCAGCTACACGCTTTAAATATATTATTTATTAAAATAAAATTAAGAAAAAAAAGCCCTTTTATAACCGCATGGCTGTACTATTTATTAAAAAAAATTATATAAAAAATGGACTTGCCTAATAGCACATAGGCAGCCAATTTTTTTATTTTTTATTTAATTTTTTTTTAAGAGTATAGCCTCACGGCGCCTATATTATTTATTAAAAAAAATTAACAAAAATACCCCAGTAAGAAATAATACTTGAAAAGTAAAAAAGTAAAATATCCAAAATCCAAAGGAAACAATAAAGACTCGGGTAATGACCTAATAGTAATGGATAATACTCTAAACTATTCTTATCGATAAACGAAAATCAGGGAAAAAAAAAGGATCTCGATATATATATATTTAAAGAGTATCCGGCTATTTATCAAAAGATATTATATAAAAATAAAAAATAAAAAATAAAAAAAAACAAGAGGACCCCAGTATAGCCGCGCGGCTATCTATTTATAAAAAAAATTAGACTAGTGTAACTCTTTTTTTTTGGCAGTTGCTAAACTATTCAACGTGGTACCAACCATCAAATTTAATCCGATCTATTGTAAGTCAGTGAGTATAACTAAGTTAATTGAGCTCTTCCACTTCCATTCATGTGGGCAAAGGTTCGAAACCCCCAAAACCCAATGAATATTTGTGCAAACCCCCTCCCCAAATCATTTGTACCCAAAAAAAAATTCGATCTTCATGCTTGAGGTTGAGATGTGAGTCGAGATATTTTCTCTATCTCAAAAGCACACACAGCCTGTGAGAGTTTTGGTTTGCAAATGTGACCAACAGCATTATAACAAAATGCGTCTTTACTTGCTAATTGGTGCCACTGCTGATATTTTGGAGGCTATACACAATCTCAAGTCTTGTATTAAAAGTGGGAAGGATATCAAATTCCTGAATATATTACAGAAGTATCAAAATTCTCACCTCAGCTATAAGCATATTTATATGATATTAACCATTGATGCCATAACAATTTAAGCCCCACTAAAAGTAACTGGATTTTCTCCTTCGGTGCACGCGCTGGTCTTAAGGATTGGCATATCCTGTGTGAATTTATGGTACCGTACCGGTGAAGTGGCCTGGTCATGTGAATGTTTAAGAGCTAAGCGGTTGCTGTGAGGTAGTTTGCCACCTTCTTTTCCATCTCAAGCACTCGACAATAATGGAACTCCCACTCATTGCAACACCCAACCCGGCAAATGTTGCAAGCAGAATACAAAGAACTGCTTGCACACGGACCTGAGGCCACAACATAATGCAAGCATTTAAACATATTTGTATAAGATGACGGGTCTTAGAATGAACCTAAACAAGGCAAAGGAAAATATAACTTGTTGAGGAAAGCCTCTTACCAATGAATAAAATATATGTGCAAATAGAACCACCAGAGCAAACTGAACCGATGCATAAACCCAGACAAATCTTCTTTTCACTAAACACAGAAGATTCACAAGTTAGGGAAGTGAATCAACAATTTATAAGTAGTGAAGTTGATCTTAAAAGAATATTATGATAATAATTACAGCCACTGGTGCACGAATATCTATTTTTCCACTAATTTCTTGAAACCTATCAACTCTTTACGTCTGCATTTGATCCTCCAACCCCAAGTTGTGGTTTTTTCACCACAAATGAGCACTCCAATCATCACCACTCGCCATATTCCAGTTCAGTCAGTAAGTCCTCAAAATCTATCCTATCAAGATTACACAACTTAATGAAAAATGAAGGATAAATGCCAGCCTACCCATGGTTGTTGAGGTCATGGATGAGAGAAGACCCAATACACAAGAAAATGGAAGAGATATGGCAATTGCTCCAGTACCCATCTTCTCAACCTGCAGTGAACATATATATCACCAAAGAGACAGAACAACCAAAAATGACAGATCTGCAGTTTCAATTTCTGATCTTACCAGGAGCTGCTCAAGAAAACAAAAGTAGGCAAGCATGCTGATAATGACAAGCACGGGTACTTCCTGCCAAACCCTGAAAAAGTATGAGCTAAGAATATTAGCTCATGAATGTTGTTCTCTATTGACCAAGTTGCATGCTTGGATAGGAAGCTATCTTGTTAAAGTCCACCAGCATGGGGAAGGTCTTGTTTAAAGGCCAGTAAAAACATAAGTTGCGAGACAATCTTCACTAGATCCATGGCGAGATAACAGTTTTCATGACTGAACCATATCTGCCTATGGAGTACATATAGGTGGCATCAATCAGTCAAATGCAAATTCTGTGATTCCAAAATTTTATTTTCGTTTCCTACAACTTATTTACAAATTGCCAAAAAAATGGAGTAGAGTGTTAATTATGATGCATTAAACAATAAAATGTTATATATGCACACACAAACTTGCCTGTATCCATTAGCATCTTCCCGATCAATTCTACTTGTTCCAGCATTTCGAGCTCGAATACTTTGAATTCGTAATAGAGTGACAGGCAGGTTTTGAACCTCTTGCTTGCACACATCACAGGTCTTGTTACCTTTGATGCTAAACCATTTTATAGCACATTCTTGGTGAGCCAGAGCAAGTTCACCTTTGCAACTGCATTCCATTTTGAGGGTCTCACCCCCTTCGCATAGTTCAACTAGACAAATTCTACAGACAGCCTCTTCTTCAGATATGTCTTCACCAGCATCATCATCATCTTTTCCTGAACCATGCGAACAATAAGACATAGTTGGTAATCACAAGCAGCAGATTTGGGACATGCAGAGAGTAAGAACGCAAAAACTAGCCTGAGCAAATTTGTTACTCAACTAAGTTATAAGTTAGAAACGCTATCAAGTAAAATGCAAAGTGTTTATAACTTTAACCATTGTGCATGAACAGACAAGAAAAGTACCAGAATCCACCGTTGGGGAACTAATCGATATTACATCCACTTCCTTCACTCGAGGAGTCGAAGGAATTACACGAAAAAATGAATCCATCCTCCTTAATTGTCTTTCTTTATTGTTGACAGGTACTGAAAGTGAGCGAGATATCTGTACTTGGGATTCTTTCCGCTGAAAAAAAAATAAAGAAGAAGACCCTTAAAACAACATGATGCCTATGTTCACAGATGGACATGACTGAGATGTTAAGACTTGTCAAAGAATTGGATTAGATGAGGTTAATATAATTATCCTTCCCTGTTTGTTTTGATGGCCTAGTTAGCATACATTCTATGTATTAAAATATATGTTTCAATTTTAACTTAATTCTGCTTGCCTTAGGGATTAATTGAACACTAAATTAAACAAGTTTAATGAAGCTACATCAGTAATGATAACAACCATGTCGCGGTGGGTAGATCATCTAGGTTAGATTAGACACTCTTGAGTAATATTGTATGGAACCTACTATTGAAGTCAGAGAGCCACCAACACTTCCACCATGTGCAGATTCTGGGTGTGAAAGAGCAATTGGAGTAACAGGTAAGGATGATGTTCTCCTCATCCGGGGCGTGAATAGCTTTGTGAGGGACAATGACCTTGAAATGGAAGGCTTCTCCCTCGCTCCTGTAGATGACCCTTCTGAAGCTAGGTTGGAAGCCTTCTCGATATCCGAAGAGCTTCGATACTTAAAACTTAGTTTCGGGAAAAGAGCTTTTATAGATGATTTGCCTTTAGCTGAAGAGGGGCCCGGTGATCCGCTAACTCTTGCATCTATGGAACCAGGTGTCAAGAGAAAATTTACTTTCCTAGGAGTGGGGCTTGGTGTTGGAGGCATCTTTATTGCAACAAAATCCTCAGCACAGTCTTCTGATGTTCTTGAAGGTATCTCCAGGTAGAGATTTTGTCGCTTCCATGGATGAACTTGGGGTGCTTCTTCAGTTACTCCCATTGAGTCTTCAATCTGAAAAATACAAAGGATATAGCATGAATTGAAGAGGATGAAAATAGGTGCAGAATACAATCTAGAGTTTATTTTAGTTGCCAGCTTAACAATCTTTTCTCATTTCAAGTTTTGCAAAAATTTAGTAACTGTTTGTAAATCTAATATAAGAAACTCTGAAAAAGAGAAGTAACCTAAAGCATGCCAGCCTCCAACTTTTGGAACCGGGGTAAGAATTTACTAGTTAAACTGAAGTATTGCATTGATAGAGCTGCTTTAAAATCTACATTCTGCTGTTCTAAATTTTTTTTTGCAAGTAGTTTATATAAAGATTTCTTTTTCTAGGCATAGATTTACTAGAATGAGGGGAAAAGCAAACAACATGATCTACAAACCTAATGGGCACTGACAATTAAATACTGATCCACAAACAAACATGATCAAATTTTTCGGGACTAGATACACGTTCTTGTCCTAGTGTCATCTGTATACGGAGATTCCTGATTTGTGGGTAAGTTTTCAACATATGGAGTTGGAGCCATATCCCATAAAACGTCAACAGCAATGAGTTTCTAATAATCAACAAAGGTCACAACTTGAACGCAACATGCTGTAACTTCAACATGTTTGAACTTGGAGATTAGAAGTAGTACTTTATATTAAATGCACAAGTTCTGGGTATTAAGATCTCCGTACATAATATCAAAAACACATTAAAAAAAATTATCATTTGATTTAGATTGAGGCACATGTTGTAGTTAATAACTCACATGTGCATTGTAAATTACACAAAATGGGTGTGGCTGAGATATGTGAGAGTTACTAAAATCTAAGTACATGAATATTGAGAAATCACAAGTTAAATTCCATGCATGTACTTTGATTTAAGTCATTCTCAAAAATCTCAACCAAATCCACTCTGGCAAGATACCCACAATTTGTCCTTCAGTGTTTTCTTAATATAATTGCACTGTTTGCACACCATCGAGTTTGGGGAACTAACACATCAGGTCTGCCTTAGGCTCATTTCCACAGACAGATTGTAGACCTATATAAATCCAATAATAACTTGGGCAAATTTCTTTTCGCAACTGACAGACAAAACTGCGACGCATAACCAATTTTGTAGAAAACAGAGGAAGTCATGTATTGCAGATTGTAGAAGAAAGAGTTACGCAGTTGATTTTGTAGACAAACATTTCATGTTGGACAACTGAATTAGAAATGAGCAGTACAAGTAAAGCCTTGCTCCTTTTGCATTTCTGTGCATCATTTATAAAAATAAGTTCGTTCAAACATCATTTGTCACACAAATCAAAGCAAATGCGCCCAAATGAATGATTTCATGACATTGTTATGGTTTTACAAATCAGTGGTAGAAACCCAAAAGCATAAAGGAAATATATATAAAAAAGATCCCAATAGCTCATCAATCAAAGAGAAAAGTCAATATTTTTGGACTGATATTCTTTTTTTCTTTTTGGCTTATTAAACATTACAAAACAACAGCATCAGCATCACAGAGGTTTAAACCTTAAACTTAAACTTAAACCCATGTCAGCATCTGACAAAAATGATGAACCAAACAATTAAGGTATGCCATATCCTATGTCAAACAATATACATGAACACACACAACTACACAATCCTATCAGATAAACAAAGGGGAGAAAGAAAAAAACTATAAAAAGGAGTTATTGAGAAGCTCAAAACACATGGAAAATGGGAGAAAAATGGTGATACATAATTAGAAAGTGAAGGAAATTATAAATCAATAAGAAGAAAGCAAAAACAGAGAAGCATAAAGTTTGTACCTTGTGAACAGGAACAGCAATTGTTCCTTGGGTTGAATTCTCATCACGATCATGGACCTCAGCCTCATGCTTTTCCTCAGTTCCCATTTTCTCATTACTCATAAATTACCAAAACCAAACACAACCCAATTCAAAACACCCTTCAAGCAACAGGCCTAATCCAACCAAGCTCAAAAAGAGTCCCCAAAAAAGAGTAACAAAAGAAGACAGGGAAAAAGAGAGAAATTGTAATGGGGTTATGGAAGAAGAAGCAGATAGCTTATTTTCTTGAGATGTGTGAGGGGAAGTGAAGAAAGGTAAAGCAGGGAAGGGAGGTGTAAATAAGAGGAGAGGGAGATAGAGAGAGAGAATGAAGAAGATGCTTCTCTCAAATTCTCATTTATGGCAAAAGGTGGTGGGAAGACTGGCCTACTGCCACACTCTTTATTCACGTTTCAAGTGCGCGCGACCTCCGGTCTTTTATTTTTTGGCTTAGCCACGCTAACGATACCCCAAATAATACACCATGACAAGTCCAACTTTATTTTTTAATGTAATTTCAAAAAAATAAAAAAATAAAAAAGGTTCCTCTCATCTAATTTCAGTTTCTCACTAGAACTGGTTCAATGATCAATTGCACATGGTTGCACGAAATTCTCCCATGGTGGATGAGTGTTGCGGGGTTAATAATGTGGGATGTTAGTGTCGGTCGCACATAGTTGCATCAAAATTCTCAAACACCATATGTATATTGAGTGATTAATGTATGATGTAAGTGTCGGTAAGTCGGCAGTAACTTCCCGCATTAATTCCGCGACTTTCATATTATATTGAAGAAAATTTCATAGCTGATATGTGTGGATTAACTCTTGAAAATTGATTTTGGTGTGCTCTTGTTGTGATTATGTACTGAATTATGTTTATATTCTTTGTCATTCTATATTATTTATTGTGACAAGGGACTGTGCACCAAAATTGAATGTGCAAATCCCTATTTGACAGCTGCATTATATTACATTTAAGGTACATTGCAGCAACCTTGTACCTAAACCGTGGCCTATATTTCCATATTTATTTATCCCAAAAAAGTAATCACTCATAGTTCTAAGTACCCATTTCTAATTGTCGTGAGAGGGAAATCAGTAAGAGAAATGGGTGCACCAAGTGACTGTGCACCTGGCGGCAGGGAGGGACGGTGGGGAAGATAACTCACGAAATCATAAAAGATCAAATCAGCCACATTGGTGATGAGGCCACTAAGTGAACCTACTAATTAAACCCCCTGCCTCTTTTACTTTCACTTGAATCTTTTTAACATTATCTCATATCTGGAGAAGGAACTCCAACAACGCAGAAAAGATAATGGAATATCAGCACTTGTTCATTTCCCAGTCTTGTCTTCAATTCTCCTTTATTATGGATACTAAACTCGGTTCTCATGGACGGTATTGTTTGACTGGCTTGCCTAGTTGTAAGATTGTCAATAAAAGATACTCAAATCTTCAGCCATTAGTAGGTAAGTCTTCCCGTACACTCTTAAACCTATCTACCATTGACACACACAACAGAGACATGTACAGCAAACAACTTTAAGTAGGAAGCAGGTTTGTATTATTGCTTTGTAAGTTCTTTCATTTCTATACCTCCTTCCTTTGTCTAAAGGCGGTCAAGATTGGACCAGAGAGGGGACCGATGGTAAAGGCAAACAAGGATTCTGCACCAAGTTTCTCTTTGAAAGTTAATCTTAGCTGCACAATTCATTGTTTACCAATTAGGTAGTTAATGCACTCGTAATCAATGTCTAAAGTTGTGATAGAAACCCACCGGCTTTTTGCTTTTTCACACAATGCTTTTGTAAAAAGGACCTCTATCTCTAGTTTCTTGGGCGGGAGAGACTCTCTGTCTCTGTGCTTTAAAGTTTAATCCATGCTGTCAAAAAAGCCATTGGACTACAGTCAACCTTCCGTGCTTGCTTTCCCTAACTTGCTTTCCCTAACTTGATTAAGACATGCCATCTAAAAATATTACATTTGGCAAGAATGAATCATGCATGGCTGCAAAAAATATCGAAGATTCAAAAATAACGATATCCAGCTGCCTGGTCTGGAATCTGGAGGCCAGAAATTGGAGAAAAAATTTGTTAAAAATTGGATCATTTAACCTAACATGCCTACAATTTTGTTAGGTAAAAAGGGGAGTGTTTTCACTCCTTAAATAGTGGATGGGTGGCATTTTAAAGTAACCCATTAAGGATTATTTTTCAAGATTTAGAAATACAATCACTTGAAGCCTTATCGAACACTCTCAAGCCCCGAACGTTACTCGAGGGGTTAAAGTTTTAAAAATGAAAAGAATACTTTGATAGAAAAAGAGCGTGGCTGTGTTAAAGTTATGGGTGGTGTAAAGATGTCTATATTATAATCCAAAGCGATCCCCCTTTCAGTGGTTCTAGTCTATTTCATAAGATGGTGGATGACTTTGTTTCCAAGGCAGTGGGATAGTAGTTGCTTGCTGTCACCACAAAGATTATTACCACATCCACGACCATCTTGTAGTGGGATTGAATTGAGATCATGAAATGGTCGGAAGAAAATGACACGTGTTTCTTAAAGTCTTAAATGGCTGCTAAAACAATAAGAAATGATGAAAAAAGAAAAAGAAAAAGTGAAACCCAATACCGCTCCATTGATATCATAATCTTTTAGGCCTAATCGAAATCATTTGAAAGGACACATATGACTCATAATTATTTTATTTCACACTTAAACTCCAGAATATAAATTCTTATCTTTTTCCTCCTTTACAATTACATATATATAATTCTGCAGAAAGTTTCCACATCCCCCACCAACAGATATAAAGCTGTTGTTATTACCTGCCAGCGGCAACCAATTTAAAAGAAGAGAAAGCAAAAGAGAGAAAAGGAACTATGAAGAAAAGCAGTGTGTCCTGTTACAGCATAAGCAAATCAAAGGCATGACTGGGTTGTTTACAAATAATTAGAGAGGAATTAAAACCTCTCTTGAATTTTAATTGCTAAATTATGTGGTAAATGATATGTCAGTAGCTTACTTGTTAGAAATATATTAGATTTACGAATATGAACAAGTAAATGTCGTTTCATCATAGATAACTATTTGATCTAGTAACATTTTGAAGGAAGTTGAGGTTCCACCCCAAAATCAATTGGCAATGGGGGGAGTAGCTCAACTTCTTATAAGCTCTTACTAGGTTTCTCAACTTTTCAATGTGGGACTTTTTACTTTTATATTCTCACACGCCCCCGCACGTGTGGCGAATTTTCAAACTTAGCACGTGGACAACATATATTGAGTGATGTTGAGCACATGTGGCCGTTGGGCTTTCACACGTGGGCTAATCCAATTTGATACCATGAAGATTTTCAATGAATGTATATTCCATCATGAGGAGATTTACACAGTACACAAATATATAGAGAGCAAGAAACCACCAGACAACATGTCTTACCCTGACCACAAACTTTATCCACAAATTAAGCTGTAAATGCCGAACACTAATTACAAGGAAACCTTAAATCAAGGAAAAGGTGGTAATCACAACTCACCAATTTGGTATAGTGGTGACTACATGAAACTCCCTCCTGGTCATCCTCAAGGTTGTGATTCAAATTTGGTTTGTAAACTTCACAAATTCATTTATGGATTGAAACAATCTCCTCGTTCCTAGTATGCCAAGCTAAGTTCGGTTCTTGAAGCAATTGGCTTCCAGCAAAGCAACACAGATTCCTCCTTGTTTGTTTGCACTGGATCAGTTGGAAACTTAGTTATCCTTGTATATGTTGATGATCTCATCATTAAGGGGGTGATAATGTTGAAGAGATTACTAATCTCTCTATATATTTGTGTACTATGTAAATCTCTTCATGATGAGTGAAACAAGATCCGAGGCTAGATTTGATGTGCCATCATTGCAATAATACTGGGCATGTAATAGAACGATGTTGGATTCTACACCCAGAAGTGAAGCCTATGTTTGCAGTAGACAACAAGGGTGCTTAGAAATGTTCATAGAATTCAGGCTACAAGGCGAATCATGCAACTTTTTGTACTGATGGGCCTTCAAACTTCATCTCGAATCTTGTTTCACTCATCATGAGGAGATTTACACAGTACACAAATATATAGAGCGATTGAGTGAGGGCAAGAAACTACCAAACAACATGCCTTACCATGATCACAAACTTTATCCACAAATTAAGCTGTAAATGCCGAACACTAATTACAAGGAAACCTTAAATCAAGGAAAAGGTGGTAATCACAATTCACCAATTAGGTAGAGTGGTGACTACAACCTAACCTATACAGAAACTTCCAAAAATATATTCAATGCATTTAAATCTCCACATTGTTGGAGAAAACCCGAAGTTCGAATATCAAGTTTATTTTGTGTTACTATCATATCTAGTGGTATCAGAATTTTGAGATTTGTTTTAATACCAATTATTTTTTTCTATCTTTCTTTGACTAGGTACAGTATAGGCTGGATTTATATTTCTTATAAGCTATATATTAGATAGATGTGTATTCTTATCTAACTTGATGGGGGAAAGCATGCACCTTTGGGAGAATGGAAGACAACGTCTACTTGTTTGGACCTGGACACAGTGGAGAATAGTGGAGTGGTTTGTTCATAACGTGTTGGAGCATTTTTCTTTTGGGAGATTCACTAATATACCTAATATGAGGGCTCAAATTATAAAAATACCCCAAATGAAATGAACTTTATAAACACACCCAAAACCCATTTACAACATAACAAAGAGGCCTTAACTTCTTATAAATTACAAAACTACCATAAATTTCTTAAAACAAGCCCAACATCAAAATCTCATAAAAATACCCAAAACACTCAATAGAGCATTAAAGTAATTTAATAATCAATATTAAATTCAATAAGGCCAGCTGTCATTTTTGGGGTTTTTTTTGGGTTTGTTTATAGAAATTCAACGATGGATGGTTTATCTATAATATTAGTGCTAAGAATGGGTATATCACTAAATATCTCTTTTCTTTTTGGGAAAATACAGACAAATTACAAATACAAACAAATCTTAGTTAAACGTGTACATCATCAACTTTCATGTTTGTCGCATTAAAAATAAAAATAAAAACTTTCATTTTTGTACTTCTAATGACGTAATTCTATTAGGACACTCATTCTCTCCTCGGAAGAGGCATTCCTACGTCATACAAATTACAGTTTGATATATATACAAAAATAATTCATAAAAAATACAGAAAAATCTCTACACATGTCAAACTGTGATTTGTCTAAAAATAAGAGTTCCTATTTCCAAAGAAAGAGACCAGAATTATCCTTCCATATACAAGGAGTGGTGGCTCCTTACCAGTGGTCTTTTAGTTATGCATGGATGTGCATTTACACGTCCGTGAGATTTGTATAAAAACGTGCACAGGCAAATAGATTGAAACCTAAGAGCATCTCCAACCGATGTATCAAAAGTGCCACATAAATAATTAACGGCTAGAAATAACATATCACATCACTCCAACTGATGTGTCAAAGCTGATGTAGAATGAAGGCTGGAGGTTAAGATGTTATTTTTGACATCCCAAAAGCAAGATGTCAAATGAATATTTTATTATTTTTAAAAGATAATTGGCTGTTACTTTCATTTATTTTTTTAATTTTTTTCTTCTTTATCTTAAATGATTTGACTGTTACAATAATTATTTATTTGACATATCGGGTGGAGTGTAAAACTGTGTAAATGTCAAATTGCCACATCAACCATCAAATTTAAATTTGATGTTTGGTATTAAGAGCATCTCCAACCGATGTGTCAAATGTGCCACATAGACATTTAACAGCTATAATTAACATCTCACATCACTCCAACCGATGTGTCAAAGCTGATGTGGAATGAAGGCTAGAGGTTGAGATGTTATTTTTGACATCCCAAAAGCAAGATGTCAAATGAATATTTTGTTATTTTTTCTTTTCTTTTCTTATTAATTAAAAATGAATCAACACTAAAATGTAAAATAATAATTTAATTTGACATATCGGGTGGGGTGTAAAGATGTATAAGATGTCAAATTGCCACATCAGCCATCAAATTTAAATTTGATGTTTGGTATTTAACATCTCCATTGGAGATGCTCTAACATTACCTATTACTTTTCACCACAGAAATTTACTCACTTGTTACCTACCTCCAATATGGTGTAGCCCAGAGATTAAAATGAAATAAATGAACATGTTTGGAAAATGTTTACAGTAACGCACATTCCATTATCCTTCAGAAGACATTAAAATTTCAAAAAATTGACAATTTGAAAACCCCAATACATTGGCCTTTATGTAAGCATAGGCATACAGAACCAGCTGATGCTAAATTAAAACTAACTGTAGATATTACTGTCAAAAATTTTGTTGGTAAACTATATAAATTATTTGTTGAACCATTCGAATTGATGTGATCAGCTAAATGTGTATTACAAAATTTCCTGGACTGACCGAGTCCACCTACCTCTCAAGGAGCATTACCAATTCGCAGTGTATGGTATGTGGAAATAGATCAACGGCCATTGCTTTGACAGGTCGGAAAGGCTCTGAAGCCGGCATAGACTTGGCCCTGTGCCGTGCTAGACCAGCACTGCTCATGTTTCTCCATGCTCTGTTGTTCTTGTTCTTTTCGATTTTCTCAGGAGATGGTGTGCAAAGCTCGATAGCATTTGCCACTAAGCTTTCAGGATTGCAGGAAATGTAACTAAACCAAATAAGAACCAAAGTTAAATTCCAGTAAAGAGACAAATGAGGTAAATAACATAGGAGGAAAAGTATGTGAACTAACACAAGCTTCCGTAGACCAGGATGAGTTCTAAGAGCTTTGATCACCTGCATATCACAGACAACCGATCGGGGTCACCATGAAATGTCTTGGTACCAAAATACAAAAGTCATTAAAGGCATAGACATCGTTAAATGCATGTCGATAGCCAAAAGCATATCATAGAAGACCACAATCAAAGGAAAAAGCAATCTGAACACACAGTTACTTCTTACTGGATTCTAAAGGTAAGTTAAAAGGAAAATTTCTATTAATCATTATGTAGAATATTGGAGAAGACTCTCATTTACTTACAGTGGGATGAAGTCCGCTTCGGGGAGGATCAACAATAGCAACAACATTACTGAAACGTTTCACTGGAGCATTCCCATTTTCAGAAGTGCAACTATTCTGAAGTTGGCTTCTGAGTTCCTGCTTGTCGGTTTCTAAACCCTCAGATGCAGTCTTACCACTTTCAAGCTCATGGCTTGAATTCTCTTCAGGGTTGGGTTTGTTGTCTGTTGAGATTGGTTTCTCTTCATCAGTAGCAACAACTTCGTCAATACCTTCAATGACGTTATTTTCTTGTTTCTGAGGTGCATTAATGTACTCTTCCAACAAAGACCGCATCACATCCTCTGCCTGTTTCCTCATGGATGACAACAATACGAATAATAATTAAAAAACCTAATGAACTAAAGCTACCTTACTCAGAGAAATTACAAATTCTTCAACAAAAATAATGATTGGGGGATAAGAAATAGAATGGAGATTATTATCTTGAATTTTCTTTCAAGGGTCCACTTATTATCTCAAACTTTCACATTAATTTTAATATAATTTAAAACCCTAATTCTCACCTTCGCACTGACAAATCTACAGTTTGTTATGCCATTAATTTCAGCATTCCTACGAGCATCTGAAACCGCAGAAGCATTCATTTCAATGCCAATAACCTGAAATATTTTTAAGGGAAAGCAAGTTTAATCATTAGGGGATATATAAATATAACAAGTTTTTTTCATATGCAGATGATATGGAAGCTAACATCATGACAAACCAAATTTTTGTAGAATTTATCAACACTAGAAGCAGCAGCAGTGGAGGGAGGGTGAGTGGGGCATTGGGTGCATTTGACCCAAATAATGTTATTTTTTTCTCACGAATTATCACTCTTGACCCCAAAAGAACTTCAGGAAAACAAAAGACCCATGTTCGGTTGATATCTTTTTACACATAACTAAGACTAGCAATTGATTCATACAGTAAAAACAACATATGGGTTAGGTCAGGTGCATATTTGGCTTGGAGAAGAGTGCAGCACCAACAAATTTTTCTTAAGAAATATACATTGGCCTTATATTATGCATAGGAAACTAAATTAAGGCACAATTGTAAATAAAAATGAAGTAATCAATATTTGAGAGCTTCTTTATCATGCCCCCATTGGGATAAAATCCTGGTTTCGCCATGAGAAGAAGTGTTCATACTGATCCAGTTATTATGAAATAAATGTTGGACTATGATGTGATTTCTATGGTTTTTTAGTGGTGGTTCTTTCCTTCTCTTTGTTACATCAAGAATGGTGTGGACTATACGTGACGTCAGTTTCAGTAGACCCCCTAATATACCTGTTTAGAACTTTATAATATTCTCTCCATTAATGGGAGTCTTACATCATTAGCAGGGGATTTAACAGTCAAAATGCAACGCATCTAACAACTCTGGAAAGAAAAAAGAAAAGACAAGAAATGAGAACCGGGAAGTTGACTATTACCATACCAACATGATGTGCTAAAGTCAGCCCAATTGTTCCAGTCCCACAGCATACATCAAATAGCAAGGTATCAGGACCCAACTCAGCCCAATCCCCTGCAAGAGAGTATAGCTTCTCTGCAGCAAGGGTATTGACCTGCAGTATGGTTGGATTCAGGAATAATTACTAATGCGAGAATAATCTTTTCTGCTGCTTATGAATAATACAAAAACCTGATGCCAAACCTGGAAAAATGCTGTTGGTGATATGCAGAACCGAAGATTACTTATATAGTCATGAATTTTTGCTTCTACAACATTGTCGGTGGCCTGCATTTCAGAACTACCTTCTCCTTTCGAAATAGATAATGAGCGCAATGGAGCATCAGCCGGTGCTGCATTTGATATTCCTTGGTGATCCTGAAAAAGGGCAAGCCATCACACAGAGAATAAGACATTAGTAAATTGAAGAGACCATATTGCTCAACCATAACTAAGGGGGGAACATATTGTATTGAAAGTGTGTGCCAAGAGACTCAAGACACTTCAGCTGTGACATTCTTACTACCTTTAGCTGACGATAAAACCTAGATGACTACAGGGATTTAGTACCTGAATAACTAAAGCTGTAAGAGGCAAAGATGGCGAACTGGCAGTAGCTCCTGCAGAAAAAACTTGTGCTAGCCTCTCAAAATCACTGGTTATCTGTGCATCATCAAATCCTGTACTGGAAACCTATAAACAGAGATGAGTGTGAAAAATGAAATTACAGTTGGATTGTTTCTCAATAAATATTCAATCAGATTTTTCTTCCAACTCAGTAGTTTACTATTCAACTTTCTAACCATAAAAGAAGGAGAAGGGGAAGAAAGGAAATTGTCAATCCTGATGCAAGTTCAGACACTAACCTGAACAATAAGCATGACCTCTGCAATATTGGCCTCACAATTTTCAGCATCAGAGGCCATGCCTGGTCTCCTCCCTTCTCGAACCTAAGAAGACAAATCATGAGACAGCAAGCTCAATGACTGGGGCGAAAATATTACTTCTAAGGTGTAAATCAAAAGTAGGTTGAGCATTCCCTGCTTGGCAAAAGAGTGATACTTATCATACATAACTTTTGCTAATAGACCCTCAATTTACAACACCTACCGTCAGTTGACGCCAGAATCCAATATTCTTAAATCTGTTCCAAACTGGTAAACTTGAATGTTGCAGAAACTCCTGAAAGATAGAGGCATATTTGCAAGAAATTCTGGAAACATTTGGGCAGTCAAAAGGTTCTTCAACTGCTGTAACACCCTCCCTGGAAAGATTTTATTTAGTAAACAAATCAATGTCAAGGTATGCTAACACCAATAAAATTTTCTATTGAATGTGGATTACCTAAAATTTCCAAGCATAAACCCCACAGTTATTTTTCCCTGTAGAGAATATCCAACTGAAAATTCACACTTGTTACGATATCCATTTACAACTGGGGATGCTAGTATACCCTCTAAACTGCATGGAAGACCACCTACAGTAATCAAAAAATAGTGTGAACCCCTACTCAAATTTTCTGGAAGTACAATGGTGAAAAATAAGAAACCATTGGAGCAATGAAGAGCTTTGCCCCATGTCAAAAATATTAATATAAACAATAAAACAAATATGTTTCTGTAAGTTCACAGGGAACGTATCAACATCACCTATCTCCCTAGACTTGAGAATCCATTCTGGAAGCGGAATACCATCAGGACAAGCTTTGCGAGCATTTCTAGTCTGAAAATAAAAGTCGCAGCAACTGAGAAGTCAGTTTCCAATGTGTGTGAATAAAGACATAAATGTTAAAAACAACACCAAAAATTATGAAATTAAAAGACCAAATATAAACAGGCACCACTAACAAGTCTTTTGAGAATCTGCATAAGAGAGTTCTTTTTATGCTCCAACTGATCACCATAAGGCATATGAGCCAGGGGAGTCACTACTTTGCGGGCACTTCGTCCACTAGTCGCATTGCCATCCTCAGCCCCATTTGCCACCACAGAGTCTTCCACATTCTCCCCATCCAATTCAACCTCTGTGGTTTTCTGCGGGTTTTGAGGTAAAGCCATTGCCGATTTGGTTTTCTTTTCAAATGATCTGGGAATGACATCCGCAACCTTTATATTTTTGTTACCAATTGATATTCCATCCAGCTCCTGTCACATAGAGATTTTGAAATGACAATCAACATGTTGGTTCATTGCATAAAAATTTTCATGCATACAAACACTTTTATAAGGCAATGTTCTCTTACCACAATGTTTAACAGGCTACATTGTTAAACTTTGAATCGAATCACACATTCTATTCCAACTAGCCAATCATCTTAATCGATAGTATAGCTGATAATAGAGCATTCCCCCATCCACAAAAATATATTTATAATTATTCTCTTCCAAGGTCCTTGAATGATGAACTAAAGCATATTTCCAAGTCTCAAATCAAATTACGAATTTTTAAATTAAGGATAATACATTATATATATATATATATATTGACTAATATAAAACAATCCCATTAATTCAAAATTTTAAGATAAGTCCAATCATTTCCTTCATCACAGAAATTTGTAACAATTATAAAAATTAAATGTAAATTTACTTAATAATACTCAATAACACATAAATAATTCCTTTTTGTTCAATGCATATTATATTTCTAATGCATTTTAAGTCAGCAATGTGTGTTTTGTAACCAAATTCAAATGTTAAATATATATATATATGTTTGTGTGTGTAAAGCAGGGGATACCTTCACAGCAGTTTGCAATTGCTCTACACTCTGAAAACTCACAAAACCTAAAGTCATGCCTTTCTTCTTCTTCGCCGATTTAAATTGAACTCCCTGCAATTCAAACAGCTCCAATTAAAAATTAAAAACCCCCCCAAACAAAATTCAGAAAATCCACAGAAAACCAGAAAAAAAGACACTTGCCTTCTCACTAAGAAAGTCTTTCAATTTCTCCGATTTCCAATTCCTGGGTAAATGAACCAGGCACTTGCTCAGCTCTGGATCCAACCCTCCAACGTCTCCGTCACCGTTACCGTCACCGTCGTCGTCATCATCGACGGCCTCTGTCATCATCACATTATCCGGAGACGCACATTGGTCGCCTTCCTCCTCCTCCAACTTTTGCTTCTTCGCGCGCTCGGAGGTCGGGTCCCATGTGTTGTCGGGTCGGGGCCGGAGCTCCGCTTCGCCGTGGGCGTACCGGCACCCGCTCCCGTGGCTGCAGGAGGCGGACTCACGCCTGAAGTAGGAACAGAGGCTGGTCTTCCATAGAGGAGGGACGACGGAAGGTTTCGGGGCGTCGTCGTCGTTTTCCTCTCGCTTGCGTTTGTCTCCGGGAACGGCGTCGTCTTGGGGCTGGTTTTCGGGGTCTCGCGGCGGCGGTGGCTGTGGTTGATCGGTTGAATCGTGACCGTTGAGTGGGGAGTGTGGGTTTAAGAGTGAAGTTACGGAAGAGGGCTCGGTAGTTGGAGACGAAGAAGACATTGTGATGTGAAGTAGTGAGTTTGAGAGAAGTCTTCTGGATGTCTTCGGGTGGTTCCTTATACTCTTTACTAGGTTTGCAATTGCAACTGTATTTTGTTATTTTCTATGAATGAATGCACCAAATTACTTGCAATTTGCAACTGTATTTTGTTATTATATATATATATATATATTTATTTATTTATTTATATACAAGCGATTTTAGGGAGATTGAACTTAAGACCTTGAGTGCAGGGTAATTGCTCTCAACTTGAGCTACAAACCTCTTACAATAATATCTAATTTTTAAAAGTGATTTCCTGTCCATCTATTTTTATGCGCATCTTTTCTCATTTGAAAAATTAAATTTTGGTTTGTTTATTTTTGCTTAAAATGAGTTTCCATCAGATTTTTTATAAATATTCTTTGAGAATGCTTAATTTATTTTCATTTTTTATTTCTATGCTACTATGATGGATGGAGTGATCAAGCTTCAAATATTTCTTAGGTTTTGATCTAATGCATGTCTTTCTGATGCTTTGTGACAACAATCCATGAATATAATTCCATAAATGTATTTCATATTTCTATGTTTAAATAGTCACTTTCGAACTTCTATTTCTCCCAAATAGCTTTATCTTTCCTTGAAAATTTTATGTCATTTGAAAGCTAGTGTTACAAGCTTTAAAAAAACCCTATAATTTTGTAATGAAACATGTTTTAAGAGTTAAAATTAAGGTTGTACATCATGGATTTTGCATTAAAAAAACTCATATCTTCGGCAATTTTGATGCCATTGACTAATTTGACATATTGGACTAACAATGCAAGCGAAATGAAGTTACAAGAACGAAATTGGAAAGAAAAAAATAATTTATACGAGGACGAAAGTGAGAACTCATGTAAAAGCTGAACTATTGCTGCAATTTGACCATTTTTGGCTAATGCCGCATAATTTATAGACGTGCACCAAAAAAGGCATTAATTTTAGGTGGAAAAATGCATCAAGCCTTTTTAATTTTATATTATTTTTTTGCAATAACAGAGATTTTCCATTGAACAAACAAGGCATAATTTGAAGTGACATTGGCATAGTCACCCCTTTCTAAAAGATGATATATTCTAGACTACTCTAAACTTGGTAGAGGGAAATTTGAACTCGAGTGCGGACACTAATTGGTCTTAAATATAATTCAATAATCCGAACCATGCACAGAATCTGAAAATTAATAAGACATGTTAAAAAGTAAATAACATACAATCTGGGAGATTCTCGTTCAAAATGTTGAGAACATGGTAGGTGTTAATACTGATCACGTCACAATAAGAAATTTGCCAATTCTATTGAGCGCTCAGGATACAAGCAATGCATTGAAGCTGAAGCATTGGGAAAACAGGGGATTTCTAGAAATACAAGTATAATTGACAATTTGATTTTAAAAAAATTTAAAAATTAAGTATAGCACACCTGATTTCTCAACTCTCTCACGTGAGATGAGATTTGTAATCTGTCACATCCATGTAGGACTCATCATATGTGAGAAAGTTGGGTTGTATTTTTCTCTTTCTTCTTTCTTTTGGTCAAGTGGATTTTAGAACATTTAGTTGATAGCATGTTACTCTGAGCTATTGGCTTCATTGTTCACCTTGATTTCCAAGAGTCGTTCAACTGGTTGCCTACAGACGGGGCACCTATTTGTCTGGAACCTCAGAACCTTAGCACAACCGCTGCACATGCACTGCAGTTGAAAACAAAACGTTAGCCAAACCTTATGCATACTCAAATGATGACGCTAGAACACAGCCCACGGAACCAAACATTGATGAAAACAATGAAAGTTATGTGGCCAGACTAGCCTACTTCATTTCTATGGTGTTATATTTACTGGAGATCTGTTGCAAACCGTGTAGCTCAAGTGGCATTGGGTGTGTAGATGGATAGAGCTTAGGGTCAATTCTTCTTGTAAGCACAAACAAAAAAAGAACATTTTCCAATGTTCTCTTCATACAAACTACAAATAGAGAGAGGTAAGAGCAGAATATCTATGTACCATGTGCCGGCATGGGAGGACAGTTGTGTCTCGAGGCTCTGACAAGCATATTATACATTCTTTCCCAGAATCATTTCCATTTTGATCACCTTCAACTGCATTCCCAATACCATAGATCTCCTGGAGCTCGTACCTCATCCCATTCACCCATAGTATCTGCTTCATCACCCGCACTTTGTACTCCCCATTCTCCTTCTTTTCAAACACTGCCTGGGTGATCTGAGAGTTCCCAGCTGAATTTCCATCTGATTCTCGTTCACCAGCATTTAAAGGGAATGCTTCAGCCTTCACCACAAGAGGATAAACTTCTATGTCACCCTCTTTCGTTAACCCTATCTCCTCAAACATTGAGAAGTCAATCCCAGTTCCAGAAGGTTGTCTAAACTTCTGGCCAAGTCCTTTCTCAAAAGGCACTGTAACAGATTTAAACAAGCTTTCCTTTGTTGCTATCAGGTTACAGTCTGCATCTTCTTTAACAAAAAACATAACTGTAATGCTGTGGCACAAGTCAGGGAATAAGTAAATAAGTAAAAAAGGAACGCTTACCTAAGAAACATCATATAACAACCACACAAAGAAAAGTTTACAAATATGCAATCCAGCAGCACAAACACATTTTGTGATTTAAGAAACATCATATGAACGTGTTTAACAACTCAATAAGAAATGTTCTCTTTGGGACAAACAAGGTTTTGCCAAATTATTATTCTTTTCATACAATTTGTTTAATTCTCCTCAAGAAATATTAGACTCTCTTTTCACTTCCATGTCATCAATAACTTCTGCACACTCATACGTCACTTTGCACCAGGATAAAAGCCTCATATTTAGCAGTTCATCAGCCATATAACTTCTACTATCAGACGATTATATCCATGCAATAAGCTTGACGGACTTGAGATACTTCTTTGGTCTACAAGACTACATGATGTTTTAAAGAGTTGACTTGATCAAGGCTACTCACAATCAAGAAGCCTATAAGACTACTGCCTAATATGACCACTACGTATCACCAATAAACAGAATACTCACATCAGACAAATTCAATGCAATCCCATCCTATCAAACAACTGCATTCTTTAAAAATCTATGGTCAATAATCACTACTCCAATGATCAGAACATATCACAAAACCTCAAATAATAATACACAACCTTGCAATTCAAGCAATTTACCTTCCGGGCGCAGCAGCATCAAAAGTGAACGCAATAAGGAACCTCCCGGGATTCTCCTCATCCGGCTCAACCCGCAGAGAGTCTTTCTTGATATTGACGTCATTCTTAATGGTGACTGTCTTTTGATGTTCCACAAATGGAGCACCCGGAGGGGGAGGGGCAGCTCCATAAGGCAACTGCCCGGGTGCCCAATTGGCGGGAGGGGGGCCCATGTAGACCCCACCGCCGTGATAAGGCTGCGGATAGGGACCCGGGACAGGCGGTGGTGGGTAGAAACCAGGGTATTGGAAGAATTGGGATGGATTTGGGTTTGGTGCATTTGGATACTGAGATGGGTACTGGGGGTGTTGGCTTGGATTGGGGTCTGGTCCGTTTGGATATTGAGATGGGTAGGGTGGTGTGGCAGCAACAAAGCCATGCCCTTGAGGCGGTTGGGTCCGGTGCCTCCGGCGACCGGAGCTGGTGCTGCCGAAATTACCCATTTTATCTATACTCGAGAATTTCAGTTTCGCTTTTTATATGCTAAACAATCAAACCAGAAATACCATTAAAAGCTTGAATCTTTCTGTTTGGTTGATAAGAAACCTGAAGAAACGCAATGAAAATGTTGAAATTCATTACATAAGATCAGAAAATCATTGTGAGCACACAAACTGATCAAATTCATACGATCAGAAAATGGGAAAACGCACCTTATGTAATTCTTGCGTATGCGTTGTTTGCATTCTACAGAGGCAGAAACAGAAACAGAAGCAGAGGAGAGAGAGAGAGAGAGAGAGAGAGAGAGAGGACAATGGGGATTGAAATTTCGGAGTGAAATTGAATCTGGGAATTTGGGTGCACACCGACCCACCCAACCACAACGTCCACCACCACCACCTTAGGAAAAACGTAAACCGCCTCTCTCTTCTTACCTGGATTGCCACGTCACCATTTGTATTTTGGATAAATCCTAAAATGTGCACTCTTTTTGTTTTTGTTTTTGGTGTGACAAGGCTAAAAACTAGGAATCGTTGAATATATCAACGTATCTTTACATAAGAGATGAGTTTGAGTTGCTATTTTTTTTTCTTACAAAAGGTGTATCGAAATTTGACATTTTTCCAACATTGACAAAAGAGAAATAACATTTGACTCCAAAATATTTGAGTTTAGACAGTCTCATGCTCCCATTTTATTATCATGTCGTTTATAGTGATTCTCTACCGGTAAATGGAGGCAGACAATTGTTGTCACATAACCACGGTATATAAATAAAGGGCTAGTTTGATAATCGTTTTTATTTTAGTTTTTAGTTTTTATTTTTTGTGCTATAGTAGAGGAAAATAGGAATGAGAAAAAATTGTTTTCACTTTTGTTACTCCTCCCTTCCATAATCTCCTCTCACATTCCCTCTTAATCTCATCTCCACTCTCATTCTCATTTCTATTCTCCCTCTTTTTCCTCTATACTCCAGTAAAAAAATAAAAACTTAAAAACTATAATTAAAATGGTTATTAAACGGCCCAAAGTTGTTGATTTACAACAGACTTATAACTTGAATGATCTAGAGGATTTACCCCTGCACCCAAATTAGACAAAACCTAGTAAGAGAGTTGAGGAATATTTATGAAAGAGAAATATATTTTGTCATTGGCAACATTCTTGAATTTCTTTTCGGCATTTCGATCCCAAAAAAAAATTTCCTTTCTGCAACAAGTTTGCATGGCTTTCTTTCTCTCTCTCGTGAGGTCCCCATCAAACTTCGCCGCTCACCAGGAGTTTTGTTCATTTTAGACTCCCACCATATGCACCGAATACAGAATAGGAAAAATATAATCTCAAAGGCCACTCTGCAAATCACTGGGTTGTCTTCTGCTTTTATATTTGAGCAAAATATTTAGGCCCAAAAAATAGGAACCTCTTCGCCAATGGGTTTCCACCACAGTGGTGATGGCTTCCTCTTAGAATATGCCAAAAAACTTACATATAATGGAGATAATACTGTTTTGCTATCCCAAGTCAATGACACATGAAAAAGTTGAGTAATGCTACATTTACCACATTTTTCTCTCACATTTCTGTACCACATGATGTGGCATGTCCATATTATGTCACATCAATTAAATCAATGAAGTGTACTTTAATTAAGGCAATTAAAAAAATAAATACTGGAATAAATCATAAAAGAAAAGAAAATATTAAATAATTTTAATTGATGTGGCTATCCACCTCAGCTGTCACATAAGATGGTATAAAGATGTGGTATACAAATGTAGTAAAAGTAGCATTATTCGAAAAAGTTATCCTACGTGTTATTGCGTTATTGGCCAGAGATAGCAAAAAGTGTTATTCCCATTACATAAGAGTTTCTCTTTCCCCATGGCACCCCAATTCAAACTCCAACGTAAACCCCCAAAAAAAATAAAATTTAGGGACCTCTTCTGGTAAAGACCTGAGCTTGCGGGTTGGACTTGGAAGTAGTTATTTATTTGTAAGGAACTATTTAGTAAAGTCTTTCTGCATATTCATCAAACCGTAATTTATGCACACGGTACTTATAACTTATAAGAAACCAAGCCACATACATGGGTTAAGCAGGCCAGTTGGTTAGGGTAGTGAATCCACGCCCTTAGAACTATACATTTCCTATCATATCTCATGAAATTTACAGCTACCACGTACTCATCTATCGCACAGAACCTGCCATCTCTCAACTAGTTCCAAATCACCACCCGCCTATCCAAACCAAATTAGGTGGTCTAGAGAAAGTACATTTGTAAACTTTTCATGAAATTTCAAATAGTTTGGATCGCCATTTTTCTAAAAGAAAAATAAGATGTTCACGTCTCTGTCAAAAACAACTATGAACTATGGTCATTTTGCATGAGAGGGGTCGCATGGAAGAGAACAACGGAGAAAAAAAATTCAAAATGGATAAAATAAGAGATCTTTATATCAACAACTGTCGTCATTGCCTTCCTCCAACAAAGAGATCTTCAGGCGCCGCTCGATTAAACAACCCCGGTCAGATAAAATTAGAGATTGAAACAATGAAAAAAATTATCAGAGACTAGGAATAAAGCAAAAGGAAAGTTAGTTTAAGGGCTAGAATTGTTTCATTGACCAGTCTAGATTTCAAGCTTGGAAAGGAAGGAAAACCAGATTAACATGCAAAAGAAGATATTGATCCCGGCAAAGGGGATATGTTAAACTAGGAAAATATCACTTAACAAATAGGTGAGAAATGTAGAAAACCACATCTCAGCACCTAAATGAAAACTTAACCTGACCACAATGTAGAATACCTCAAACCAGACTCACCACCAGGCCTCAACTAAGCAGGACACTCGTGCACTAATGCACAGAAAAGCTCGTAACAACACCGAGTACGCATCAAATTTATTCAATGGAAGAAACCATTAAGTTCTTACATAATGTCTAATGAGTCATATGAACTTGAACTGGAATCCAAATAAATTCAAGTTCATGGGCCTGGGTTGAAGGTTTGTAGCATACATACTACAACCAACATGGAAAGATGCACATAAAATATCAAGAAATAGTAATTAAAAGCACCCACATGAAGCAATAAAAGTGCGTACGAGTGAGTGTGTGTGTGTTTAGAAAGGATATCCTCTCTAGCCAGACAGTTCGGCACACTATGCAACAAGACTATTACTCTAGTTGATTCTTATATGAACGCATAGTCATGTGGAGAGTCTAGTAACATAACATGGCAGATATCTGCTTGCAAGAGAATATTGCCCTCTGAACAAAATTAGATACGTATTAACTTCTGAATCATGTAGTCTAAGGGTAATCAAGAAACTGACAGATAACAATTCTGTGTCTTGGTCCAGATAAGTATAAATAAATTTTTGACAGATAGAACACTATTAAGCAGTGAATTTTTTAAAAACAAATCATTAAACAATAAGGATTTCAATTTATTAAAATAAATAATTGGGCTGTAGATGAGAAACACAACTTAAAGATAAAACAGGGCGCGACATACCACCCATGTGTCCCTATTTTGATCTTTATAGAGCAAATCTTTTGCAGGATCATGGAAGTATGAAACATCTCCAAATACAGGCATGTTAAGAAAAGAGAACCAAATTCTGAGCCAGGGAAATGCTATCTCAGCAACAATTAATTCTAGTCAATCAGATAGATGCACAGGGAACTACCCTGAAGGGCCATGTCAGATTGCAGAAACCAGTACCTTCCTTTTGGTTAATCTAAAAAGAATCTTCAACAACCCATAACTGCACAGTTGTACACAAACACCCCAACATGCTCTTTCACTCCAATAACTTTCCAATCCAAGGTGCCATTCTTGACCCCTGACTTTGGAGACCAAGAGTTGAGGACAATACCTTCGCCTTCTGGACCTCTTTGCCCACCAACAACCAGAAGCTCCTTTCCACAAGCCTTAAAAGCCAGGCCCCAGCCATTTGAAGAGTCAGCCCTCACTGGAAGTCTTCCTAAAACATCCCAGGTGTTCTTCTCCTTGTCATACTTCTTCACCATGTTGGTTAAATACTCAACCGCATATAATTGATTATCAACAACTGCCACAAGAGGAGGAGCCTGTGCAGCCCTATTGACATATGGAAACATACCCTCAATTTTCCTCCATTTCCCTGTCTCAAGATCATATTCCTCCCCACAAGTCAGTGATTCCGTAGGACTTGACATCCCACCAATGACGTAGAATTTGCTGTCCAAGAAAAAACCAGTGCACAATCTACGTGGTGTGTGCATGTTAGGTAGCATTTCCCACCTGCCTGATTCAGAATCATATATCTCCGCTGATTTCAAGACATTTCCATTTTTATCGCTGCCACCCGCAACAACAGAAATTGAACCAAGGCTACCAGACCCAAACAAGCAGCGAGGCTGGTTCATTCCCTGGCATTTTACCCAACTACGATGTATTGCACTGTACTTCCAAATAGCAAAATCCAACAGCTCACGACCAAAAACCAACAACTGACTTCCCACAGCCAAAGACTCCTTATCGGCATGGTTAAAACACTCATCACAAGGCATCTTAGGCAATGTCATCCATTTCTTGCTCACTGGATCAAACGCCTCCCACCCTCTCAAATCACACACGAGATACACCCAATGTTCCACAATTCCCAACTGCTTCCTCAACTCATACAAATACCCACTTTTAATTAACTTATTAAACTTTGTGTTAATACATGACAGCGAAGCATAATCCGATCTACAAGCCCAAGCAAGGCAATTCAAAGCTACATCATCAACAAGACCCGGGACAAGCGAATCACTTGATCCATACCTACGGCGACCATCATTCACTCTTCCCTGCAAACTGACATTAGAAATAGTATTTACTTCCTCTTCAGGAGCAGCCATGTTTCTCATGTTAACAAAAGTTCAGTATACCCCAACCAAAACTCCCAAACAAAAAACAATCTTCATAAAGAGGTTCCAGAAAAGCCCTATTACGCCAATCTCGAATCAATCAACCCTCAAAAACCCGGAAAGACAATTCCGATCTTTGCAGGCAATCGATTTATTCCTTTCCATTAACCAGTATAGTATAATAGTCAAAATTCCAAGTTTCATACTCCAAAAATCCCGACTATGCAAAAGATAATATGCTCAATTTCTATATCAAAAACGAAATTTGAACAATTTCATAGCCATCGCCAGACGATCGAGCTGATTAAACAAAGGAAAATGGCTGATAAAATGGTTCAGAAGTCTACTTATTTCACCAGACGATCGACGATTCCCAGAAACCTTTCTCGTATGATTTACATATATCCAAACAGGAAAATCTGCATATTCATAAAATTAAACGCAAATTCAAAATCAAAGACACAAATTTTGCCTGACAAGGAAAAGAAAAAGCGCACAACATCAACAAGAAGCAACAAACTCGATAAAACAATACACAGGGCCAGGGCCGATCCAAATCCAATGCCGATATGATCTGGGTCAGGTAGTTATTCGGATCTCGCCCAAAAGAAGCCAAGAAAGACAACATCTTTAAGGAATGAAGACGAAAATGAAGGAAATGTGTTCGTACCCGGAAAGTGCGTAGAATCGGTATCGGATCTCAATAGTCAGGTCGCCGGCGAATGAGGCCGGAAAAGTTTTCCGTCGAGCATGTTGCCGGAGTCCGGCGAGGAATTGAGAAAAAAGATGCGAACGAGAAAGAGAGAGAGTTGAAGTCTGTGATATATAACTGAGCAGAGAGGACAGGGGGTGGGGGTGGGGTTATAACTTGTAAGTTATAAACTCATTACTCACTTGGAATATAATAAACTGAAAATTATTTGTAGTTTTGCAATTATGGCACTGTTTTTTTGGAATTTCTTTTCAAAGCCCTAAATGACTTCTTCTTTTCTTTTTATGCTTGGGTTGGGAGAGAACAAATTTGATCACCACTCACTTTGCTTTGCTTGGTGAGATTTATCATCACATAATGTGTCATTAAATGTGTGTAATTAATCTATTCGTTACACAAATTTTCAAAAATTAAATTCACAAAACGTTAATGTTAAGGCTCACCGCAAATTAATAATGGTGAACAAATCTATTGAGGAGAGTATAAATACACAACTTTTCTCTCATTTCTTGCTTTTTCACTATTTGTGCCTTTTAGAGTGCCTCTAATTATAAGGGTTTAGATTTAGAGGAAGAAGATCGAAAGTAGAACTCTTATTATGGGAGTATAGTTATGAAACGTACATCCTGCTCTTTTGTGCATTTTATGCGGATAGTGTTATTTTGTTAACACTTGAGTGTATGATTTGCTAAGAATGTTATTTTGTTAACATTTGAGTGTATGGTTTGCTAAGAATGTTATTTTGGCATTAGAGTATAGGGTTTACTTCATTCTCCTGCCTTTGTGTTTGTGTGTAAGGTTTGCCAATTTCATAAGTGTATAAACGACAACTCCTACTGTTTAGATAAGCTTTCGTTTTGTAGCTCATGAGTGGTCAGTCTTTTGTTTTTTTTAATATGAAAGTGGCAAATAGGTCCCTATGCAGAGGTAATAATTTACAAACATTAGTGCATTATCCCATATAAAAAAATAATAAAAAAATAAATAGAAAACGATGAATTTCATTAACCACTTTTGTTTTGTTTTGGGTTTATGCAATGAAAAGAATTCAACACTTGACTTAGCCTAATCTTAAACTAGATTTTCACCCACCATTCACCACTTTAACCAACCCTAAAAGGGACCTAATTTTGCACGAAAGTTTTTGAATGAAATCATTCCTTAATTAAAAAGTAGATCGGTTCCATTTGCATAAACTCATTATGAGTTTGTCAAGTTTATCTTCTCTCCTTGTGAGAGTGTTTAGTTTCAATTTTGCTTTATGTTGTTGATGCCTAGTATTCAAACCTATTGGCTTTATGCGATAGATGTGTTTTTGCTTTTCTATTGGAGGAATAATTTATTGTCTAAATGATGTTATTGTATATCCATCTTATATCTGTATTGGCCTTTGTAGCTAGTCGCCCTTTACGACTAAATACCATTTTTTTTAATTAAAAAAATTCAAATATCATAAGTCTAATAGTTATGCAAGGAACTTGTAGCTCAAGTAATTAAAAGCAATTAATCATTCTTAGAAAAATTAGCCAAATCTGAAATATACACATATATTGGGCATTTAAATGTGTGACAAGCACAATGTTTTCTAGAGGAAGTTTGTAGTTCAAGTGATTAAAAACATTTATATATATTCGCATTCGTGATTTTGTGTTTGATTTTCCATCCCCAAATATCACCTATAACAAAAGGAAACAATGAATTGAGTTTGATTGTACACATATTAGCCAACCAATTTTAAATTGAAAACTTCAAGGTTGCACTTAACCAATTAATTTATCCTTTCTCCTTGCTATTTCTTCCTTAATCATTTCGTCTTTAAGTATGTAAGTTGTATAAGATTATGCTTAATTGTAGTGATGTGAACTAATAGTTTTTATTAATGTGTATATTTTTTATGTGTGTGAATGATGCACATGCATGAATAAAAAACTAATTACGGACGGCCGACCAAACAAGAATAGAAACGTGTCAAAAGCAAAACTCTATTATCCAATGGTTGATTACAAATCAAAACCATGTTCTTGTAATTTTCGGTAAGAGCCGCGTGAAACTTTTCCTAAGGTAATCTTCAAAATGTTGGGAAAGCATGTGGTTGAAGTTGGTCAAATCTGGACGGTATAGTCTGAAAACATTTTATGGCAAATCTATGATTAAGATTGGTCAAATCACGTGGTAGACACACAAAAAAGTCAACTATTTGCACACAGTCAATGAGGCGGCGTTTACTGAAAAAAATGAACGGACGTAGATATTTGGCACAGTAAAGTACAATGAGGCCAGCTGTAGCCAATGAAAGCCGTACAATCTCATCAAAGTGTAAAAAGACATTTAAGGACCAAAGCAATCATTGCCTTTTTCTTTATGTTATTATTGAAGTTTCCAAATGACACAAGTACAAAACATAAGTCTTGAAATAAGTCCTTGCTACTCATTACAAAATGCTGCTAAGCATTTCGAGGGTACAATTGAAGAAAAGAAAATAAGAGGGGTACTACTACCATAACGTCTTCTTTTTTTCTTTTTCTTTTTTTATAAATATTTTGGTTTGGAAGTAGGTCAATCCCAAAATCCACTCATTTGTTTCTAAATTATAAGATTTACGTTCACAGACGATAAATCTTGATCACTTGATAAAAACTAAAATGATAAATGGTATAAGTTCATAATCAGACAACATATGTATTTTACATGCCGAACCAATTTGACAAGAAAACACTTCTTTATGGAGAGTTACTACTTATTAATATGTAAGTGAAGTAAATGAGATGCGGTTTGAGATTTTTATTTAATGACACATATGAAGGAAGGGTTAGTACTTTGTTAAGATACGAACGGTGATGAAGTCATGAACTTTTCAGAGAATGGGTAATATTAAAATGTTAAATTTAAAAATTTCATAACAAAATTTGATAACCAAATATCATTATGTAAAGTAAACGCAAAAATAATTCGTAATCGAAATCCAACTTCTTATTTTGATTTTCATTACCGATGAAGGAATTGACAGACAATATTCTTTAGATGCAGAGATATATAAAATGAGACAAAATCGAGTTTATTTTTCTTATCTTTCTTTTTATTTTGTGGATGGGAGAGATGGGCATGAGAATGGGTCCATCGGAAAAAACAGCTATTATACTTTACTTAACGGTTCTTCTCATTCTGTGCGTTGTCAGAAAATCCAAGTGGTTTTCATGCATCCAAAAGCCTCACTGACACAACCTGCATCCACCGATGCACGCCACAACCTTCACACTAATAATCTTCTGACACGCGTCCCTTTAGGTGGTCCCCTCTCCATGTGGTGTACCTGCACCTGCACCACACCAGATATTTATATTTTGGCTAAAACTATTTCCATCATCACAGTTTCCTATTAAACTCATATTATTAATTAGAGATAACATTACAAATCATCCGCTTATGTTATAACAACGTGTCAATGCGATTGTCATACTAAAAAATTTCTCATAAGATCATCATATTATGATGCATAAACTCGAATTATCTATTAATAAATTCTTTTCTTATTATTGGACTAGAATTTGTCCTGTTAAGAATTAACAACCGTCTAGTTCTTATGAATTATTCAGGATTGTATCACTCATATATGAATTTTGGTTTTTTTTTACTTTAAATAAATTCATCAAAATTGTGCATTCCTTGCATTACACGAATTAAGGCTTTATGTAACTTTTTTGAGTATCGTAGTGTTTCATGACATGCCGATGTGTTATTATATATGTAAATTATTAATGATGGTGTTGTTACTACTATTATAAAAGGTGTTCTTATCCTCTTATATTCGGATCCTTTGGCATGCGTTATTAGCTTTCTTGTTTTAGAACTTGTAGTCGGTTAAGCTTTTGGCTTTTTGGCTATCTTCTTTCTGTTTCAGTTGTATGATCTAATAGACAAATAAAATTCCGGCTTCATCTACTAAAGATAAAGTGAGGGGACCCCCTCAACCCATGATAAATTTGTATTTTAAAAATTAAATTAAATTAAATTAAATGCAACTCAGAATGACGCTGCTGTAAAAAAATAAAAATTTGGGGGGGGGGGGGGGGGGGGGGGGGGGGGGTGGGGTGGGAAAATATGGTGGGGGGGGTGGAAATTGAAAATAAAACAAAACTAATTAAAGAAGGAAATGACAGGCTCGCACACCCCAAAACCTTGTTGTCATCTCATCTCTCACCATTTCCCGGCGACTATTTTTGTCATTTTGCATGGCCATTCAATATTCATCGCCATCTTCGTAACAAAATCCACGTGTTCTTTGGTGTGCTTTGCTTTCAGGTATGGGCTTTCACACGCACAAAAAGAAAGAGTCTAGAGAGAGAGAGATGCGTGTGGAATAATCTGAATATGAAAAAAAGACAAAGAGAGTACAGGGAGACGTGACGAATCTGATGTGTGATTTGTTGGTTTAATAAGTCTCTAATAATAATAATAATTAACCTGCTAAGTCAAAAAGCAAACTTAATTATAAATTAAGTAAGTTCCCTGCAGCTTAGTGGACAATAATTTTGGAGTATAGCTTGAAAAAAGAAAGTAGTTGGTAGAGACATGAAGAGAGAGAGAGAGAGGTCTTTAATATGAATGATATGACCCATTACTAGTTGTCTGTTTCTGAATAATCCTTGCTTGTCAAAAACCATAGCCTAAACCCTACACATTCACTATAGCTCCACTTGATTTATGAGATTCGCTGGAAAATTATTAAGCGTATCTGATTCACTATGTGCTATGTTTATGTGGTGCATCAAATCCACCCGGAATATAATGTACCGAGTCCTGTGTTCACCATCTAGGGTTTAGGGTTTCGATATTCGCACACCACATCAACATGCCACATGGTGCATTACGTATACATATAATATGCTTATTCCCTGAGATTATGCACACATGAGAATGGATTTATCATCCACAGTTTTGGTGAGAATATCAAGGGAATGGATTCAGATACTACACAGTGTGAGCTTCATGAACTTGACATGATGAAAATAAGTAAAACCAGAGGTTGAAGAACCTGCAAATCACTTACCACACGGAAGCCAAAGAATCAACTCATGGCAGAAAACACAATAGAGAAAACGGTTCACGGTTCTGTTTTTCATTCAGATGCTCAACAAACATTTGCTAAATGCGTGTACAAGGGCCGGATGTAGTATAAGTTATAACACACTTTCTCACCGCATTGTGACAATTCAAAAACCCGCAAATACCGAGACAACTTTTGCAACTTGAAAACCAAAATTGGAAAGCCAAACCCATCTTGCCTCCTTCTGGCCATGGGAGGCTGTGTTCCAGTCTTCCAGAAAAGTTCTTTTGAGATTTATTTCAGTCACGATTTACCTCCCTTGCAGATCAGATAGCAAGGGCAAGGCAGGCTGTGTTTCAGTCTTCCAGAAAAGTTCTTTTGAGACTTGTTTTTGTCACGATTTAACCCCCTTGCAGATCAGATAGCAAGTCCAAAGAGAAAGAAAAGGAAAGGAACAAAACCTAAGTTTTCTACTGTACAATAAACAAAGCCAACCTAAACAGTCTAGTCACTATGGGTTATGCTACTATCATCTTTCGTCCCATTATATTCTTCCCGCAAACTCTTGCGCTTGCACCAACATGAATACTGAGGTATCGACCCATCATCTCCAATAACCCAAGTATGCTCAGCAACAGCCTCTAATGTCAACCTCATGTTTGGGTCTGCACAAGATATAATCCGATAATCATGAAAGGTACCATGGAAAAAATAGAAAGAAAAAAAAAGGACACGGAAAATAAAAAGGGTGATAGACTTGCAGACAAGAAAAGAAGTCCTAGTAAATCAAAATACTTAATGTCACCAACCTTTACAAAGAAGCCCTTCTAGTAAATTTTTCAACTGTGGGGTCATATCATCTGGAAGTACTAAAGGGTTATTAACAATCTGCGAAGAGAAAATTCCAATAAGATATGTTATAGGTACACCATAAATACCAGGCTTAAAGTACATAAGTAATGGTTTTCCACGGCAATACTGGTGATTTCCATACCTTATCATATGTATCCTGCAGTGTGTCTCCAAGGAACGGGTATTGTCCCAATACCAGACAGTACAAAGTAACCCCTACTGCCCATGTGTCAGCAGCTCTACCACGATAGGTTAGCCCTGTTGATCAGAAGAAAATAAATGTACAGTACTTATTTCCTGTGCAATTAAACCATATTGTATATATGTTGGGGCAATAATCTGAACTTTATTCAAATCCAATCCTCAAAATCTTCTTAAACTGGATTCGTTATACTGAGAAAGTCTGCCTTTATATGAATAAATAATTATAATATATGCAATCACATACATATGAATAATTAGCCTTCTAACAACCAAAAAATACAATAAAAATACATATATTTGCTTATGAAATAACACAGAACAAACACCTATTTATATGCTTGGACCCAAATGTAACTTGGGAAAGCTGGAACATCAACCACTAGGATGTGCCCTAGGGAATAAAAATTAGACGGGTGTGTGTACTGAAAATTCAGATTCGTATCAAATTGGGATATTTTGTTTTTATGGAATGAACTCATTTGCAGATTTCTATTCAATATTAATGTGTCAAATTCAGACTCCTAATCAAGTTTGATGTGTCAACTCAGACTCTTATTCAAGTCCAGATTTGAATCTAGTATACACTAATCAAGCAATGCGCCAAATCTGGCCCATTTATATCTCACAGCACAGCAAATAGATTTTTTCAATATGCTACTTTTTTTTTGGCTGACTGCAGCTCACACCGGATGGATTGAATCCAGGAACTTCCACCTGTGTTCTTAAGTAGGAGGATGTTCCCTTTGGCCCAAAGGCCACTGGAAAATCTACTAGCACATTTTTCTATCTTGCAAAGAAAATTGAACATATCTTATCAAACAGAAAGAAAATCTAACCTAAACAACATTCAGGTGCAGTGAAAACAGGAGTCCCTGGGGATCGGCGCAGCTCGTCATTTTCATCCTGCAGATGAAGCCAATACAACACATTATTTGTAACTGAAAACTAAAACTATTAATACACCGAAAAACATTTAAACAAAAGTCAGAAAGAACTAAAGCGATATAAGAAGAAAAGTAACTTATTGCTCTGAAGGTGGTACAAATTTCAGCAGTTAGATTACCTCAAAAACCTGGCTGACACTAAAATCCCCTATCTTCACTGTACCATTACGACTAACCAACAGATTATCAGGTTTGATATCGCCGTGCACTATGTTCTGTTTTCAAAGGAAACACAAAGAAAATCACCAGAGTGATGATGGAAACCAAACAGTGTACGTTAAAGGAAGCTAGATTGCACATAAAGGGAAACAACTGTAGTGCCCCATGGACTATGGGTGGTCCTATTTTCTGAGATATATTCCAAACTGTTGTTATGCATTATACAAACAAGTGGACATCAATCTTAACAATCAACGCATCTTAAAATAAATAATAAATGGTTTTCACCATCAAATAGCACAATGCACACCAACTACCTAGAATAAATATGCTCTAAAGCATATATTAAAAAAAATAATAAAATCTTTGTAGAGCAGTTACTAAATTCAATTCTCATAGTGTAAACAGGTGAGTTGGCTTGATTGCATTGGTTATAGAAGCAGCTCAAGCCAAATAGAAAGCACATTACAACTCATCAATCATATGCACATTTTAGATGGGGATTATATTTGAGTTCTCCTAGACACAGAACATTACTATTTCATCTCTACACTAGAGAACTAATCATTCGCAGAAAAATTTAACTCAAAATCGTCTCTTCATATGTAACAAGTGCATGTGTTGATCAATACAATATATGGCCAGCCAGATCATAAGGACCAAAGTGATTTCCTTTACAAAATGTATCCCCATCAAAAGCAAAGAAAACAATACAGAAGTAATGAGAGAGTTCAGCCAAGCATATATACTAAACCAAACTTTAAAGATCATACATGAGCATGGAGGTACATCAGCCCAGAAACTATATCCCGCAAGTACTTTCTTGCAGTACATTCTCCTATGCCGCCCGGTGGACCAGAACCCTCACAGACCCATTTGCCTTCAACATATTCAAGAACTGAAACAAGAAAAGGAAAAGAAAAAGAAAAACTTGCAGTCAAGCATGGGCCAAACCAAATGGTACTTGAAAATATTCAACACTAAAGCATCAAGATTTATTTATTTTTAAAATTAGTCGATAGTCCCTTGCCAATTTTTTTTTCAACCAAAAATATAATCCTTTTCCTTTTCAGTTATATATGTCCCTTTATCTAATAGACATTGTAAAGTTATGTCTCCTTTAATGACTCACATGCTTATTTTTATGGACTGATTGTATCAATTTGAAAAAGTACCAATAACACCATTGTAATTGTCTACCTACTAAACACAATAATCAAAACGTCATCCTTCCACTCAAAGTACTAAACAGTAGTATCACGTCATTTTTTTTCGTATCTTTTTTTCTTCTCAAACTTTAAAATAGCATAACATTCATTGATTTTCCCATAAAACTTTATACTTTTGAAAATAATTTATAGAGATTTATTAAACAAGATCCATGATGAATACAAAATTAAATATGAAGACAAATGAGGATAGTGTACCTGTTCTGTATTTATGGAACATATACACTATCCTGATATGAAAAAACGAATTATGTTGCATCAGGATGATCTCAGGCAATTTGTACTTGAATTTTGTTTTCTAGATAATTATATACTTATCATGTGTCTAATTTGATAGATCTCAACAAATGTTTTCCGAAAGATAGAAATTTTATGAAAGTCAAACACATGGAATGAAAGTATTAACACTTCAAAATTCAGAAGAAAAAAATGAAGAGAAAAAAGAAGACATGAAAGTGGTGTCCTTTAATTTTGGTAAGAGGATCATTTTTTTTATACTTGTAACCGGGTTTGATTGGGCTCTCCTTTGAATTTCCCTTTCTCTATTTGGGATAAGTTTGAAAAAGCATCATGATTGCAGAATCAAGCAAATAAGTTTAAAATGTGTAGAGAGAGAGAGAGAGAGAGAGAGAGAATAGGCAATAAATACCCATGTAGAAGTGATCTATGTCTGGGTCGTCAATCACCTCAATGAGATTAACTATGTTAGGATGGTGCAACATTTTCATAATATGAACCTGTATGGTAAAGGAATATATATTAGTGAACATTCATCTAATAGAGCGGGAAAAAAAGAAGTTGATATGGCTAAGTAATCTGCCATAAATATGAAAGGGGAAAAAGAAAGTATAACAAGCAGTAGGGTCTAGTAAAGTGGAATATGAAGCCTGGTTGGACCACTACAACGAAAAAGTATAATGCCGAACCAGGAGATACAAAAGGTCTATTCTCAAGATGTTGCTCGACTGAATAAACTGATATGATACTGAAAAATAAAGGGCAAAAGCCACTAGAGAGGATAATACAACGACAAGACAACTGATCAAGAGTTTCCATCCAGGAAATGAACACTCACACACACTCACAAAGACATAAAACACATACCTCACGAAGAACATCTGTCATAGCTGTCTCTGAAGGTGCAACTCGGAGCTTTAATAAATGAGACTTATGAAAGGCCTGCAAAAATTCAACTCATGTAACCTTTAAAAATAATAATAAACAAACTCGTACAGTAACACAACCAAACCTCTACCATAAACATACTAAGAAAACACTGAAGATTATATCATCCTTTATCTAAATAATTTAGAGTTACAAAGATATCATAAATCAGAAATTATTTACATAAAGTGTATTGCAATTTCCTAGGAGCACGAAGATCACTTTTCATGACTAGAGTTCTCTCTTTCATCCAAACCACTGAAACCACTAATTTAACACAAAGAAAAACTACCTTAATTGCATAATGCTGTCCATCTACAAGGCTTCGATACAGAACCTGTAGCACATGCAAGACAAAAAAAGTAACGAAACACTTCCAGTAAGCAGTAAAACAACAGAAGGAAAAAAAACATCAGTATTTCACCCGGAAATAAAGAGTTCAGTGCTAAAATTACCACTTTTCCATAGCTGCCTGCACCAATTTTACACTCACGAACATACTCATTGACCATCTTATTCCCATTTTCATCCTGAAAGCGCATGCAAAAAAGTATAACTGGTATGAGAAATGAATTTCAAAGTGGAAAACACAAATGGCTTCCCCCACCCGCACTCCCCGAAAAAATGAATTTCAAAGTGGAAATGAATACATAACTCGTCTTCAAATTAATTGCATTAAAAACCTAGCACTAAAGTTTACCATTAATGACAGCATAAAATTCACAATACCGAGCTCACTTATTTAGTAATAAAAAACGAGGCCAGATCTTGCAACTCCATGCCAACCATATCATATGTCATGCAAGTGTGCTGAATGTGTGATGCAAATTTTGGGTGGCTTACTAGACAAAATTGATGGCTTCCTTCATAAATATTAACCAAGTCATACTCAATTCAATGACTACTACGCATTGTACTAAAACCTATAAGATAACACAACTAAACACTTCAGAACAAAAAGAAATAAATTATTTTACCTTGTACCCTACAAAATAAAAATGAAAAATTTACCTCTGTGCGAATGCATTTGTGGGTTTCCTTCACAGGGACCTGCCTACAAATCATTCCACTCTGTTCCCTGAAGTGTAAAATCTCTTCAGAACGATTGCCGCAGATTTGTGGCTCACTTTCATCAGCATGAGTAGTTCTTGTAACCTCACCATTATATGAACCATCATCCTCATCTTCTATATCTTCATCCAACAACAGCTCCTGGGAAAGGTGATTATTAAAGCCATAATTGGGCCTTGTTTTCCGTTTGGGCTTTCTAATGAAACCAAAGCAACTGCAGCAGCCCATCATTTTCGCAAGTGAGCAACTCTTGAGGAACATTAGAAACTCAATATTTCTAGTAGTTACTATAGCTCCCAAAAACAAACCAAATGTAACCTGCAAAATAACATACCAAATAATTTCAAAAATTATAAATTTCACAACACATACATAATATATTTGTAAACACACACACAAATATGTGCATATGTAAAGTTACTTGAACATATTAGCCCTGACAAACTTCATCTAAAACACAAAACAAGAATTTCAGAAAGAAAGGTCCTGCTTTAACCATCAAGCCGTTTCTGCATATATATACTAAGCAAAAGCCAAACCATTCTGCTAGAATTTCTTATTAATTTTTTTCTTTCTAATATGCACATTCTAAGTTCTTCATGTTAAACTAAATAGTAATTCAGAACACAGGAAAGTCTAACATTATCAATTACAATTTTACAACTTGGGTTTTGGCAGCGGATGCAAACCTGAGTTTACAGAGGGAGAGGAGAGGGCTTCAAGCCCAATTGAGCTCTGCTATTCAAGTGGATGCCACTCAGCCAAATGAAATAAACAGCTCGCAATATTGAAGCCATCACGATTCAAACCCAGCATCGCGATGACTCCAGTTTATATAACCACTAATGCAGGCTAACCCACACCGCCCCAACCAACGATACGTTGACCCTGTCCTGAAATACGTACACAAACACAGAGAATTTTAATAAACTAACAAAAAAATTAAACAATTTAACAAAATAGCACTCCCAATTAAAAAAATATATATACATAGCTAAAATTTACTAAAGGACAGCTTTGCCTGGAACTCTCAGACCACGTCAAGCACCTACGACAACGACATAGCTTTTAAAAAAAAAATCTGGGTGCCGTACCTCAAATTCAAAGAGAAGGAGACGTGATTTCAAAATCCCTATCTTTCCCACACCACAATAAATTAACCCAGTTTGAAGAATCAAAATTTGAATTTTTTTTCTTAAAAAAAACCCTAATTTGGACTCAAGGAGGGTGCGATTGCAACATTCATAATGAATTGAAAACCAAGCCCCCGAGATTGTGAGATGGCGAATACCTGAGAAGGAGAGGAGTCCGAAACGGAAGCCCTAGAACGGTGCAATCGGGAGAATTTAATCCCAGGGTTGGGAGAAGGGATTTGAAAGAAACCTGAGGGCAGGGGAGCAAATTGGGAAATTTATTTGGTATGAAAGTTGGGTTAATTGGGGAATGTGCATATATAGTAGGGGCAAAAGCGGAAAAATAAAAGTGAATTTGCGGGAAAAGCGCTTCCGAAGAAGCAGTGGGGTTTGTTTATAGGGGAGGTTAGCCGGATAAAAATGGTTGCTTTTCTTGTCGTTCATTGCGGGGAAGGAGAAAATGGAATGGTAGGTGGGTAGGTGTGTGACCGTTTTATGTCATTTTATTGGGGGTGAGGTGTTGGATTTGGAAAGTACACATCTTTGACACAACAAAACAACACTCATGTACTACTAATCCACCCAAAAAAAGAAAAATCACTCTGGTGGATTTGAGTTTATGGGATGCGACTCATGTTACAGTTTCACGCAATTCATTGATTTAGATTATGTATATTAATTCATCTCATTCGGTTTTCATCTATGTCAATTTTTATGCCATTTCAAGTATCATCCTAGATATGAGAAAAAACTGTATGAGACGTGACGTAAATTATATAGTAACTCAACCTCATGAGATTTTAGAGCCTTAGGCTTGATGTTACTAATCCAAATGTTATTGTATGGAGAAATGGTATTAATGGACATGGTGGATATTTCAAGGGTCTATAATAATATTAATGAATAAATACATGTGTTATAACATGAGTATATTTGTAACACCGCGTAACAATGTACATGTCTCATCGAAAAGTTACTCCAAATTTATACTCTCACTTTCTCTTTCACACTCCCTATGTTTTCTCACTATTTTGCAGTTACTTCCTCGTAAATACATCCATAATGCATAGAATGTGTGGAGATTCCTAATTTTTATAAAGGGAATAATTATTAGTGCTCCATCCATTAACTTACTACCCAATTTGATGGTATGAGACAATGCATTAGGGGAGCACGAATAATGCTCCCATAAAAGAAAGTTATTAAAAATTAAATAAAGTATGAGAGGTAAGCATATTTTGCTAATTTTCATGTAAATTAGCAATGGCATTTAGATAGAAAAAAAACCATCACAAGGCCAATTGTGCAAGAAAACCGATCGACACTTGCGGTTTTTATGAACCAACTGACACCTGCGGTTATTGAGGCGGTTTCGTAAATCCATAGTTGACAGTATATTGAACATATGACATATATATAATGAGTTAATTTAATATATTTTTTTAATGATATTTGTATTCCTTAGATTTATCAAACGACTATGATTTAAGGATTGAGATTAATCCTAGCCGTCATTAATTTCACTCACTCTTTATTTGCGAGTCACACACTCACAAGTATCTGAAGGATGCACGTTACATTCATCACGCTTAAAGTTACATTTTTCACATGCATACACTTGCTTATGTGCAACTTACATAAATGCCAACACAATAGATAGTTAACTCTCATCTAAATCATTCACGACACTTTGTTAACCTTTGAAAAGACACTTAACACGTTGGCTTGTTGACGATTCCTAATTTACATTATTATGTACAACGCCCGTAAATTTTAATTTAAATGGTACGAAAACAGTGGAGTGAGAAATCTCTATATAATAAGTTGTACAAAAGTAGAAAGGGAGCATAAGGAGAACACTACATATATAAAAGTTTCTTGGAATAATGAAATCATCGATGAACCCAAATCAATTAGTTTAGATACATCAAGTCCAATGCTAAACCTGAATAATACAGAATTATGACCTAACCCTTCAAGAACTACCAGTCGTTTAGTTTATTTGGAATAGTTCGTAATACGCATACCAAACAAATTACTTTGACAATGGCATTTTAATTCAAGTGGGCCCAGGGTTGCCCTGCCCAATTACTTTGACAAATTGTGTGTTAGGATAAAACGTATCAAAATGGGCCCACTCAATAATCTAAGCATAATGCAATCAACTTATTTTCTCTCCCACTTGATAGGTAAATTGCACTATCAAATTGATGAGGACAGCGAAAAAGGTTAATTGAACAGATTTGGATAACATATTTTTTAAAACAAAAATAACTATCAGTTAGCTGTAAAATGACCAATTAGTCACAGTTTGAGTCGTTATCATTTCAATTTTGACAAATTTATTCATGTATTCTGGTTCGGTTTGCAATCAAGTCCAGAACATAAGTTTCGTTATATTAGAAGATGAAATTCGACGTGTTAATATGTAACCACTATTATGAAGACACTTTTTTTTTCTCTCCAAATATTTGTAATCAATTCAAAAGTCGTCTATTCTTCTTAACATTATTAGAGCATCCATAGTGAGAGAAGTGTAAATTCGGAGGTATAAAGACACTTTTATATCTCCTTTACATCTCCGGTAGATGCAAATGTCATTTTTGCTCCAATGAGTTGGATGCAAATTCAAATATGTAAATCCAATTTTCTTGTATTAATTCATTTTTTGTGTTTAATTTTTTAATGTTAATTTTGTGTGTGTTAGGTTTATTTTCTTTTTCTAAACAAATCGACCTAAAAATTTAAAATTCCAATAAGATATAATTTCATTCAATATGATGTAAATAAAATTAATCTGAACCGTCGGCTTTGATATGAATTTATTCTTCACCATTGATCAGTGAAGTTGTTAGTTTCATATTTCAATTTGAATGAAATATGCCCATACATTAGGAGAAATTATAGAATAATACGGTATCATCACATCACCTCGTGATACTCCCATTCAAAATTTGTCACGTATTATATTATTATAAAACTAAATAAAACTATTTATACAGCTGGATTTAAAAATCTATTTTTACATTTTCAAGTTAAAAAATAAAAGAACTGGAAAAAGAAAAGGAAAAAGGAGCCACCTTAATCAACAACCACCTTTCTCGCAAAGAATGCCGTCCACCATTAGAGCATTTCTAGCAGTTTGCCCTTTGCCATGGCAAAGGGAGCCCTAGGGTAGCTACTATTCACGTGAATAGTGGCTACCCTAGCCCCCCCAAGCAAAGTGTGTTTCTAGCAGTTGCTCATTGCCATGACAAATACTATTCAAATTTTTTTTTTCACAACTTTTTTTACTTAAACAATTAATTTGGATAATATTTTCAAATAAGATTTTTGGGTTACAACGTGTCAATACTATTCATATCGGATAAGATTTTATTTTATTAGATGTATTGGTTGGTATTTATAGAAGAAAAAAAAAGGTATGAGGATTTGGTGTTAAAAGTGAAGAGTATTGGTTGGTATTTATAGACACTGGCGGGCCTAGATTTTTTTTAGCGGAGGTGCAATATTGGCTAAGTATGAAAAATAGTTTTTCGGAATAATCATTTTCTCAAGATAATTTTTAGCGGCTTTTATTCCTTACACATCAAATAAGAAAACTTGATTTTATGGGATTTTAATATGAAGTATATATTGACTTAATGAGCCATCATTTTTAGCCTAAATCGTATTTTGCACTAAAACCGATTTGTCATATTTTGATTTGGTGGGAATTTGATTTTCTAGTATTTTTATTTGAATCCAAATAGGGGGTACTTCCTTATTTACATTGTAAACTTAAGTAAATGGAGTAATATAAAAATAAATAAAAGTAAAAGGACAAAGACATTTACTTAAATGTTGAAAATGGAAATAAGGTATAGAGAAAAAAAAAAAAATAATTTTTTGGTTTTTTTTATAAAAATTTCGATTTTTTTTCATCTTTTTATTGCAGAAAATTGGCTGCCGTTGGATTGAAGAAAAAAAATCAGATTGGAGAGCCCAGACCCGACACATGGAAACTAGTCGTTGGCGGCTACTGTAGCGCGAGGCTGACGCCAGCAATGACATCACCAGCCCTCGGGCTCGTGCTCGGGCCGAACTTCACCTCAGGCC